CCGGACCAAAATCACCTAGTATGCTTCTGTGCTTAGGTGACATTAAAACCTAAGTTTCCCTGCTTCTAGCCCAAACTTTAGCCACAATCACATACTGGTTCTGAAATGGCTTAGATCAGGGGTGATCTTATCTTTGCTATCAGTTCGCAATGGGATCGCATGCGCGTGCTTGCTTCGCTCACAGGCGCACCAAGCTTCTGCGCAGATCGCCTATGACAACATCTGGGGTGGTAAGCGGAGCCTCCCGCTGGTTTTACTACCGGTTCTTGTGAACCGGTCTGAACCGGGGGCAACCCACCTCCGTAGTGCCGTTGAATAAGGCATTAAGATCTAAGACCAACGTTTACTTTTTCATAATAATAAAAGCTAACCATTTCTGTAACAACAAATCTAGATCACAGTTTCATCTTTTTCCACTCAAGTACAAAGTCCAGAAATGGTTTCCAAGTCAGACCTTCTTTTAAAATGCAGGTTAATTTGCTTCTACCTTGTTCCCTCCCTGACAGCAGCAAAGGAGAAATAACATTAAGAGCAAAAATGCTGCGAAGCCCCCTTCTGCAACCTTCCAGAGAGCTAAAGGGATGACAGCCAAGTTAAATAGTTTGAGACCTGAAGGCCAAAGGTAAACAACCACCAATATTATAACCCAAGTGGTATAATAATAAAATGCCAAATTAAGCCCTAGAAGCATTATGCCAAACTCCTGCTCAAGACATAAATGTAAATTTATAATGAACTAAATGCCATATGGTTTTATGAGGTCAGGGGAGGTGGGACTGGTAGGTGAAAGGGTTTGCCTTCCAGCTGATCTTGATTCCTGGCACTACACGGACAATTCCATACAGTTTTTAAAAACTGAATATTTTTCAGATGTGGTTTGCTATGGACTTCTTTGTAAGGCTGAGGGACAATGACTGTCATAATCAATCAGTTGGCTTTGTGCCTAAGGTAGGGCTAGAACTCCCAGTTGCCACATTTTTAGGCTGGTATTTAAACCATTTAAATCACTACAGCACACTAAACTGGCTTTCAAAAAGCCACAGATACTATGGTATTAATATATCCTAACATATGTTTATTAAGTTATTCAGTCAGACTCACTAACTATTTAATATAAAACAGCTTCTATTTGGACAATTATGCAATTTAATGTTTCTAGGTCAATAAAGTAATATAAAAGCCAGAACAAAGCTCAATTGTATTTCTTAGAAAAGTAATTATCTACACTATTCCAATTGTTTTAGTATATGCTTTGGTACATATCCAAAGGAATTCATGCAAGTTAATAATCTGAATATTTTTTTTAAAAAAAACACCAAATACTTTAAAATAAAAGATTTTTCTCCAAGCAAGTATCTATACTTAACAACTGAGATTAAAAGTACATAGGAAGTCCTGGTAATAATAAATCTATAGAAAACATTTCTAACATATGCTTCATTTGAATGGGAATAATTGATTCATGAACATTATTTTATTCAAATACCAAGTATTACCTATAGTTGCTGCTTTACTTACCTTGGCTATATAAATGCCTTTTCTTTTGTTGTGTGAATTTATTTGGGAAAAAAAGATAAGAACTGCTCTAAACCTATTTTATTTCAAACTTTGCTTTTATCACATTCTCTACTATAAAAAACATATCTATGCATAGATACATATGGCTAATATAACATAGAAAATATCAAGTAGTGCACACACGAACACACACACACACGAGAAGTCCAAAGAGAAATTTGGAATATACATATAAGCTTATTTTTAAAAATCTCAAATTTGGATTTCATTTTTTAAGCAAGTGCAGATTAATGTGCTTTAAAATCTTTAGACTTCCTACTAATTGAGGAAGGACAAGTCTGCATATTTGCATATTTGTTCTTTGATATCTATCCAAGGACAGTCCTCCATCTCTTCTTCTATATTCCTTCAGGCCAAAATTTGATTATATTTCTTTATATTTCTCTGGTTGCTGGCAAAGTGTCCAGGTAACACTGAAATACTCTTCTTTAACTAACATTTTTCATGGAATGTGTTAACATTTAATTAGCTATTCACATCATAATTCCTCAAATCTCCCGATTCCTGTCACTGCAGTTCCCTTTTCTTCATGCAACATGGATCAGGAAAGCAAAGAGCTATAGAACTAATTATCCTGGGTTTTCTAATAATTAATCACACTTATATACCTTTCCACAAGCAATTCAGTATGGTGTTCAGGGTTCTTTCTCCTCCAACAGCTGTATTATCCTCTCAAGAACAATCTTGAGAGCTAAACCCATGCAGGCATTATCAATCTACAGCTCTTCTGGGAGGTAATCCCCATTCCCATCATCATTTGAATATCATTTGAATATCTCTATGCATAGTGGATTCCACAAAAGCCAAGCCCTGCCTTGTGTGGAAGTCAAATTGCTTTCCAGCAAATAAGAGATTCCTGCTGAATTTGCAAGTGCTCCAAGGAAGCAAACGTCATTAGAATTATGGGATTAGAAGACAATTTGAATAAGCAAATGCTGAGAACTCCAGCTTGACGGGGCTTGAACAAAGCATTCACCACTGTTCCAAAACTACACAGAGAGATTCAAGGTTGCATTGAGAGCCAGCTTGGTGTAGTAGTTAATGTGCCAGGCTAGGAACTAAGAGAATGAGTTCTAATGCAGCCTTGGGCGTGAAAACCAGTTGGGTGATTTTGGACCGATCATTTTCTCTGAGCCCAACTCACCTCACAAGGTTGTTGTTCTGGGGAAAAATGAAGGACAAAGGAGTATTAGGTATGTTTGCCGCCATGAGCTATTTATAAAAAAAAATAAAGGTGGGACCAAAACCAACCAACCAAACAATAGATCATTGAAATTGGGTCTTCCAGTCCTAGTACAATCCTTTAATAACTACAGTATGATTGCTGCACATGAAAAGTGCTGGCCAGATTGAGAATTAAGCTTAAAAAGCAATGCCTTCCTTCAAGGGATAAGGATGCATTGAGAAGAGGATGCAATTTCACAATGAGCTGTGATGAAATTTAATCAAATAATTTAAGTAAAAAACTTATGCCTATTTTATAATGGAAGAAAAATTGCAGAGGGGGGAGAGAGAGAGAGAGAATAATCAAAGAAATACAGAAGCCCAATTGTAGCTCCACTGCATTCCAAGATTGCACTGCGAAGGCTAAGTGGCACAACGGTCAAATTTTGGAAGCATTAATTTCTAGCTATAGAAGAAAAAAAAAAACTCCTGGGAAGTAAAGCACTTCTATTTTTGCCTAACACCTAATCCCAAATTATGCTGCTGAAGTTTGATTCCAACAGCACAATTTGGATCATTTTGCTGAGAGCATTAGAGTGCTTTTGAAAGAACAGAAATGGGAAACTGATTCCAACTGAGAGGCTTCATTTGCCATTCCTACATTTAACCTCCAAAACATTAACTAACCTGGCCAAAACATTCATCCGTGACTCTTTCTGAGCCCACAACCAATCCTCCGGCTGTGAGAGCAAAAACTGATTTAAGAATAGTTTAAAATAATTCAATTATTTGCTCATTGTAGACACCGGAAAATTAAAATAGTTGATAAATATTACAATTGTGCTTTGCTATTCATCAAATGGATTATTATCCTGCCTTCTCAATACAAATGTTTTTGCATGCTGTGTTATTAGTTTTGTGGAGAAAAACATACCAACAAAGAAGTATAAAACAAAGGATTTTTTAAAAATAAATTTTTACTGTATAATCAAAATGTAATGATATCATATGACATTGCTTAAGAACCAGAAAGAAATTAAACTAACATTTTAGATCCAAACTCATTGATGGAAGAATAATCGATAAGAGGGGTGAGCCTTTCAGTTCCTGCAGATACTGATACATTCTTGTAGCTGCTGAAATTTTGTTCGTGATAGTTAATGAATCTCTAGCACAGATTTTTGGTGAGTTCAAGGTATAAGGGGAAAAGACCTTACATCCATCAAAAGTAAACTGGTTTCAACCAAATATGTTTTCAACCCTTCCTTATATTGAAAGAGAATAAACAGGTTTACATTGAATTAATTTCACTACAAAACGCTTAAATCACTCATTAAATTTTCCTATTGTTCTAATGTGCAACAGGAACTTAGTATTTTAGAAATAATCATAATTCAACACATACATGATTTTTTTCTGTGTCAATACATTTTAATAAGAACATGTACATCTTTAAAGTAAAGGTAAAGGTTCCCCTTGCGCATATGTGCTAGTCGTTCCCGACTCTAGGGGGTAATGCTCATCTCCATTTCAAAGCTGAAGAGCCAGCACTGTCTGAAGACGTCTCCGTGGTCATGTGGCCAGCATGACTAAACGCCAAAGGCGCATGGAACACTGTTATCTTCCCACCAAAAGTGGTCCCTATTTTTCTACTTGCATTTTTTACATGCTTTCAAACTGCTAGGTTGGCAGAAGCTAGGACAAGTAATGGGAGCTCACCTCATTACATGGCACTAGGGATTCGAACTGCTGAACTGCCAACCTTTCGATCGACAAACTCAGTGTTTTAGCCACTGAGCCACCACGTCCCTTGTACATCTTTACTTATTACAAATAATGTCGAGTTCAATTTTTTCATTTTGCCTTATCAACTATAAGTACCTTAATTTTTAATTATTTTTAAACACCACAAAATACCAATTTAGCATCCAAGAACACCAATCTATTTAGACAATAATTTTCATTGTTTCCCGTAATTTCTAGTCCATGGTAGTCTAGAAATGAGGCTACTCTAATACAAAGTATTTGAAGCATAAAGGCTGGGAAGGCAGAAGGGTTAATACTGCATATTGAATACACACATGGGAAAATACCACTTCAAATCATTGTATCAATGAAAAAAAAACCCTTTCAAAGCAATTTAAGCTCAATACATGACCTCCGTTAATGAATAATATATAAAAAAATCTAATTCCAGTAAATAAAACACTTTGAATTACTTAGTATATAGAACAAATCCAATAAGTTGTTGCTATATATACAAGGCATATTTTTAAATTTATTTAATGGTATACAAAAAATACTGCAGGAACATCTTCAGAATTAAACATCACCATTCATTCTTAGTCGAGCCTGTCAAGTGGAATCTGAAAATGGTTCCTTAAATGCGTGGGTTGACTTTCCTTGTCAAATTCCATCAGTTCATGTGTTTTAGTATTTTCCCTTGTTTTAAACAAAACAAATGGGAAGTGTAGCAAATACCATTTTGTGTACAAATGGCTGCCTGGTTGGTTTCAAGGGCTATATTCTGAAATACAGATTTAAAAGCAGATTATAAAAGATACCAGGCTATAGTGAAAGCTGCCACGATTCCATTCAATATAGCCATACTATAGCCCATATGAAAAGAGTGTCCAGTCAGTCGCCTGAAAAGAAAAGAAGATCAATTAATTGATTAACAGATTAGAGAGGACAGATATTTCAAGCCATGAAACATTTTACATAGATAAACTGGCTTCATTTTAATACTTACTATATTCTAATATGTATCTGCCTCTGAACACAGTAATACCATCTAGTGAGCTGCCCTTGTATACAAACTTTTGCATTTAGTCACCACCTAAGATCTGCACCAATGTCCTATATGGAGATCTCATGCACACCCCACTAGCCAGCCTTATAAACCATTATGGCAAATATTGCAGATAAATTTCTTACGTAGTGTTAAAAATGTTTGTGTAAAAGTTTTTGGGTGAAACATGCTGCCATATCCCAATCAAACAGGATTTGGATAATAAGGAATTGTGGAGGAATGAGCTCACAATAAGTTTTAAGACCGCCCAAATTATACAACTAATTTTTAGGCATATGTTTGTTCCAACATAGACCGGCAACTAGCCTAAAAATGTTTTTTTCATTATTTTAAACGATCACTACACAATATAGTCAGTGTATGAAAACACTAATAAATATTACTTAACTTGACATGTTTAGACTTACTGTATATGTTTGTCTATTCGTATGTACCAACACATACAATGAAAACTACACATAAAAATATGCTATTCTTGGCAGAAGTATAGACACTGTTTGCCACTGCCTTCTTTTGGAATATGCAAAATAACATGAAAGCTTGGAGTTTGCAAAAAGCACCTGAAGGACTCTCAGACTGTGAGGAACAGGATTCTCTGGTCTGATGATTGAACTGTTTAGCCTCAATGCTAAACATTATGTCTGGATGAAACCAGGCACCGCTCATCACCTCCCAATATCATCCCAACAGTGAAGCATGGTGGTGGCAGCATTAGGACCTCAAGCTGGGTGAAGGTTCCCTTTCAACATGACAACGATGCTAAGCACACAGCCAAGACAACGCAGGAGTGGCTTAGGGACAACTCTGTGAATGTCCTAGAGTGGCCCAGCCAGAGCCCTGACTTGACCACTATTGAGCATCTCTGGAGGGACCTGAAAATGGATGTCCACTGACGGTCGCCATCCAACCTGACTGAGCTTGAGAAGATTTGCAAGGAGGAATGGCAGAAAATCTCCTTTGCAGATGTGCAAAGCTTGTCATGCCATATCCAAAAGGACTCGAGGCTGTAATTGCTGCCAAAGGTGCTTCAACAAAGTGTTGAATGAAGGGTCTGAATACCTATGCCAATATGATTTTTCAGTTTTTTTAAAATAGATTTACAGACATTTCTAAAAATCTATTTTCCTTTTGTCATTATGGGGTACTGAGTATAGATTAATGAGGAAAAAAAATGAATTTCGTCAACTGTAGAACAAGGCTACAGCATAACAAAATTGACAGAAGTGAAGGGGGTCTGGATACTTTCTGAAAGCACTGTATTTTTTTTTAATTCTTAAGTATAGCCTACAACCAGGCACTCCATAGTGGCCTCCCATTTCAGTTATAACTAAATCTAACTGTTTAACATCCAAGATCAACAAAGTCTCTAGCTGTAAGATATGTATTATATTTTGATAATAAAAATAACAATGAATTCAAACTCAACTGACTGAATTCTGATTGGCTTATTAAGATCTATTATATATGGATTTTACATCTTTTTTATAATATTTTTACATTTTCTGGAATTCTCAAGAAAAGAATTTTATACTTTGGGTTGTAAAAAATTATGCTACAATACACTCTGCTGGCCAACTCCTGAAACTGCTTAATTTGTTGTCTTAGTATACGAATGTGAACATTGCTCCTAATACAAAAGCCAACAAAGGGCCATTTCTATTAGATAAAAGCAAATTATTGAACTTATTTAAAAAGTAAATTTGTGGTCCATTCATTCTTAAACCTTATTTTCTTGCTTTACCACACCTTTAAGTACTTCGTGATTTACCCATAATAATCATGTTCATTTCTTTTGACAAATACAATTCCTTACAATACACTATATATTACACACATATTTTTCTGCCATCATTTCCACTTAATTTTTTTCCTTCTTTAAGGGACACAAATTAATCAGCTTATTCTGTTGTTGTTTTTTGCAACAACAAAAATTATAAATTACATTGTTTATATTACAGCCATTTTTTATCAAATATAATTGTGCGGCCTTCAAGAAATTTATTTTTAGATTTAGATTTTTAAAAAAATACTTAAATTTCAAAGAAAAAATAAAATATGTAATAAAAATTAGGGGAAAAAATAAAAAAGAGGAGACATTTAAAAGTGTGAGAAAAGAAAGAAAAAATAAAAAAGACTTTCAACTTTCCTTAGTACAGATACAAATATATCATCGGTAAATCATCTCTTATTCTAAGTTAACCATAATATAACCATCATCTAACCCTAATAGCATTTACAATATGTTTACAATCTTAAACAAATCTAATTATCCAGTCATTAATTCAAAAATTCATCATTATCAAGATAAATTATAAAAATAATCAATAATTTAAAAATAAATCTAAACAAAATCTTAAAATAACCAAAGTAGTTAATTTCAAGGTCTCCATCAATTCATTTTTCCAAATCTACTCTTTAGTCTCTAATTTTTACATTTCTTTCATCTCTGTATTATAGTGCCTCATTGATAAAATCCTAACAAAAAACTGATTCCCACATTTCCTCCATTCTATTCATCCATCATAGCAAAAAAAGTTCTAATCTCAATGACACAACTGTCTCTATATTTTTTTACAAAAATCTCATTAAACCTTAAGATTCAGATTTCACGATGCTTCATACAATCTATCTAAGCTGCACTGCAAATCATTCAGGTTCTCAGATAACAGCATGTCATCTGTATACGGGTATGTAATGCTGTGAATATACAAGCATTCACTTCTTTAACCAGGATGCTTCTGATGGCACAAGCATTCCCTATATACATTTATCCAAAAATACATTAAATCGAGGAGACATCACGCAACACAGACTTGTTCTTTAAGCAGCATTGAACCATTTGCTAAGCATTTCATTTAACTTTATGTCTGGTTATTCCTTTCATATATTTCTCTTATAAGCCTTCAAAAACATTTATCATACTTTTCTAAATCAGCAAATGATCTGCTGGGTAGAATAGTCTGCTTCCTCCCATAAAACTATATTTCATTCATTAAATTCTGCTCATAGTAAGTTATCATAGTCTTTCAATTAGATTTATGCCAAATAGCTTTCCAAATACCCTTAAACTTCTGTCATGCACACATGCAGCCTTTAAAGACAGATTAAACAAGTTGCACAGCCACTCCACAAGCAAATTACAGGTAGTCCTCGACTTACAACCACAATTGAGCCCAATTTCTGTTGATGAGACACTTGTTAAGTTAATTTTGCCCCATTTTATGACTTTTCTTGCCACAGTTGTTAAGTGAATCACTGCAACTGTTAAGTTAGTAACATGGCTGTTAAGTGAATCTGGCTTCCCTCTTGACTTTACTTCTCAGAAGGATACACAAAGGGATTGCATGACCCCGAGACATTGCAAATCGTCATAAATATGAACCAATCACCAAACATCTAAATGTTGCTCACAGGACCATAGGGCTAGTGCAATGTTTGTAAGTGTGAAAAACAGACATGTCACTTTTTTCAGTGCCGTTCTAACTTTGAACTGTCACTAAACAAACTGTTGTAAATAGAGGACTACCTGTTTATTGACATTTTAACATTTAACACAATATTTTAACATTTCTCCAGCTACATGATTACACCTTCAGCATTACAAGTTTTCAACATTCTCATAGCATTATAACTTTTAATTCTTCCGTTTTCTTCAACTGAGTTTACAGTATTCATTTCAATCTGACATTATTAGCCTTTCTACAAAAAATTCTAAAACTCTCCTCAAAGATTTCTTAGCTTCAGTTTATCCCATATAATTTTTTCACTTTAATTTTTAATTCTATGCATGGAGTTGGACATCGCTTCTTTGTTTATTCATCCAATTAAAAAAACATTTTTATTTCCAAATAAATTGCTGTATTTTTCTGCCTATTTTGATGCTAATCATTCTTCAATCTCTTTGGCTATACCACTAGCACATATCTTTCTCACCTTTTTTGCAGCAATATTTCACATATTTTCCTTATTCATAGACTCTTTTACTTCATCCTTCTATTAAACATTTTTTTACATCTGCCCTATCAGTACAGTTCCTTGAATCTTAATTTATGCTTGTTACTTTTTTTCCTCTAACATTGCAAGTCACAGTCTTCCATATTTATAGTCATCACTAGATGAGCCAGTAGATAATGTTCTCCATTGCCATTGTGACTTGCCAATCAAAGTTTTTACAATCAAATTTTTACAACTTTTACAAAGTTTTTAATAACAATAAAAAGTATAAATTAACCAAGAAAACTCCTCAGTATTGCAGGAGATCATGTGAAAACGTAGCATGCATATTGTATCAATTTCTTATGGCAGATTTTTAAGCCCAATATCCATTCACATTTGATACTTTCTAAACCGATACTCACTTAAATCGTGCAGGTGAGAGTGGAGTAGGAGGAAACATTCCTGGTTCAAATGAATCAAAATAGATAACTGTCCAGGAAAAACTGCAACACGACAGCCCAGTCATCATGGCTAGAACAAGAATACTCCAAAATCCTTATGGAAGAAAAACTCAACTGTAAACAAGGAAGACTAGAATGTTTTGGATGTAAATACATACACTGATTCAGAGGATTTTAAAGATCAATATGCAATTGAAACAAGAAGGTTATTTTCTTGGGATAGATGGACAAACAGCTGGAAAAAGTCAAGGATCTTTGTTTTTATATAAGATAACTGAAGTGAGATTATTATAGGCACAAAGATGGAAAGATTTGGCACCACTCAGAATAGAGGAACGGTTAGTAATGATGATGGAACCTGCAGAAATGATTAAATTTATTTCCTTGACCAGAGAAAAAACATCTATGTTCATTGGTGAATGAAAACCCCTGATAGTCTTTTTGCATGATACAGAAAAAAATGAACTGATGACTTATAAGAAAAATAGATTGCAGAAAAAAGATAGTTTTTTGATAATTAAAGAATAAAAGGTAATTTTGTATTTGTATTTGTATTTATAATTGCTGTAAAGAAAATAAGAAACTACTTCTAATTCTTTCCATTCATTCTTTTTGCACATTTAGCTTTTACAGGTAATCCCCAGGTTACCAGCGTTCCCTTAGCAAATGTTCAAAGTTACGCGATAAGCACCCCCTAGCATTCATGAACAAGTTTCGAAACTACACATCCTGCAGCACCACAGCAGTTGTTCGCCCTTACAAACAACTCAGAGGCTCTGCAATATTCGTCCTGCACTTTGCCAGCCAAAATGGAGGTTTGGAGGGGCAGTCCTGTCCCTCTGACGCTCTGTTCAAGCCTCTGGAAGCCTCACCCAGCACATTGCAGGCCGAATTGGAGCGTTGGAGGACACTCCATTTTGGCCTACAATGTGCTGGGCGAGGCCTGCACAGGCCTAAATGAAACTGCACAGGAGTGCACGCAGCTGAGAGACTGGAGAGGAGACTGCTTGCTGGATCTTTGCACAGTAAGTGACCCGGCGCGGCAGGTTGGAGGGGGAAGCAATTGTGGGGAGTATGAGGTATTTCATTGGGTCGGGGAGGCCTGGGGTGGTCTTAGGCAGGTGGCCTCTTCCACATGGCCTTCCCCACCGAAATACCTCTTGTGTACTTAACGAGCCTCACATTCGATTAGCGTTCAAGGTACGAGATTCACTTCCACAAATCCTTGGGTTACGAATGGAATGGAGAGGCCACATTCCATTCCTAACTTGAGGACTACCTGTACTTTCTTTTTTCTCCCTTTTCTTTATATTAGTTCTTGCTAGCTTTTAAGTCCTTTTTTGAATTTTTTAAAATAAAAATTATGTAAATCATGAAATCTCAAAATTACAACTTCAGCATTAACATACGGTATGCAAAATGCTGAATTCAAAATACCCCATTTTAAGTTAGAAAAAGCTGGACCAGTATGTCTGGAAGTGTCCCAAGCTCACAACTTTCCTCTGTTTCAAAAAGAGGTCATCTTGACCTTGAACACACTTCTGATATGCAATTTCAAATGTTGCATATCAGAAGTTCAAATCCCTAACAAAAATGCCCGAATTCTACCACCAAGAAATAACAACTACCTGGAATAAACCAAAAAGTTAATAGACTTATATCATGTCCAAGGAAAAAACACAACATAACCCAAAATATATTTAGTTAGTCTCTTACTTATACTGGACCTGCCTCTATTTAACTGTTTTTAGGATTGCAGTCATGATTACTGTGTTTGCACTTTACTTTTTCAACTTATTGATCTGTAGAAAGTGTTCATCAATTTAAATAGAGAAATGGAGTGGGTAGAATAAAGTCTATACATAAAACTCTCAAACTCTTATGACTGCCAGCATACTTGGTGGATATTACACAATTTGATACAATTTGAAATTTAAATGTTTTTGTATGAGGAACCCCATCTATTCTACTCTCATAAAAATATTACTAGATATAGAACAATAATATATGCTTTATTTTTAATAATTCTTATTAAAGATTACAATTAGAAAACAAAAAGTAACTACAAAAAATCAAATTTGTAGGTAAGAAAGCCAATCAGTTATAGGTATTTTAATGATACAGCAGCATACATTAATTTATGAATGAATTGCAAAATGTTTCATTTCTGTCAAAAGGAATACCCACCAAATATAAGGAAATTGTCAGAATTCCAAAATGAAGTTACAAAATAAGCCTCACCTAAAATGCTGGTTTCTGTACTATCCATTTTCTCTTTTTCATGCCCTGGATCTGTAAATAAAAAAAGTTTATTTTTACTTTAATTTTTAAAATTTAAAATGTTTAAAGAATTTTAAAATTTACAAGGAATTTTAAATCAAGCCAATTATTATGGAATGGGAGACAAGAGATCCACAACAGTTTTCCTACTAAACGAGCTTTCAGTTTAATATTCAGTGAAAAGCATTGAGTTATATTTTGAAAATTCAAAGCCTTTATTGTCATTGTACATCATGTATACAATAAAAACAAAGAAAAAACAACAAAAAAAGCTGTAATTAATTTTTTCTGCTATTGTGTGTCACTTAAGCTAGTTGACTATGATCTCTGTAGTAAGTCATAGTAATGTGAAGAAATATTACTGGATATCAAACATATGTTTATTTTTAATAATTTTTGATTATTATAGTTGCAATTAGGAAACAAACACGAACTACAAAAAAATATAAAAATAAAAAGTCTCTGCTGCTGAAAAACAACCCCACAGCACGATGCTGCCACTACCATGCTTCATTCACTGTTAGGATGATGTTGGGGCAGGTAATTAGCAGTGCCTGCTTTCCTCCAGACATAACATTTAGAATTGAGCCAAACAGTTCAATTTTAGTTTCATCAGATTAGAGAATCTTGTTCCTCACAATCTGAGAGTCCTACAGGTGCTTTTTGGCAAACTCCAAGCGGGCTTTCATGTGCTTTGCACTGAGGAGAAGCTTCTGTCTAGCCTCTCTGCCATAAAGCCCAGATCGGTGAAGAGCTGCAGTGATAGTTGTTCTTCTGGAACTCTGTCCCATCTCCACACAGCATCTCTGGAGCTCAGTCAGAGGGACCATCAGGTTCTTGATCACTTCTCTTACTAAGGCCTTCTCCCCCAATTGCTGAGTTTGACTGGGTGACGAGCTCTTGGAAAAGTCCTGGTTGTGCTTAGCTACTTCCATTTGAGAATTATGGAGGCCACTATGCTCTTAGAAACCTTCAGTGTGGCAGAAAGTTTATTGTAACCTTCCCCAGATCTGTGCCTTGCAATAATCCTGTCTCTGAACTCTGTGGGCAGTTCTTTTGACTTCATGGCTTTTGCTCTGGTATAGTATGTATTGTCAGCTGTGAGGCCTTCTCTAGAGAGATGTGTGCCTTTCCAAATCATGTCCAATCAATTTAATTTACCACAGGTCGACTCCAATCAAAGTGCAGAAACATGTCACAAGTGGTCAAGAGAATTGGGAAAAACCAGAGCTAAATTTCAAGTGTTGTTGCAAAGGATCTGAATACTTATACCAATGTGATATTTCAGTTTTTTTTTTAATAAATTTACAGACATTTCGAAAATACTGTTTTCACTTTATCATTATGGGGTACACAGTGTAGATTAATGAGGAAAACATGAATTCCAACAACTGTAGAATCAGGCTACAGTACAACAAAATTGACTAAAGTGAAGGAGGTCTGAGTAGTTTTGGAATGCATTGTATATATAAAGATATAGGGATATGTGTGTGTGTATGTATGTGTAATGTGCATAGATGTGTTATGTAAACTTGTTTTTCCCAAAATAAGACCGATTGCCGCAGCTACAAGGCGAGGCAGAGGGGTGGAGCTGCCCCATGCACCCTGCACCGTCTTACCTCAGAGCCCCCAGAGCCAGCCCATTCACGCCCTGACACCTGTCTCGCCTTGTGGCTGTGGCACTGGTGCCTCACTCAGACTCCTGCTCCGTTGCAGCTGTGAGCAAGCAGAAGAAGTGGGCTAGAGGCCACGTGGGCTCCTGCTAGACATGGCTGCCAGTGCTGCCACCGCGAGGCAGTTGTCAGGGCATGGATGGTCTGGCTGCAGGGGCCCTGAAGTAAGATGGTGTGGGGCAGTTCTACACCCACCCCTGCCTTGCCTCACCTCGTGTTGGCAGCACCACAAGCAACCAGATGGCATGGATGGGTGGCAGGCTGTGCACTGTAGGCTTTTAAATAGGGCTTATTTTGTGGGTAGTGCTTATATTAACTTCACACATAAAAATCATACTAGGGCTTATTTTTGGGATAGCTCTTATTTTGGGGAAAACACGGTATGGGTATGGATAGATATACATTTTCTTTTGAGAGCAAGAATTTCATTTTTAATGTGTGTCACTGTGCTCAGAGTAAAAAAAAATGACAATGTTTATGCTAATATTAAAAGATTAAATTATTGCTAATATTAAATTAGCAATAATTTAATTATTATTTAAATAATTAATAATTTATAATATAATAAATTAATATAATATATAGTATAATGTAATTAAATTATAATAATTTAATAATTAGAAATATTAAATATTAAAAGATTAAATTTATGCTAATATTAAAAGATTCAACATTGATTTCCTTTAGGAAACAGATAAGAATCTATCTCTAGCATAGGTTTCCGGCCATCACTCCAAATAGACCGAACGCTAATCCTAAACATAGATTAATTTTCATTTGCAATTGGATTTTCTAACAAATTTTACTGTGGTCCATAAAGAAAAACCTGTCAACTTTGTTTCACTTGAAAAGTTCTAGGAATCTACTCTAGCACTAATTTCTGGACCTAACTCTAAGTAGACCTAACTAAGTTTTGTTTCATTTTGATTGGAAATGTGTTTTTACCATGTATTTTACTGCAGTTCACAAAAAAAAAAAAAAAATCAGAAATCAATGTCACTTTCCTGAAAATACGACTCAGAAGATATGCCTAGCAATAGTTTTTGGTCACGACACCAAGACCTAAGCCTAACCATAACCCAAGATTCATTATACTTGAAAATAGGATTTTCCCATGTGTTTTACTGTGGAGTATGAAGAGCACTAGAGCAAAAGATGTCAATGTCGCTTTCCTTAGAAAATCTTTAAGAATCTATCCCGAGAGTAGTTTTCAACAATGACCATATGTAAACCTAATCCTAAACCTAACACTGACCATAGATTGTCAAAAGTAGGATTTTCCAATGTATTTTCCTTGATCCAAAAAAACCTCAGAATAAAAAGCTTGTCAACTATCCTTTCGTTCAAAAACCTTGAGTCTATCCATATCATTACTTTTTGACCATGTAGATCTAAACTTAAGCCTAACCAATATTCTTTTTCAATTGAAAATCAACAAGTAGGAATGAAAAAAACTGTCAAAGTTCCTTCCTTCAAAAACCGTAAGGAATTTATCCCAAGCATTAGTTTTTGGCCATGACACCGAGTAGACTTAAACCTAACCCTAACCCTAAATTCATATTAATTCAAATGGGATTTTCCCATTTATTTTACTGCTATCCACAAGCAAATCAGAATGAAAAGCTGTCAACTTTCCTTTCCTTTAAAAACTTCGAGGAATCTATCCCAAGCATTAGTTTTTGGCCATGACACCAAGTAGACCAAAACCTAACTCTAGCCCTAAATTCTACTTGGTTGACAGCTCTTTGTTCTGGCTTTTCTGTGGACCACAATAAAATACATGGAAAATCCCTTTTGAATTAATATGAATTTAGGGTTAGGACTAGGGTTAGGATTAGATCTACTTGGTGTCATGGCCAACAACTAATGCATGGGATGGATTCCTTGAGGTTTTTGAAGGAAAGTTGACAGCTTTTCATTCTGAGTTCTTTGTGGATCACAGTAAAATATATCAGAAAATCCCTTTTGAATTAATAAGAATTTAGGGTTAGGGCTAGGGTTAGATCTACTTGGTTAGGGTTAAGGTTAGGGTTGACAGCTCTTCGTTCTGACTTTTCTGTGGCTAAGGTTAGGGTTAGGTCTACTTGGTGTCATGGCCAAAAACTAATGCTTGGGACAGATTCCTCGAGGTTTTTGAAGGAAAGGAAAGTTGACAGCTTTTCATTCGGATTTGTTTGTGGACCACGGTAAAATACCTGGGAAAATCCAATTGCCAATGAAAACGAATCTAGGGCTGGAGTTGTGGTTGGAAGCTAATGCTAGGGACAGATTCCTATTGGTTTTAGAACGAAAGAAAAGTTGACAACTGTGGATTTGGAGTTGTTTGTGCACCACTTTAAAATACATGGGAAAATTCCATGGCCAAGAAACTGAAACTAGGGTTAGATCTTCCTGGAGTCATGCCCAACAATTAATGCTAGGGATAGATCCTTGGAGGTTTTTCTAAGTAGAGCAACTTTGACAGCTTCTCTTTTTGAGTTGTTTTTGGACCCCAGGAAAATACATTGGAAAATCCCATGGCCAATGAAACTGCATCTAGGGTTAGGTCTACCTTGCCCTGTTTGGGGAAGGGGAGCCGCTCTCTCCCGCCCTGCCTCACCTCGCAGCGCCAGGCAAGCGATGGCTATCAGGAGCGCCAGCAAGGCAACCATCGCCAGGCAACAGAGCACCGAACAGGTCCTGCTCGGCCACTTACTCCCCGCGGCTTCGGAGCCCTGTCAAAAAATAAATAAATAAAATTTCAAAGCCCTCCGTGAACTCCGCCTGACGTCTCAACCAGCCCCCTTCACCTCTGCCCTAACTAACCGCAGCAACTGCATGACGCGCCTCCATGGCAGTGGAATATTTGCTTCTTAGGGGGGGGCAGAAAGGCGGGAAGAAAGCCTTCCAAAGAGCCCTTGATCGAACTTGATGCGGCAGCGGCAGCAGAAACGAAGCCCCGCTTGCTTTTCCGAACGCCGCTGTCTCCCGCCTAGCCACGCCCACCGTCTGAGCTCGGAACTCCCATGCTGCCCTGTTCCATTTAGGGAAACTCAGCGTAGGCGCGTGGCTCGGGCTCTACCTTCCCTTCGTCGCCACGTTCCTTTTATTTTATTTATTATTTTCCCGCCTGGTTTTACGGCCAGAAATGGTACCTCTCGGCTTTCCGTAGCTCCGCCCATCAACCTCCGTCGCTCGGAGCGAGCTGTTTTCCCAGCGTCCTCTGCGGTGCGCGCGTCTCTCTTTTCCCCCTCCTCGCCTCCATTCCGGCTCCTACTGCCCCCCTCCCCACCCCGCACACACACACACACACACACACACACACACTCTCTCCAATCTTGGCCGTTCGCCCGCCTTCGGCGAGAGGAGAAGCAGAAGCCCCTCCCCTACCGGCGTGAGGTTTTGTTCTTTCCCCCTCCGGCCGCGTGCGCGGTGATCCCACCTCGCAGACTTCCGACCAGTAACCCCTCCTCTCTTCCCCCCCCCCTCCCGCACCCGCGTCCCCGGTCCGGTCTCCCTTCCCTTCTTCTCTGTTCGGTTTCCGGCTAACGGTCTCCCCTCGGATCTCGGCGGAACTAAGCAGCGCCGGCTCGGCGGAGCCAGGCCTGCGCCAGGGGGGAAAGCGATGTCAGGTGGAGACTCGGCGGCCGCCGCGGCCTCTCCTCAGCCGTTGCCCTTCTCGCTGCCCAAGCCTCCCCCCCTGATGCAGCTCAACCCCGGCGAAGGCGTGCGCCCTGTGGGAGCTCCCGGGCCGGAACAGTCGCCGAAAAGCGCCCGTATGGGAGGCCGGCCGGACTGGCCTGCCGGGAAGCCCGTCAGTCTTCTGGCACCTCTCCTTCCTCCGCGCGGGGAACCCGAACCGCTCCTTCCCTTCGGGCCGTCCTCTCGCCAGCCTCTCCGCGGGAGGCTCCTCGGCAGGGGCGGCGGCGGCGGTAACAGTGCGGGCAGCGGGAGCCTCCTCAACCCTGCGATGAGGCTGGGCGGCGGCGGGGGAGGAACCGGCGGCGGCGGCATGGGCCGAGATGCTGTTATGGTAGGTGGGCGGGCGATTTTTATTTTTTTTTTTTTTGTGTGTGAGGGAAAGGGTGGGGTGGGTGGGAGGCGAAAGTTAAAGTTTTACGCTTTTGCTTCGGTTTCAGCTCCCGTCCCAAATTTCGTAACCGTGAAGTGAAATTTAAAAAAAAACAAAAACACCCTCATTTGAAGGTGAGGAGAGGGAGTCATTTGGCCTCATTTGAAAGTGAGGAGGGAGTCTAGTCGCAAGGGACTCTTGAGTTACTCTCCACTCCTGGAGTCTGCCTTGCCTGCAATTTTTCCCCTCAGAGTTTATAAGTGCAAGTATTCCAATGGTAAACGGTAGGCTGGGTGGTCTTCGGGCACAGGTTTGTAGACCCTTTAGCATCCAGCCGGTATGGGAGGTTTAGCTAATGCCTGAACGCTGGATGAACGTTAAACTTGTTGCTTGATATCTGTGGAGATTCTACAAGTCATCCAGGTCATGATTGTCCCAAAGGTGCTTCCCCCCCCCACCCCTCAAGAGGGGACTGGACTTTCTGGTTTTCCTTTGAAGACGTTTCGCTTCTCATCCAAGAAGCTTCTTCCAGCTCTGAAGTGAAGCAGCTTCTTGGATGACAAGCGAAATGGGAAGAAGCACCTTGATCATCAGTCTGTCAAATTGGCTTTCTTTTCCCTGCGCTTAGAAAGGAATGCTGGAAAGGCCTGTTAAGTGCATATTTTCCCACCGTTCAAGAGAATGGTGAGACTTAATCTTTGCAGCAGCGCCTATGGGAGGGAATCAATAGGAATTGAATAGGAAGAAATAGGAATACCGTGTTTCCCCGAAAATAAGATCCTGTCTTATATTTTTTGAACCCTGAAATAAGCGCTTGGCCTTATTGCCATGCGCTCAAAAGCCTGATTGGACATATTGTCAGGGGATGTCTTATTTTGGGGAAAACAGGGTATTATATTATCATTTGAAAAATCTCCCAATCAGTATTGTTGATTATGTGCCATCGCATTCTTTTTGACTTCTAGCAACCACATCGATGCCTTGATTGTCTATTCTTAATCTGGTCTTTCAGGTCTTTTTAGTGCCAGTGTTACTGAGTCCATCCACCTTGTTGGTGGTCATCTTTTTCTCTTTTCTTCTAACTTTCCCACCATTTAGAGCCTTTTCCAGAACAATAGGTGTTCAGATTTGCTAACTTTATTGTAATTTAATTATAAATAGGATTTGACAAATTGAAACTATTTGGCACAATTATTTGGAAAACCGAGCCAGAATTCTGGAGGACTACAGTTTAGTATGAATTTATTTATATTTATTTATAAATATTTGCTTATTTCATTCATTTATTGATCCAAGCAATCCATTGACTTTCATATCACTCTTTCACTGTTCACCTGCAACTCCTGATTTTTCCACTGCTATGTAGATCACCAAAAACAAACAGACAACCCTGTAGTTTTTTATACTGGCTTAAAGGGGGACAGTAAACTTGATTTGAGTCATAAAACAAAGTAATCCTTTCTGTTTAGTGCTGTAGTTACAGGAGAAAAAGTATGAAATTTCAGTGACAAGTCAACATTCATTATTATTGTTCCATGTGAATGTTACCAATATATGTGAAGCATTTGAACAGTCGTAACTTCATGTTTCATAAGTTGCCAAGTCTTATAGCTATTTTCAAATGAAGTAGGTCAATGACAATATTATTTGCAGGAATATTTAATAAACTTGTATCATTAATAGTGCTTAATTCCTAAGAAAGGTTATACCACTTATACTCAATCTGCCTAATATACATGTTATTTCCTCTTTGAAGACTTGCTGTCCAAGTCTTTCCTGTTTGAAGATTTGCTACCCAAAATATTTCTTTACAGAATTAAGAATATAATGAAGGTATACTTTTCAGAGCAGATTATATATATATACATATGTTAATATGTTTTATTCATTTTACAATCTAAAGATAGGTGAAAAAAATCAAACCATTATTCTATCCCCCTCCCAAAATGTCATTAAAATTTTAAAATAGCAAAATAACATCTTAACAAAAAGTATTTCCATTTGATTGCAGAACAAAGATTAGTGACTTGAAATACATAGTTTCCTGTATGTGGCACTTGAAAAAGCCCACTTGCAAATTACCCTAATAATTATTGGAGAAAATAATACAAGCAAAGGGTGTTTTAGGTTATCTTTAGTCAGGATTATGCACAAGTAGATAGCCAAATGCTATTTAATTTAGGGTCTAAAAGTCATAAATCACTAACAAGCTAATGGCTAGGGTACATAATATAATTTATTTTTAGTAAAACTCAAGTCTGCCTCAGTATTTGCACTGAACAGTCTATGTTAGCTGATAGGAATTCATATAGCTATATTTTTAATTCTATACAGCTAAAACTTAAGAAACATACAAGCAGTTTTCATTTTTTTATTTCCATGCTTTAACTTTTGCTTACTTAATATATTTAAACCAATAAATTAAAATTAAAGATCTAATTGTTTTAGACCTGTCAGTGCAAATCTGGATGTTTTATTTAAATTGTTTATAGCTACCCAATTCAGTGGACTCTGTTGAAGGCAGTGAACTGTTATATGTATATTTTAACTACCATTTTATCAGAAAACAGGATCTGATTTTACAGTTCAGATTTTCAGAAGAATGTTTTTTGACATTCTCATCTGGCAGAAAATATATTTTGAGATTGGATCATTTGAAATCTGATGTACAATGTTTCAATCACAGAATGCCTTGTTCAAACACAAAACAGTAGTGTTTGAGTGCAAAGTGAGCTGTCGTAACATTCTGAAGCATTTCAAACTCAAAATCGATTGAAATGTGTTGTACATCCCTAATACTTACTATACTTTTTTCTTGGAGACTTGTTATATGAAAAATACAAATAGCAATTGCAATAATAAAATAGCAAGTTTTTAAACGATCATGAGTTGTAATATCCATAAAGGAAAAAAAATAAAACATATATTGACAAGATTGGCAATATTGTAACAATTTAAAATATCTTGCTCTTTGAGAGTCCTAATTAACCAGATTTGGAAGATAGCTTGTTTCTGTTTTGCTTGCTTTCCTAAAATCCTAAACTGTGTTTTTCAGATGGGACATCCAGGCATGCCTCACTATCCACCCATGGGAATGCATCCTATGGGCCAAAGGCCCCCCAACATGCCTCCAGTATCTCATGGGATGATGCCTCAAATGATGCCTCCAATGGGAGGACCACAAATGGGACAGGTAAATGGGCTTCTGTGATTTTGTTTTATATTTATATATATATATATATATATATACTACTTTGAAATGAAACAATACTGTAATTTCTATCTTTTAAAAACTTTCCATAGTTCATTAGGAATTGGCACTGATTCATATCAGTACAGTCCCCTTAATCTCTTTTTCTCATTATTCCTGATTTAAATTATTTCAGAAGATTTTTTTTTTCTTAAACAGGTGTGTTACTTTTCTGCATAACATTTGGGATACGAAAGTATGTTGGCCTTACATTCCTTACTATTTGGTTGAATCCTTACTTCTCCTTAATATATTTCTCCTGTATGTCAATAAGTAGTTTAGCCTTTTCGGATCTGGGCTTTTATTTTTCCTTTTTGTAGTGGCCTTAGCTCTTTGTGTTCAGTGTGATATAAGCAGTATAAAAAAATACCCTTTATTACTACTCTAGATAGTAATCCAGTACTCTACTGTCCATACTTACACTAATTCATACCTTGAATTTTAAAGTCACTCTTAGTATTAGTCCTGTGCTAATAGGGCATTCTATCTTCATATGACATTAAAAATCATGTAAGTCCTTTGCGTTCTGGACAGTATCATAATTTGTTAGTACAGGTGCATGTAGTTTAAACAAGGTTGAATGATGAATAGGAAACATGAAAAGTAATTTGAGCAGTTCAGCTACTTATCTTATTACCCATTAATTGCAAAGCCCCTAATTATCAGCCTATTTAACAACTGATCAAATTCCCTAGGCCATTGCTTTGAATTAAATTGTTGTTCTGCTCACATTACTATTGCTTGGCATATTTTACTGCTTGGCTATCATCAGGAATTCATAGACTGCAAATGGGCGATCTTCTTGCACATATTACTAGAAATGAATTCCAAGAAATGTAAGGCAGGCAGATATATGTGTTTGGCACTTAAAATATGGAGAATTATGTCTTGGATATGAGGTTATTGTCCCATTCATTTAAACAACCCAAGTACTTTCTTCAAGGTATATTATTTTTCTGTTTAAGGAAAAAAACTAACAAATCTTTAGAAGCTCTTTTTTATCACTTTTGGGGGTTACCGTGTTCCACTTATCCAGTTTGTTTTATCATATTTCACACAGTTTATTCTTATTTACACGTTTTTTCCTATTGATATTGGTATTTCCTTTCTCCAGGCACTGATTTATAGATATCTTGAGTTGTGCATCAAGTGATATGTCATAAAATTAAGGCTGTCTCCAAGCACTTAAAGCAGGACTAACATTCAGAGACAATGGGTTATAAATCCATGTGTTGAGAGCCACCACATAGTTGATAAACCCCTGGACCTTTGTGGCTTTCCTAAAACCTGGATTTGTCAAGCACAAATGTTTTATTTTATGGGGATAGAATATAATTGGTGGCCTATATTCTGAAAGTGTTTCTAAAACTATTTGGATGGAGATATTTAGGGAGCAACTCTTGGTTGGAACACACTTATTTGGAAGCAGCAGTGGGGCAAGACTCCTTTCTTCTCCTGCTTCTACAGGATGGTGGGGAATGGGAGGGCCACTCCCATTCTTTCTTCTCTTCCTCACGCTTCCAAGAAAACCTTGTGGATTGAGGGTGGAGCAGTAGCCCTACCAAATACCTCTCCCTCCACACAAGATGGAAGGTAAGAGGGAGCAATAACCTGATGCTCCCTGAAGATACATGGGAATGGGGTTATTTGGCCAACCCTTCAGGGATTGTCATTACATATTTGGGGGTTGATTTCCCTAGCACTATTTGTGGGATCTGCCGATAAAATTGGCTGAATACGGCCAATTAATTATATTATGTGTTGCCATCCTCTTAGTCCCCAATGAGGACTGATGAAAATTTCACAAAACCTTTGCCTTTCTTTCAGAAATTTTTTTCTGGTTAATGGCCATGTGCATACACAAGGAAATTAGCTCTATATGATAAATGCCTTGGGTCTTTGCCCAAGCTGGCTTCTATTAGACCCTTGTGTGTATTGTCTTGCGGCATCATTGTCAGAATAAGAATTATCCCTCACTATATTTACACTGATTTAAGGAATAAGGAAAATGATATGGTTTTAATTGGTTAAGGTAGTTTGCATCCTTGTTGCATGCCTTTCTCCGCTTTTTAACAGTTCATGTTTTTGAACCCTGCAGTCATAATTCTTAAACTTTATAGTTCTCTTCATCTTGGAACATCTTTGCAGCATAACTCTTACTCCAGCCCTGTGAGACAAGTTCTTCAGGTATTATCCTCTGTTCATAGATGAGGTAAATGAGCCCTCAAGATTAATAGAGTTTACTTAGGTCACAGGGAATTGGTTTGGGAATTAGAGGTTTTAGAGTTTTAAATGGATTGGGCCCCATTCCTTCAATGACTTGCAAGTAGTCTAATGTTTGGGTTTTTTAAAAATAAGACACAAGCATATGGGCCCATATACTTGTTTATCTTTCTGCTATCCCTCCATACCAGTCTGCTTCTTTCTTCATGTTTTGTCTTGAGTTCCCTTTCGAAAGACAATCAAGAGTAGATGAACAATTGTGTCTTTATTTGTTGGCCCTCAGCAATTAATATCTTGCCTACTTTAATGCTTCTGATCATTTAGAGCTTTAATAGTATTTATTTGGAACATCATCAGACAATTGCTGGATTCCCTTGTTAAACTTATATGCCCTTTTATAACTCTACTCCTTTGTTATGCCCCAATTTAGCTGTTTGGGAACAGGGTTAAATTATATCCTCCCATGAACAAAAAATAGTTACAGATGTAGTGTGACAGGTTGTAAACAAATACAATAATCATATTTTGATTGTAGATGCCTGGAATGATGCAGTCAGTGATGCCCGGAATGATGGCACCTCATATGTCTCATGGCCCCATGCAGCCAACAGGACCGGTAAATATTCTGTTTACAATTTTAAAGTATTTGCTCCCTACTGTACTGATTCTGTATCCTTTTCCTGTACCTTTTGTCCAATATATAGTTCAGTATCTTTTATTAAAACAATTAACCAACTTGAGCCACTTTATTGCTAATTATTTCAAATTTATATAATGAAAAATGCTATAGTCAGAATATGATTATTTCATGTTTCATTATAAGGTAGCCTCAGGAGTTTAATAGACGGCGTAACTATAAAATTCATAAATATTTTAATTTAATTTAATTGTTTTATTACAAATGCAAACTAATAATTTCATTTTCCTCTCATGCATCACTTTATGTTCTAGGGATCTATAGAGAAAAACTTTGTTAACTCATAGGGTATGTGAAACTTAATTTTGGATGAGATAGACTAACAATGGACTACTGCAATGCTCTATACATGGGGCTCCCCTTGGGGTGCACCCGGAGGCTGCAGTTAGTCCAGAATGTGGCCGTGCAGGGGATTATGGGAGCGACGGGGCGCTCACATATGACACATCTCCTGCGCGAGCTGCACTGGCTTCCTGTGGTCTTCCGGGTGTGCTTCAAGGTGTTGGTGACCACCTTTAAAGCGCTCCATGGCTTAGGGCCGGGATATCTGCGAGACCGCCTTCTGCCGCCAATAGCCTCCCACCGACCAGTTCGCTCGCACAGGGACGGCCTCCTCAGGGTGCCATTGGCCAGACAGTGCCGGCTAGCGACCCCCAGGGGGAGAGCCTTCTCTGTGGCAGCACCTGCCCTCTGGAATGACCTACCCCCTGAGATACGCACGATATCAGACCTCCGGATTTTCATCGGGCCCTGAAAACATACTTATTCCATCTAGCCGGGCTGGCTTGATCCCATCCTCTCAGTTTTAATTGAATTCGGTTTTAATTGGGTTGTTTTAAACTTTGGGCCAAAATTATTTAATTGTTTTTAAACTGTTTTTAAATTTTATATGCTATGTTTTATCTCGCCCTGAGTCCTGCAGGAGAAGGGCAGTATAGAAATAAAATAAAATAAAATAAATAAAAATAAATAAACAATCCTAGTTTAAATTTGGAAGGATTTGAAGAAAAGTACAACTACAATTGAGCTGAAAATTTATGTTCCTAAGTGAGACATTCATTAAGTGAGTTTTGCCCCATTTCTTGCCACAGCTGTTAAGTGAATCACTATAGTTAATAACATGGTTGTTAAGTAATCTGACTTCCCCATTGACTTTGCTTGTCAGAAGGTCACAAAAAGTGATCACATGACCGTGGGACCCTGCAACTGTCATAAATATGAGTTAGTTGCCAAGTGTCTGAATTTTGATCACATGATCATGGGGCTGCTGCACTGGCCATAAGTGTGAAAAATGGTCAAAAGTCATTTTTGCAGTGTTATAACAGCAAACTTGTAAATCAAGGACTACCGTGTTTCCCCCAAAAAATAAGACCTATCCCGAAAATAAGCCCTAACTTGATTTTTACACGTGTGCCCAATATAAGGCCTACCCCCCAAAGTAAGCCCTATTTAAGACCCTGCCCACTCTGCTACATCTGGTTGCACGAGGTGGAGTGAGGTGCACATGTAAAAACCAAGCTAGGATGGGAGTGGAACTGACTTATGTGCCCCACTCCTGCTTATCTTAGGACAGTTGCAGCCTCCCACGCCCCGACACCTGCCTCGCCTTGCCGGCCCACTTCTGCGGCTGCTTGCTGCCACTTCCACACATCCCCCGTGGCCTCTGTTTCGCCATCAGAGGCCTTCAGGAATGACCTCTGCAGCCGAGAAACGAGCTCCGAATTGATACGTGCGGTGCCCCCGGCCTCCATTTCGCCATCAGAGGCCTTCAGGAAAGGCCTCTGCAGCCGAGAAACAAGCTCCAAATTGACATGCACGGTGCCCCTGGCCTCTGTTTTACCGTCAGAGGTCTTCAGAAAGTGGCCACAGAAGTAGGCCAACAGCAGCCACACGGGCTCTGCTGGGCAGGGTTGTAGGTGCTGCTGCCATGAGGTGAGACAGTGGAAAAGATATCCCCGAAAATAAGACTTAATGCCTCTTGGAGGCAAAAAAAATAATAAGACTGGGTCTTATTTTCTGGGAAACATGATACCTGTATCTAGATTGCAAATAGGAGGAAGGACCAGCATTCTCTTTGTTATTTAAATTCTATGTCCCAACCTCTGCTTTATAGGTACACATGAAAAATGTAAAATAGATTATTTTGTTTTCCTAGAATGGCTAGTTTAGCTTTAATAGTTATCTGTTGTTTAACATGACCTACAAGATCCTTCCAACTCTGTTGATCTGTAGCAATACCTGATGATTTAATAGTAGATCTAGATTTCCCTGACTCTCATTGACTATCTCAAAGCAAACTCTACTTAACTTGAGAAAGTCAACTTTCAAAACCAAATTGATGCCAAATTCAGGGTGTGAACAGAAGTTGAAATTGGGCATGGAGTGTGTATGGCAAATAAGTTAAAAAATTATAGATAATATTTGTAGGATATACTTCCTGATTATTCTGCATTACAATCTCTTTTCTTTGACTTAATCATTGTTTTAGATTGTTACTCTGTTGTCTGATAGCTCACACAACATTTCTGTTGCAAGATGTTTCTCTTCAGCTTTCTTTCTCATTGAATCTTTAAGGGTTCAGGGAGTTTTACCTATTCTCTTTATATTGTCTCTTTGCATTGTGTTATTTATTTAGCAATATTTTTGGTACTTGCCTGATCGTCATTAATATTCTTGATTTCACATGGCTAAATAAATAGACTGCAGTATATTAATTTCTATACTAGCTAGTGAGAAAAGGAAATTCCCTCTTTTACAGGCAGTAAAAAATACAGTGAACCAGTGAAGATGAATCAGAGCGTTTCCTATAAAATCTTTTTTTTTTGTCTAATTTCCACAAACTTATCCAATTTAAATATCCCAGAAAAGAATCAAAACTGAATTACTTTTTCTCCCTATATGCTTCCTCAATTGCTTTTCATTTTTATTGGCAGTAGCCTGTGATTTTTTTTAGACATGCAGGCATTTCTTTTCTTTCTTTTGGTCTCCATTTTCAGTTAATTATGAAATAATACTAATTCTCCACGAACAGTATTTCAAAAATCTATCCTTTTTTATTCTATACAGTAAAATATACAGTACATTATTATCCTGTAATAATTTTCTGATCTCTTTCATCTTTAATATCTTAATTGTCTTTTTCAAAAGCTGAATTTTTACCTGAGAGGTCTCTTGGAAGAGAGGCAGGATATAAATCAAAATAATATCTCTTATCACTAAGACTCATCTCCCCCTCCCCCTCCAATATCTCCATTTCTAGTGACTTTGCAAGTTCTTCATATCAGCTTTCTGGGAGCAGCTTTGTCATTACTCTTGTTTTGAAACAACTGCATTAGTTTTTGATCAAAATTGAAAGTGCTACCTTTAAATTCTCCATTGAGGGTGGAGACAGCAGCCAGTATGGGTAGTACTTGCCCAGTCAGCCTGAACTTGATACTAACTCAGCATGCTGACTAAAACTGCCTATATAAATGATACTTGAGGATGCTTAATGTTTCCTCTTTCCAGTAATCAATGATTGAGAGAACTAGATAATTGTTAAGAGAAAGTAGTAATTTATTATATTTACAGTAAATGTTGCCCAACTCCTACCGACACTGGGTGGATTACAAGTTGTCTGAAACTTTAAACCAAGAAAAAAAAAAAGAGATTTAAAAAAGGGTAAAATTGACAGGATGACAAAACCAGATGGGAACAAAGGAAAACAACCCACATAGTGTGAAGGAAGCTTCAACCAACCATTGTCAAGTCTTCAAGACCCTTCAAATACCAGCAAGTGATTTTGGATCTTAGGGAGCCTCATTCTGGATGGTAGGTGCTGCTTTAGAGAAGGTGCACTTATAGTGTCCTAATAAATGGCATTGCTTAGTCAAAGGAACCCGAAGTGTACCAACCCTGCCAGATCAAATTAGCTGGGCAGATAATATGGAGATAGGCAGTCTCTCAAGCAACTGAGCCTCATGCCATGTAGGGCTTTATAGGTAATAGCTACATCTTGAATCAAATAATGCATTCTGGACCAGTGGAAACTTTTAGATGGTCTTCAACGCTCTCCATATAGAGTGCATTAATCTTGCATGATTGTACACAAAACACATTCCTAAAATCCAAACATGTGGAATCTGCATGAAATGGTAGTGACTGTTTACTTCCCCAAAATAATTATTACTTAACATATATTTTACAAAAATAGTCTCCTTTGAACTGAGCTTCATCGCTGTGATGGCAAACCTTTTAGAGACCAAGTGCCCAAACTGCAACCCAAAACCCACTTATTTATCACATGGCAATTTAACCTGAATACTGAGGTTTTACTACCTAAAATAATGATAAACAAGGCAGAGTTCAGCTAATTGTGGTACCTTGCTCAATAGTAGTAACTATGAGAGGGATCTTGGAGTCCTAGTGGACAACCATTTAGATATAAGCCAGCAGTGTGCAGCAGCTGCCAAAAAAGCCAACACAGTTCTGGGCTGCATAAACGGGGGGATTGAATCAAGATCACATGAAGTTTTAATACCACTTTATAATGCCTTGGTAAGGCCACACTTGGAATATTGCATTCAGTTTTGGTCACCACTATGTAAAAAAGATATGGAGACTCTAGAAAGAGTGCAGAGAAGAGCAACAAAGATGATTAGGGGACTGGAGGCTAAAACATATGAAGAACGGTTGCAGGAACTGGGTATGTCTTGTTTAATGAAAAGGACTAGGGGAGACATGATAGCAGTGTTCCAATATCTCAGGGGCTGCCACAAAGAAGGGTTTTCAACATATTCTCCAAAGCACCTGAGGGCAGGACAAGAAGCAATGGGTGGAAACTAATCAAGGAGAGAAGCAACTTAGAACTAAGGAGAAATTTCCTGACAGAACAATTAATAAGTGGAAGAACTTGCCTGCAGAAGTTGTGAATGTTCCAACACTGGAATTTTTTAAGAAGATGTTGGATAACCATTTGTTTGAAGTGGTGTAGGGTTTCCTGTCTGGGCAGGGGGTTGGACTAGAAGACCTCCAAGATCCCTTCCAACTCTGTTATTCTATTTCTATTTCTAAATCTCTGTAGTTGGTTCAGCCAAACCAGCAAGCAGGTCTTCTCAAGATTGCTGAACAAGCTTCTTAAGATTTGGAGAGGAAAGTAGCAAATTGTTCTAAGAAAAACGTGATAAATGCACTTTTATGCCCCTTCATTTTTTTCTGCTTTTGAAATATTACATTTAACAACAATAGAAAAGAAAAATCTTTGTACTATCATTTCTTAGTTTTTCTCTTCATTTTCTTATCCCAATTTTCTCTGTATATTTTTACTTCTTTTCTTGTTAAAATAAAATAGTTTTAATTTCTATTATTGAAAGAGACATCGCCTTCCTCATAACTAAATACCTACCAATTATTTATCTGGAAGAAAACTGTATCACCATAAAATGTCCTGTCCAGGACAGAAGAAGGGACAGTCTCAGCCTAGATACCTTTGGTTACAAGCCAAAAAATCCAATTACCTTTGGACAGGAAATTCAAAACAAGAAAGTGGAGAGGGCAAAGCCTGCAAGATACAGGCCATGTATCTTTCCTGTAAGATACATGGCCTGTATCTTGCAGGAAAAGACAAGGTTAGGGATGCTTTGAATCCGCTGTATGGAGACCAGATAGCTTTTTTTTGTTCTGCTTCGTAGTCTGATGAGTGGTTCCAATTAACAAATATGCTTAATTCGCTCTCCCCCCCCCCCCACCCCCATACCTTTCTCCCAAGGACTCTGCAAATACTATGATTGTCTGGCTGAAAAGCACAACATGGGTAGTTACCAATTTATAGTCTTTGCTTCTCCACTCTACGCCGCTACCGCCACGGGGGCGGCTGCTTGTTTAGCAGCGGTGGCCTTGGCTATAGTGGGAGGGTTGGTTGGTTTTTTGTCCACCGCGATCCGTGACGGAAAAAAAGAGGGGGGGAAGGCCACGCATGGTTGGGCACGCTTGGCGGCAGGAGAAGGGGTGGTGCAACAGGGCTGTTTTGTTCGCCGCCGATGGAGTCACCAACTGACTGACTGACCTGATTGAAGCTGAGCCCAATGTAGGGGAGACTGCAGGGTTAGTTTGGCCGGGCAAATTTGCTATCAAAGTGGAACCTGGGCACTGTGCTGCAATGTAGAAACGGGAAATGGAGCAGCCAGCACAAGTTGAGGAAGAGCAGGAAGAAGAGAGGGCCGCTCTGTTGCCCGTTTTTCCATTGTCGCACCCGGAGCTTGCCCCACCCACCACCACCCAGATGCTCTCGCTTCCCCCAAGCATTTCTTTGCCTACCTGATTTCCAGCTCCGTGGCGTTTCTCTGTTACGTTTCTTGCCATTATGTGCAGGGAAACAAAAGTTTGTGGGACTAAAAAAAAAGTTCACTCAATCAATTCCAATTTCGTGAGATCTTTTTCTTTCCAAGAAGTGGGAATTGATTGAGTGAAACTTTTTTTTTTAGTTCCACAGACTTTTGTTTCTCTGCAAATGACGGCGAGAAACTCGACAGAGAAACATGATGAAGCTGGGCTGGGGCGACGGCACACGTGCCCAGAGAGGCGATCTCTGGCATGTGTGCCATAGGTTCAACCAATGTAGTTTTCTTTCACAGTACAGGTAGTCCTCGGTTAAAGGCCATTTATTTAGCAATCTTTCTAAGTTAATGGTGGTGCTGGAAAAACTGGCTTATAACCAGTCCTCGCATTTAAGAACTGTCAAAGTGCCCCTCAGTCCTGTGATCATAATTTGAGAGCTTGGCATTTGCTGCATATTTATGATGATCACAGTTTCCTGCAGATTGCCATTTACAACCATCCTGGCCAGCTTCTGTAAAGCAAAGTCAATGGAGAAGCTGGAAATAAGTTGCAAATTACAGAAAAGTTTATAAAATTGGGTTCAGTTGCACTCTGCCTTACTTAATAATTACACTACTCAACAACAAATTTTTTGGTCCCTATTGGTTATATGTTGAGGTCTGTCTGTAGTTTTCTTTCTTCCTAGCCAATATTGTCTGGTTTTGAAAAGCAAAGCAAGTTCGAATCTGGTTAGTATTTGGACAGGAAATAACCAGAAAATACAAGCACAAAAGACTGGAATGGGAAGTTAAAAAAAACATCTGGCAAGGATAAACCACTTCCGCGTTATTACCTGTGTCTGTCTGTCTGTGTGTGTGTGTATATAAACAAGTCTCTGCTATCATCTCAAATTGAAATAGGTATATATACATATATATATATATATATATTTGTTTTTTTTACAGCCAGGAGTGAACAGCATGGATTCGCAAATTGGTATGTATGAATAATCAATTATTTGTTAAGTAATTTAGGCTGTTATAAGAAATATTATTTTTTCTAATTAAAACTAAATTAAATTTTGCCGTTAATTTAATTATCAAAGGAAAATTTGAAAATGTCTGTTTTTATAATGGAACAAACAAACTTTATGGTCTTTAGAAATAATATTTTTTGGATTAAAAGTTCATCTAGAAAAATACAAGAGAAAATGCTAACAATTAGGGGAAAGAATTTAACAACAGAGTAGTCAGGATTGTGTCAGCCCACTAGTTATAGTTTTATTTATTTATTTTTTCATTCATCACACTTCTATACTACCTGTCTCACCTAAGTGACTGGGTGGTTATATTAAAAACATCTCACAAAATATCAAAGCATAAATAAGAATTTATTTGTACTCTCCCTGGCCTCTATGGAGCCTCTTGCACATCCCTTTGCACTTTCCCCAGCCAGCACCTCTCATGTACCTCCTTGCATCTTTGCCATCCTGCATACCTGACCCAAATAGTACCTTTTGAACACCCCTTGGTACTTTCCCTGGCCCTCTTGCATGCCTGCACCATCCTCTCATGCGTCCTCTCCTGTGCACCCTCTTGCTCCTTCCCCCACCAAGCAGCAGCAATTTACCTGCCTGTGGGCCTAGGACTTTCTGCTGGCCTTCCCACGGACTTTGGTTGTATTGGTTACTTGCTTAATAAACATGGGATTCTGTTAACATCAACTGGGGCTGCAGGGATTGCCTTCACTAAGCAATGTGTCCACGCTTTATGGCCATATGGCTTAGGAATGGAAATTCCAGTCCCAATTGCTGTCGTAAGTCGAGGACTCCCTATATTATGTTTTGAATAAACCATAATTTTTGCTAAACAATAAAAAGGTATTTGTAGAGCACACTGGGTGAATTCACGCAACATGCGAAAGTGAATCCAACCAACCCAGTTGACTTTGCACAGTATATGAATCTAATCGCTGCTCTGGAAGAGAAATACTTGAAATATTGGCATGAATAATGCTTTCTAGGAAATTAGGTAGTTAAAATGTGATTTGGCTGATTGCATGTAACACACAACTAACATCTGAACACCTAGGATCTGCTTTTTTATTATTTCTGACTTTCTTTTTAAGTGTAAGTGTAGAGTCTAAATTGTATTAATTAAATGTGGCCTCAGCCAAAATGTGCATCCATGACATTCTGCCTGAAATAGTTCCTGGCAAGTAAGCTGTTAAATATAGGACTTGTGTGCCAATTTATTTTAATAAAACTTGAAAGCTTTTTGAATCACAGTAAATCAGGAAGGATTTGTTTTAGTATTTCCATAAAATTGATTTCTCAATTTTTTTTTCTGCATAGGTTTAGCTCCCCCTGGGACTCAGGTAAGAAAGGACATTTTGTTTCTTGGTAATTCAGTCATTTCTAGCCAGTTTCCCTGCTGTCTTTCTCCCTCTTATATTAAAGCAAGCACTTTGTTGAGTACTTAACTTTGCCAAAGTCTTAGAACACTCATACTTAGATAGAAGGTTTGAATAGGATAAGTAATGCAGGTAAAGTACAATAACTTGGCTTCAGAACTCATAATTTGTATCATATACATAAAGTTACCACTTATGCAATTTTGAACTAGATATGATCTTTGCATCCATTTTATTCAAAACTTTACATTAAATTACATTTAAAATGTAGTAAACATTTTCCCTTGATGGGATTCATTCAAAAGTGCTTAATTATGGCAGGATCATGCCTGACGTTTCAGCTAGTTCTGATTTGTTATATCCAAACCAGGACAAACTATTCAATAATGATAATTTGAACTATTAATGAACCTCTGTTAAAAACCAGCCATAATTCTTAACTAAGGAAATCTACAGGATGTTCAAAATCTACATGTTATCAAGTGTTATGTTAAAATGCAAGCCCTGCTGTACATTTATACAAATTGGGCAGACGTGCCATGCCTGCTATTTTGTAGATTTTTGAGCCTTTCCACCAATATGTAGATACCCCTCTTCTTAACTAATTGTACTTTGTTGTTTATTTGATTAATTTTTTATGCCATATGTCTCCCAGAGACTCTTGTCATAATCTGTTGTAATTATTCTGGAAGAAGAATGAGAAGCAAGAATTGTGACTAAATTAGGCTACAATTCTTCAGTTTGCAAGTTCCCTAATAGCTAATATAGTAATGATTAGGAATTACTTTTCAGAGCAAGTAAGAACATAGTATATTTAACTCCAGTCAGGGTGTTATGAATATATCAGAAAATGTTTTTATAATGCAAATGTGCACAGAAAGACAATTTTTAAGTTATAAAATGTTTTTGTTACTTATTGAATCCTTAAGAATTTTCAAGGTTATGAATGTACAGTAATCTTCAATTTATGACCAAAGTTGGAGCCAGAATTTTGGTTACTAAGCAGTGCAATCCTTAATGAGTCATCATGTGGCCAGATCCCATTTTATAACCAGTTTGCTGTAGTCATTGAGTGAATCTTGGTCGTTAAGTGAATCACGTGCTTAAGCGAATTCAGCTTCCCCAATTAATTTTTCTTGTCAGAAGCAAGCTGGGGAAACCATTAATCATGATTATATGAACGAAGAATATTGCAATCCTTGTAAATTATTGCCAGTTGCCAAGTACCCGAACTGCAATCAAAAGACTGCAGGGACGGTGCAGCAGTTGTGACTTTGAGGGCAGGCTGTAAGTCACTTATTCCAAGGCCATTATAACTTAGAACTATCATTAAACAAATGGTCATAAATCGAGAACTCTACCTGTAGCCATTTTCATAAGCAATCCCTATAGGCTCCATTTTCCAAACAGGGAAAGTATATAAAAGTGTCCCTACAGTGAATTTTGACTCCTTGTAATCATATTAATATGTTGATGAATTTTCTTGACTTTATTGTGGAAATGATTTTCCATTATCGTCTTCTTGGATGTATTTTTCAACTTTATTTCCTACATCTGATGATGCTGATAAGGTTTCTGACATCAGAATTGATTAGGTGCTGCCCCCTGCTGTAGATGAGTGTGGCTTATAGAAAGGCTTTGAAAAGGACAGCAAGTACTGTCTTGAAATCTCAAATTTCATGTCCTCTCATCTGAAAAGTATTCATCTTTAGTATAAATTTATTTTTCTATGTCTCCATTACTTTTTTGAGTTTTTTTATTTCAGACAACACTATTTGCATATAGCTATGCAATCACCTGTTATAAAATAATTAAGATCATATTCTGTTCACTTCTCCATTACTATCAGCACATTTGAGACTTAGATTTGATCACAGCAATCAGTGATATCATTTCTACATAATGCAGATTTAATTTTAAAAAACACATTAAACTATAGTTAATGAAGCTAGGCTATTCTGGTAAGCATTATTACATTTAATGGAAGCAGGAGTTTCCTGTTCACCATTGTTGTAACCTAGGTTCTTTTCATCTCTGAATAACTGCCATTTTGTAGATTGGGTTATATTTCATTGCGCGTAGATTTGAATCAGAAACAAGGTAGATCATAAAAATATGATTAACAGAGATGGCATAGCGTGTCTTATGATCTTGAAATGACAGATTCCTTTATATTGAATATGTCAGAGAATGTTCGGTAAGGTTTTGTTCCAATTGCTATGCTTTTCAAAATCCAACTGAGAAGTTGGACCATTAACTCATAAGATTTGGTCTTGTCCTATTGGCACAAACTGCCATCATCAATTTATTAATATGACTGGATAAATAACTCTGTAATAAACAAGCATGCATCCCTCTTGATTACATCCCTAGCATTTGGAATCTATCAAGACAACCACATAATGAACTTTTCATTGGAACTATTTAAAAGCATTGTATAACACCGAAAGAAATACATTGGTTTATAGTGACATTATTATTATTTTTTTGTTAATATCTGATAAAGGCTTAAAAAGCAATGTGATCAAAACCTTTGCTTTTTCAAGGTACAGAAATAAAATTAAGGAACAAGGTTATCCCTTTTATATCTTGAATAAAAACATAACTGCATTTCACTGGATTAAATTTTAATTCATATTTTCTTTATTTAGCCTACACCTCCAGTTTGTGCGGTGCAACAAGCCACTCCAACCAATAACTCTACTAATGAAGAGCCCTCAAAACAGGTTTCATGTTTTTCTCTTAACAGTTTTGTTATACTCTATCTTAAAATCCCAAGACAGAAATAGAATGTTCTATTTTCCTTAGAAATCTACGTGGTCAGAGCATAAGTCACCAGATGGGAGGACATACTATTACAATACTGAGACCAAACAGTCTACCTGGGAGAAGCCAGATGATCTTAAAACCCCTGCAGAGGTAAAAGAAGCAACTGAAAATGTAATTATTTAACTATCCATGTCTCACTAAATGAAAAAGAAATATTTACTATTAAGAAAAATGTTCCTTTCGATGTGCAATTCTAGTATCCTAGTCTTTATATTAATGCTGCATTAGGCAGAGAATGACCAAAGAATTTTATTTCATGAAACGAATTGTGTGTAACTTGTATCTTTGCAATTTTGCATCTTCATCCAAAGATTCTGAAAGCATTTTACTACATTCATTTTTGTATTATAGAATGATTTCTGATATTGTGTTGTTTCCCCTTCTTTAGCAATTGTTGTCAAAATGCCCATGGAAAGAATACAAATCTGATTCTGGAAAGCCTTATTACTACAACTCTCAAACAAAGGAATCCCGTTGGGCAAAACCCAAAGAACTTGAAGATCTTGAAGGTAATTATGATGTTTTATCTTCAACATAAGCTTTATAGATTGTGGCAATTCCAGTTAGGGAAGGTAGGAGATTCAGACCATATAATGAAATAATCTAAGATATTTTAAATGTTTTAGAGGAATAATTGGATAAATTATTGTTGACAAAAGATAAAAAGGATACAGTCACCCTCAGTAACTATAGAGGAACAACCTGTTGCACAGAACCAGCAGCAATTCTCAGACAGCAGTTCTAAAGGATCTTAGGCAGTGATCTGTTTTTACCATTTGAGACTGGAATTGGTAGGAAATTCCAAAATTGTACCAAAATTATTACTGATTTATACTCTATAGCTCATACGTTAATGTTAAGATGAAAAGATCAAAGAAGTGCATTCTTTAAATATAATGTTCATTAAGATTTTGGACTACAAAAGTAAACATTAATACAAACTAAACTTGGAAAAAGAGAAAAGAATAGAAAAAAGAATGAAAAGTGCAGGAAAAAAGAAAAGGAAAAGAAAAGATATAATGAAGAAAAAGAAAAATATATAAAGAAGTGATTTCCAACATTCATCACAAGTATTAACAAATTTACTAATTCTTCATCCCTTTATGGTTACAAATATCTATTCATCCCATCCCTTATCTGTGAGCAAATTCATAAAACATCAACTTTTCAGTCCTGGTCTCAGCAAATAAAGCAATTAAAAGATTGCTAGAACTTTGCAGAACAATGTTTTATTTTAACCTTAATCAAATAAGCCATTTTACATTCCTTCCTTTTACCTCTAACAGTTTTAATCTTTAATCCAATCAAATGTTGTAGGACTTGATTTCTCTTTAATTCTTCTTTATCCCATTACACAGATTCCTGTGTGATGAGATAAATCCTGTTTTGGTACTTTCTCTGCTATGTCAGATTAAATTTGGTTCCACATCTGTGGTTCCTTCATTAACACCTTTTAGAATAGTGCAGCCATAGAAGCAGATAATCATTATTGACATTGTTGATGTTGTAGTTACTAATTTTTGGCTCTGTTCTCTAATATTTTTGATGTTATAACATTTTATGTCATTTTGTAAGTCCCACTGTTAACTGACATCTAGAACATGCTTGTATTTTTTCCTTACTGCTTAGAATTTTTGGTCCCCTTTAGTGTCTAGTATCCTAAAATCATAAAGTAACTTAATCTTTGGTATGATTTACAATAGCCAGGATAGCCAAAATAAGTCTGTTTCTAATGAGAAATTATTTTTATAGTTAATTCCAAAATCTTATGGTGAAAGTCAGTGTTCCAAATTCGTTAAATTCCTTAAGTTGTTTATAACTTTAATATATCAAAATCTTACTTAGCTTTTTGCTGTCTATTTTAAATTAAGTTCTTAAACTTCTAATTATGTTTTCTTTTATTCAGAACTAAAGATAAATTTACCCAATGAGTTTTCAAATGTTCCAAAAATCTCTAATAGCTTTAAGTTAATAGGTAATTTTCAAAAGTGATTAGACAGCAGGACTTGCAAATTTAGGGTCATTATAATGCTCAACTATGGTTGTGAACAAAATGGTTAAATCCTTTGTTCCCTGGCATTCAGACCTGTGGAAAATCACTCTCCTGCTATCTGCTTGTGAAGAGCAGTTATCCAGAACACATTTGAGTGATCTCTTGTCCTCTTTTTATCTGGAGAGGTTCCAGAATAGTGGTTTACTCACTGGTTCTTTGGTCTTTGCCACGGTCATTGGCTTAGTTTTTGCGAAGATGTCTTCAGTTCACCATACCTCCGCCAGAAGTCTGACGTCTGTATTTTTAAAATACCTTTTGTGTTCTGTCATCTGAAAAAGTTATTCATTCATTCATAAAACACTTTTGACATATAGGCTATACTATATTTTCACTTAAAAATAAAAAAAGTGATTTTTCACATGCAGAATGTTTTCGGGTCTATCTCTAAAATGATATACAATATCTTAAATATATAAATACTTCTTTGTTCTTCTTTTACAGCAATGATTAAAGCAGAAGAAAGCAGGTATGCTTACAAATACTTTTCTTAAATATGTCTTTGTACTTAAACTAAAATGCAGTCAAAACTGATGAAAAGATTAATCCATTTTAAAAACCTTTTTGGAAGAGGAAAAGTAGAGATTAAATACAATATCTCGGAAAGTACTTAGGTAATTATATATGTAGCATCAAGGTTGAAACCAGTATGTTGAACTACATTCCGAAAACAATTGACAATCTTAACAGGATTTGAAACAATGCTAGTACTATATCATTCCTGGTTTGCATCCCAGCAGCTGAATTTTACACAGTTTTAGCTTCTCAACCTGCTGATATTAATTGTTCAGTAACTGATGTAAAGAAAGAATGGATGTTCCTGGATATTCATTTCTAAGGAAGTAATTGATATTTCCCTAGAAAATGATTCAGCCTTTTCATAAAATTAATTAAAATGAATGCATGTTGACAGCAAATTACAGTATTGTGACCTCTTAATTTTGAGGAACATAGCAGTCACAATCTGAGGCTTTTCCTATTGATGTGTTCCTTAAGTCTTAAAAACAATAGAAAAGGGGTTTCGGAAGTTTGAATTATGAGATTTACCTCCTGCCAAAAAAACCCTTAGCACGAGGCTGCAAGGCGAACCATAACCAAAAATGGAACACCTGCCTATATAAATTTTAATTTAGAAATCATTTAATTAAATATGCACAAATAATGTATGTTAGCGACTAATTTTTATAATTTGGAAGGAAGAAGCTTGCCTCTCCGTTTTATGTAAAAACAAGTGTGGAAGTTGTAAGTTTGAATGTATAGGGAGACTTTGCCCTGTCTTAATGAGTGACTTTAAGAATATCCAGTGAAATTGATGAGCAGATTAGGAATAATAAAAAGCACATTTTATCTCAGGTGTGATTAATTAGTAGTGATTTGCACAGAATATGATTTTCATTAACGTCTTGAATAGCTTTTAAAGTATTAAGAAGTATATTAATTGGCAGCTCTATTAATAACTAATAGCCTTGTTTACTAAATTAAGTGTGCTGGGTTGATATTCTATTTATAACTGCAGATACATGGAATTATATGTGATAGAACAGCCTGCATTTCATTAGACTTTTAGTAGAAATTTTTAAGGCATTAATGCTGTCAAACACCATGGCTTGCCTGTTCTGAAGGAGATGCAGAAAGATAGAAGCTGATGCTATCCCTGTCTTGTAAATCAGTTACAAATTGGACTTTTCATGGGGGAAAGTTATTTACAGATGTGCAGTGGAAAATATGATCTTTGAGAAATTGGCAGGATTTTTAGAACAAAAAATGATTTCTATTTCTATAACAGCAAATCCGAAGAATCTGCTCCAGTTTCATCTGCTGCGGTTGCACCAGGAATTCCAGTTGCTGCTGCCAGTGTTCCTGACATACCAGTACCTGTACCGTCAGCCCCTGTTGCTCCTGCTGTGGCCTCAGCTCCAGAATCAGAGCCTTCCGCTGTGGCTCCAATTATAGAAAATGATGCTGGAATAGCTCCTTCAACAGATGAGCAGGTACAGCCAGTGGCTCCTTCTGTTGTACAAGAACAGAGCATGGAAGTTATCACAAACTCTGTGGAAGAAACGCCAAAGCAAGAATCCTTGGAGTAAGTAATAGTTCTTAATAACCTCATCTCCTATTATTTTTCAAGAGAATCTTTCATTGTTTGGGAGAAAAAGTGGGTTTCTTTTCTTTAAAAAAATGGAAGAAGAAAAGACAAGAAAAGTACTGTTGTTGTTTTTTTAGTTATTAACTTCTAGTACCTTTAGGGGCTTGTCATCTTAAATTGTGCAGGAGGAAAAGATAGCCACAATGGAGGCTTGGTTAAATAGATTATCTTTTAATTTCTTTTCCACTTCCTGTAGCAAAGATAAGAGGGAAAAGTTCCCAGAATATCTTTCATTTATTTTTCCTGCTAGAGAACCTTCTTGTGAAACCTGGAATCTTTTTCTTACAGGCTTGTTTTTCCAACTCTGGGTGTTATACATGGTGTTTCTTTATATTGCCATTTCTGACCCGAATTTCATCTCATTTATGATAGACTATATATCCAATGAACAGAGAGCAACTTGCTAGGCCCATGCCATTTTGTAATAGCCTGAAGAATTGGACAGACTTAATTTATAATGAATTAAATGATTAAATCTTTTGAATAATGAATTCTTCATGGCAAGAATATGTAATTTGGATTGTCTCAGGGGCCACTTTAAGCTTTGCATAACATTGAGAACTGCACTCCAAAAGTGGGAGGAGCCAAAACTCAAAGGGGGCTGATTTTGGAGGATAGGCTTAAGGGACACACTAACTTTCTTAAGAGTGCTCATTTAAGGGACATCTAGTGTATCAGTTGTCTAAGTGAATGATGCATGTCAAATGTATTAATATATTTGGAACTATCCTGAAATGGTTAACTAGCTATTACTTTTGAAAGGGCATCAGCCTAATATGATTACTGCCTCAGTAGATATTCCATTTAATTAATGTTGCTATTTGTTAAAGTAACCAACTTTTTTTTTAATTGATAGTGTTGTACTCAAAAAGGAAGAAGAGGAAGCCCAACCGGTTAAAAAAACTTATACTTGGAATACGAAAGAAGAAGCCAAGCAAGCATTTAAAGAACTATTGAAAGAAAAGGTTTTTATACTGAGTCAACTATTCTTTAAATTTCAAGAATTACAAATATAATTGATTAGGAGAGTAGCTGATTTTTGTAAGAACTTGAGTAACATTCATGCAAAAATAAATACCAAATACTTTATCTAAACAAGTGGATTTTATAAAATGTCCTGTAAAAATCCATGGGAAAAAGATTTTTTAATATGGAAATTTCAGTTCATAGGCAAGGCAGTTATAGGTTTTTAAAGTTTCAGGCAGATAAGTTGGGATAAGAAAGGGTTAGGTGTGTTTAGAATTTTGGATATTCTGCTTAATCATGATTTCATTCTTGGTGACTGCTGAAACATAACTGCTGAATCAAAAAGTTAATGTTTTCTGAGTGATAGTTTTAATACCTTTAAAAACAAGAATTGGGAAATAAGTATTCTTGGGCTTGCTTTTTCTAGAAATGTGAAGGATTCTGTGACATCACAGTGATATAAGTGTGTTATACATGATATTTGTCATCACTATTATATAACTTTTTCTGGGAAAATATATTAACTATATTGGGTTAAAATGTATTATCCTGAGTGTAAAATATCAAGCCAGATAACTTATTTTCCTTTAGATAACAGAAAATTACATAAGATTAAGCAGTTCTTTTTAAGCTCCTCACTTGTGAAAACAAAATGTCAGTTCCAGAACTTGTGTGATTTATCTTATATATTCACAGCGTGTGCCATCCAATGCCTTTTGGGAACAAGCCATGAAAATGATCATTAATGATCCAAGATATAGGTATCACGAGATTATTTTATTTTCATTGCAAAAATGACTAATTTTATTTTCAATAACCTAGATATAAAAGGGCTAATTTTAGTTGATGTTTCCTCAATTTGCAGCGCTTTGGCAAAATTAAGTGAGAAGAAGCAAGCCTTTAATGCTTACAAAGTCCAGACAGAGAAAGAAGAAAAAGAAGAAACAAGATTAAAATACAAAGAAGCAAAAGAATCTTTTCAGCGTTTCCTTGAAAATCATGAAAAAATGACATCAACAACCAGATACAAGTAAGATTAGCTAATATATAGTCCAATGCTAAAATCTTAGTATCATGGCTGAGATCTTTCCTTAGGAACTCTATGTCTGCACACAGATTGCAATAACTACGTAGGATAGGCTGGTGGGAATGACAGTACAGGTAGTCCTTGGGTTACTATGACAATTGAGACAAAGATATGTATTACCAAATGATGCAGTCGTAAAGCAGGTCATTGCATGTCTCCGTTGCTTAGCAACTGAATTCTGGTACTCCTGGTTGCTCTGTAGGACTGCAGGATTCATTAAATGAAAACTCTTGTGATCATGGGAGGCAGGAGCCGCAGGCAAGCAGGTTGATGGATGAGGGCTACAGGCTTGAGAGGGTGCCAGAGAGCATGGGGCTTGCTGTTGCATAGAGTTAGAGATGGTAGACCTTAGCAATGACAGCCTTCAGCAGTCTTTGCCCATTGCAAGGCCTCGATTTCAGGCCAAGCAGTGGACAGAGTGCTATCCTGTTGGTAAATAAATATTTCCAGTTTTAGTTGATAAGGAAATTGAAGGAAAATCTTCGGATTGAATTAGAGTAGGGGTCCCCAAGCCCCAGGCTATGGCCCACAGCTGGGCCTTGAGCTGTTTGAAACGAGCCGTGGGACTGGTGGGGTGAGTGCACATGCGCATCCCAACTTGCGCACGCTCCATTCGTGCGGAACCATCACCCCACACCACCCCCAGCCAGTTTGCAAAGCTGGATAGTTTGGGAAACTCTGAATTAGAGGTAGAGAAAATTAAGAAGAACAATAATACAAATATTAGTGGTTGATGTTCAGAATACTTTTCAGATTTGTGTTAACTGCATATTGGTTCCTTTTTATCAAGAAGAAAAAAATAACTCGATACTAGTTTAAATAATAGAAGGAATAAGATGCTGGTAGTTATCAAGGGAAAATGTAGTCAAAATAAGATGTTTTTAATAGATTTATTATGTGATTTTTGTATTCCTGTATGTAGAAAAGCTGAACAAATGTTTGGAGAGCTGGAAGTCTGGAATGCAATTTCTGAACGTGATCGCCTTGAAATTTATGAAGATGTTCTATTCTTCCTGTCAAAAAAAGAAAAGGTAATTGATTATCTTTCTAACCTAAACAAAAAAAAATCTGTGTTGTACTCTGGGATAATAATGTCTACCGTATTTTTAAACAATATATTTGAGATTCGGGGAGTAAATTTCTGTCCTGGTTTTGCCATAAAAATGCCTAATGTTTTTAATTATTGACTGATAGAATTTGTTTCTTAAATAATTAACAAAAGAAGAGAAAACTTGATGTTCTAGTGTTGGATTTTTCTAGAAAGGAGTCAAATTAAAAAGCCTGGTAGTTCCTTGCTAAGATTAACACTTATCACCTTTCCCTGCAAAGAGGGATTTTTATAGAATTGAAAGTTCAGGCCAAACCACAGAAATAGGGTGCAGTTGTTCAGTATTTGTGCATGTCTGTCATATCAATTATGGGCAATGCTGCATTTTAGGAAAACATCACTATTTTTTATGTCTGTCTTTTTTCCAGGAACAAGCCAAACAGCTAAGGAAGAGGAACTGGGAGGCATTAAAAAACATTCTGGACAATATGGCTAATGTCACTTACTCTACTACATGGTCAGAGGCTCAGCAGTATCTGATGGACAATCCTACATTCGCAGAAGACGAAGAACTTCAGAGTAAGGATAATCGTGTTTTACCTTTCTATAAAAAAATAAACTTTTAATTGATAATAGCAACTCATCTATTAAAACTGTTAAATCAAAATTATAATTGAAAGCTTCTGCAATAAGTTTACCGTTCCATTATAACCACACTCTCAAAATCCTCTCCAAAGAGCTGGGATTTATCTACCATGGATTTGGACAGTGATTTGTATAGAACTGAGTAAATATTTCCCTGTCCCCCCAAAAGCTGCCTCTTTCAGCAAAGCTTGCTTCTGTTGGTGAAGATATATAGTTTGGAATCCACATATAGAGATACAGTTTTAAACTTGCGATTGTGAATAAACACATTTATTTGTATTAAGAAATTATTTTGTTCTGAGTTAAATAATTAGCATAGGGCAAGTATAGAAATAAATACTGTATCTGTCCAGTTTCCAAGAGGAATCGTGAATAAACCTTGCCAATACATATGAATAAGACAACTAGGTAGGCATTTTCAGGACATTGTCATTTAGTTTTTAGAACCTCTGTGTCACATAATTTTTGCCTTCATAATGGTATGAAATAAATCCATTTTTTCATTACCATAGTTTAAAAAAGGCCCCTAGATTGGGAACATAGGATTTGAATTATAGATGAAGTTATAGAATAAATTGCATGTTTATAATTTTGAAATCTCACTTTTAATCCTGAAGTCAGTTGGTTAAAAAATCTAGTCTTCAAGTTTAAGGCTGAAAGCTATTTTTCTTTTGAATACCGGTACTTCTTAACTGTGCTTTCCAGCTAAAATGGCTTCTAATGTGGGGTTTTTGCTGAAATTATTATATTCTGAAATCAGTTTGTAAAGAAGTGACTACTTGTTTGTTTGCCTAAGACATTTCTTTTAAGGTGGCTGTTCTGGACCAACTGGTTTACTTCAGATACACAGAAACAATAAAAATCAATTTTGCCACATTTTGATACAGATCCTTCTGTATTAATCTGCCTTTGCAAGTCCATGAATCAAAAGTTAAAAGACTTTATTTTATATTATATCAGATGTACTGAATGTTGTGCAAGTGCCATTATAAAATTAGGCCACTTTGGGATACTTGGAATTATCAATTTCACGGTCACAGAGTTTTGTATAGCTCTATATTGCAGTGTTTCAGCACCCTATTTAGAGTGAGATAACATTAACTAGCTTAATATTTACAAGCACAAAGAAAAAGTGTGTGTGTTTGAAGCTTGGGGAAGATCACAAACCAAACGATTTATATTTTAAGTGACATATTTAATTTTATAAAAATGTACTCCTATTTTTGTAGATATGGATAAGGAGGATGCATTGATCTGTTTTGAAGAACACATAAGAGCACTGGAAAAAGAGGAAGAAGAGGAGAAGCAGAAAGGCTTACTCAGAGAAAGGCGACGACAGCGAAAAAACAGAGAATCTTTTCAGGTTACTGAGAAAATGTTAACTTCTATTTAGTACCAACTTCAGAGCTTTCAGATATTTTAAGTATCAGCTGGGTAAAAAAAATCAGCAGCTGTTCTGATTCTGAGCATTGTGAATATTTCAGTGATCTTTCTTTGACTGCGTGGAAAATTTCTTCCAAGATTAAAAGCTGGAGGAGGAATGCTGGGCAAGAGAGATTTTAGTACATTGGAAGAGCTAACTGATTTGACTTTCACATTAGAAGTTCTTTATGCTTTTTTGGGATTGTAAAAAAGGACAGTGTCTGGCTTTTTAAAAATTTAATTACAAGATTCCCTGTTTTCCACTTTTCCCCCAGATATTTTTGGATGAGTTGCATGAACATGGTCAACTGCACTCAATGTCATCCTGGATGGAGTTATATCCAACTATTAGTTCTGATATTAGGTTTACTAATATGCTTGGTCAACCTGGTAAGTGTACCCTCTCTTGCTAAGAGATTGGGCTAAGTAATGTTTGGATAATGTGTGTGAATATTTTTGGCATTTCTTACATTGCTAAGAAATGGAGCTTTTTGAATAAAGAGAGCTCGTGACCCATGTAAGATCTCTTCCCCCCCCTCCCCTTTAGGTTCAACAGCACTGGATCTTTTCAAGTTTTATGTTGAAGATTTAAAAGCCCGCTACCATGACGAAAAGAAGATAATCAAAGATATTTTAAAGGTGAAGTAATGTACATTCTTAAATTAGGAGAAAAGCAGAATTTTTAATCCAAATTTATTACATTTATTTCAAAATCTGCTAGTTTTGAAAATAGTAGTATTGTATTTGTAATGCAATACTAGTAGTAGTGCATTACAAATATTTGTTTCTGTGGGATTCCTGTATTTTCCAGTATTATCAAAAACGTTGTATTGCAGGATAAAGGATTTGTAGTTGAAGTGACTACTCCTTTTGAAGACTTTGTAACGGTCATCAGTTCCACTAAAAGAGCTACTACATTAGATGCTGGAAATATCAAACTGGCTTTCAATAGTGTAAGTTTTTTTTAAATATATATCAATACATGTTAACACTATTAGATATTGATTGTGCCCAATGTTATTAAATAATATTAGTCTCTAGTGTCAATATATAAAATCGGTATTGTTGAATCTAAAGTATAAATTCTTCCTCAGTGATGAAATATGCACTCAGTTGGCTATTTAGGTAATGCAAGATCTTGATTTAACACTGAAATTCTAATGCTGAGAGTTCAGAGGTCGTCATTTCAGATACTAGTCTAGCGGAAGACCAGGCCAGTGGTCCCTGTTTTGTCTGAACAGGTAAATGAAAGTTTGCACAATCCTGCAGACCAGAATTTAATCTGAAACGTATTCTTGCAATGCCAAGCTATTGTTTTGTAGATATATCTGAACAACTTCTATATATGGCAAATGATAAGAAAAGTGGTTTGCAATGATATTGCATTATGACTACTTTCCCCTTTTTTCCTGCAATGATCCTTTCATTTAATGGCCCCTTGAATCTTTAATGCAGTTGTTAGAAAAAGCAGAAGCCCGTGAACGTGAGAGAGAGAAAGAAGAAGCTCGCAAAATGAAACGAAAAGAGTCTGCTTTTAAAAGCATGTTAAAACAAGCAACACCTCCCATTGAATTGGATGCAGTCTGGGAAGATGTAAGCATGTCCTACAGCATCTTGATTTTTTTTTCTTTTATTTTAAAAATTAAAGAACTTTTTTCAACTATTTTAATTATTTAACCTATTACTGGAAAATGACCTTCAAGAAATGTATGGTAGTGTAATCAGTAGCAAATCTTTTCCAAAGTATAAGAGGAGTGATAATAGAAATATTATCAAGGAATGTAATTTAAGTATTTTAGGGAATAATTCAGAGAAACAATAATGAAATGGAGAAATTCTCAGTGGTGTTCTTAATATAAAAGGGTGACGGGTGTGTTTCTTTATGAGGTACAGATTTCTTTTATAGTCATAGGTTTAATATTCATAGAATGATAATATTGTTACTGCTATTATTGCTGAAAACAAAATTTTGTTGCTGATGTAATAGTTAATGCCACTTTATGAATTGCTGTCTAAATTCTTAACCTTCCATTTTCACCAAGGTAGCCTTGTGTAAGATGCAGTTATGGTAATAAAAAAAATCAATAACTTCAGAAAATCTATGATTTACCTTATAATGTTCCAATGGAAAACAAAAGACAAGAGTTGGATGTATGCAAATAAATTCATGTGAAATGTGAATTAATAAACAATTTCTTTGGGGGCATGTTTTAAAAACCAAAACATTTTCTTTTTGGGAATACATTGCTTCATAAATTTGCATTACTAATATAATTCCTTTTTGATATAGATTCGGGAGAGATTTGTAAAAGAGCCAGCATTTGAAGACATCACTTTAGAATCAGAGAGAAAACGAATATTTAAGGATTTCATTTATTTACTGGAGGTAACGTCTGACATACCAGTTTAACACAATATTTTCTAATAGATTTGTACAAGTTCTCAAAGAATGGTTACTTTATAATGTTCACTGAAGAGTATTATAGCTATGTTAATACAGTTGAAACTGGTGGACGTGAGAAAGATCTTCAAAGGGCAGCTGTGGAACAAGTCCAGAAAAATGTGGGCTGGCCAACTTCAGCCAAGGCATTGCTCCGTGGTGGCAGGAAACCATAGAACGTGTTCTAGGAATTTCCCAGTCCTTTATTCTCATGCATGATTTTTCACTTACACATTGGTGATACTTTACATTTTTTACAATAACATTATCGCGGGCCAAATAGCAAATGGGGTCATTTTAAACCCTAGGAATATATGTCAGTTTGAGCATACTACTGGTGATTGATAGTTATCTTCATGAGCACTAGAGTTTTGCAAATTCTTTGAAAAAAGTGCTTCAGATTTCACTTGGAACATCTGTTCTTCAGCCTTTAATACAGCTGTGTCTTTTTCTGCACTGGCACAACTATCTCAGAAGCTGTTCTTGGCAATTTGTGGTTGTGCACAATCACTTCTTCGCCCCACCCCCAACACCCCTCACACACACCCAAAAGTGCAAGAGGATACCAGCTACCATGTTTCCCCAAAAATAAGATCCTGTCTTATATTTTTTTGAACCCTGAAATAAGCGTTTGGCCTTCTTGCCATGCGCTCAAAAGCCCGATTGGGCTTATTATGAGGGGATGTCTTATTTTGGGGGAAACGGTAGATTTATTCTTCCTCCTGCAAAGACTGCTGTAGAAAGGGTCTAAGAAGAAGTTCCTGGCAGGCTGTGGCAATATGATAAGTGCTGAAATTTTTTCAAGCAGAATAGTTGTTCTTCAGTCTCTCTCCTAGTAGATTTGCTGAGACTTTGGGGGGCGGGAGGAGTGCAACACTGGAATAAGGTCTATGTAGACCATAAGGGAGGTTTCCAAAAGCTTCCGTTACTGCCTCTCTGTGATTTAGGCAAGTAGTATAAGAAAGCAGCACTTTTGATAACTAGTTTGATAACAGCAAACTATTTGCTGTTTCAAAGCAATAATTCTGATTCTTTTGATGTTGCAGCATGAATGTCAGCATCATCATTCAAAGAACAAGAAGCACTCTAAAAAATCAAAGAAGCATCATAGAAAGAGGTCTCGCTCTCGTTCGGTAAGGCCTTTGATAACATGCTACAGGGAACTCATCTCAAAAGCTATCTTTAAAAGCTCTTGTATGTTAAGCATACTTTTTTTTTTTATTTCTTTAAAGGGCTCAGAATCCGAAGATGACGATAGCCATTCAAAGAAAAAGAGGCAACGTTCAGACTCACGCTCAGTTTCTGAACGCTCCTCCAGTGCAGAATCTGGTATTTTTTTCTCTAAATCTTGGCTGGGAGGCGGTGTGTGCTAAATTTCAACAATCTGATTTCCCTTTCATTTCCTAATTTGTTTTGCATCAATAGAGAGAAGCTACAAGAAGTCAAAGAAACACAAAAAGAAAAGCAAAAAGAGGAGACACAAGTCTGTGAGTATTTCTGTTTTGCATCTTTCAGTATGAAGGATTTTCAATATCTTCTATTTTCTAAGTTTTAAATAACGGTTATGCATCTGTCTCACAGCTTGTTAGTATGATCAGCAAATGTATGTATTTATTTATACATGCAATTTAGGTAATTGCCTTTGGTGGTGCTAAGCAATATGCAAAGATTAAAACCAAAAAAATCATAACATTAATAGTAAAATCAATTTTAAAAACATGAATGTATCACATGCCTGTGTTGGAAGAACCATTAGTGCTTTAGTGACTAAAAAAAATACAAAACATTCAAGCAAGCACACTTAACTTCCGGACTCAAGTGCCTGTGAAAATATTTAGGTCTTTAAAGCCTTAAGAAAGACAAACAGGGTCAAGGCCATCCCAAAGGCAGGCACAGTAACAGAGAAGATGACAGGATCTGGAATATGCCAACTCTGCTCATTCTGGTGGGGTTGACAGACAGGTGGCCTAATGCTAATAGATAATACTGCAACCAAGGATTAGGGTTTGTTTTTAAATGAGAACTTGGATTCAGTTCAGTCTTGTCTTGTGGACCTATTTGCAACAGCATTGCTGCATATTTAGGTTGACTGTCACCTATTTCAGCTTACACATTAGTAACATAGAGGAATAAGCAGTACCATTTTTATAACGGTTGTGGCCAACTTCAAGCCTTGCATTTTTTTTCCTCCTCCTTTTGTGAACTAGAATTTCAGTGTGGCAGTGCTTAATATGTCAGGTTACTGAGCAAAGGGAAAAAGCCAAAATTTATACTCTAGTTAGCTTGACTTGATATCTACGGTTAAGATAAACTTCAGGATTTGATGTAATTCTGAAGAATTAGTGGAAGTCGGAAAGTTTAATCCAACACAGTTTTACAGCATTAGTTTGGAGCACATGGAAATTATTTAGACAGAGTATGTTTATTTATTTATTTAATTATTTATTTATTTAATTTATTTAATTTATGTCCCGCCCTTCTCCCCGAAGGGACTCAGGCCGAGAATTAAAATAACATGCAATATAAAAGTTAAAATAATTAAAAATAAATTAAATTAAACGGCCGCCCCAATTTAAAACCCTTAGCAATACAATTAAAAACTCCTAAAATCTATTCAGGCCAGGCTGAAATAAATTTTATTGCTGAAATAAAAATGTCTTCAGGGCCTTACGGAAAGTGCGGAGATCCAGAATCAGCCGTATTCCGGGAGATAGCTCGTTCCAGAGGGCGGGTGTTTCCACAGAGAAGGCCCTCCCCCTGGGGGCCGCCAGCCGACATTGCTTGACCGACGGCACTCTGAGAAGGCCCTCTCTGTGAGAGCGTATTGGCCGGTGGGAGGTTATCGGTAGCAGCAGGCGGTCTCGTAAATACCCTGGCTCTAAGCCATGGAGCGCTTTAAAGGTGAGAACCAACACCTTGAAGCGCAGAGGGTTCACATTTTAGAAGAATCTTGGGGTAGTACACTGGAAATTGCAGTAGATTGCTGTTTGCAATATATTGCTGCTTTTGATTTATATTCTTTTATTTTATTTTGCACAGGATTCCCCGGAATCGGATGCAGATCGAGAAAGAGAGAAAAAAGAGAGAGAAAACGAAAAAGAAAGAAGTAGACAAAGATCTGAATCTAAGCATAAATCGCCACCTAAGAAGAGACCTAACAAAGATTCTGTAAGTTTGTTTTATTTTACCAAGTTCAGTATATTAATGACTGCAACATTTCTGAATTATACATGGTTTCTGGAATACTATTTCCATTCCATAACCACAGTTTACTTTGATCACACATGAACATCCCATGAAGCATATAACAATCTTTGACAGTCTTTAGTGTGGCTTGCTGCCTGTGCCTTGCTCAGAGTATGTGCGTGCTTGCACATACACACACACACACACACACACACACACACAGAGAGAGAGAGAGATTTATTTCTAGCAAGTTGGAGAAAATATATGAATGATGCTGGGGAAAAGGCTTGCAAAAATCAGCCTGTTTGTTTCATCCCTGCATGCAAATTACTATCAACACAATCGGCCAAATAACTGTTTAAAAATCTCTAATAACACAATTGGTAACACAGCAGATCCTTTTTGCAAAATCCCTTTTCCATAAAACACATCATCACCCTGTTTGATGGGCTGGATAAAGTGCAATTTGCATAAGGAAGGTCATTCTGGCATGTTTTCTTCCCAGCACAATCCTGCAACCAACAGCGTTCGATTACAAGAAACATCAGAAGAAGCAGATCAGATTCGGGTAAGACCAGATATATTGCATTTGGTGTGGTGTAGTATGGTGGGGCGTGAGAACAAAAAGAAATGAAGTTTGCACATACTTTTTATAAAATGCAATTTTTGAAAGATCTCAGAATATTTAGTTCAGTATGTTTGAACGGTCAATATTTGGAGACTCAATGAAATCTGTTCAAATCAGAGATTTAATCGAAGAGGAGGAGGAGATAAGGTCAGTTTATACAGGCATTTGCCAAAAAATGAAATTTCTGTAACATCTTTTATGTCAACACATATAAAATGACACGTATTATTCATCTGAATAATAGTATAAATGTTTATTATATCCTTCTAATTACTATATTTTTGATATGCAGAATGGCACTTGAAAATAACTCCCCCACCCCCCACCCCCAAAAATTAAGGTTACAGATGACCTAGATGAAAACAAGACATGTCCTCAGGAACTTTTACATAGGCTATTGGATATGTAATTATCAGAAACAATGTTTATTTGAACATGTGAATGCCTTTGTAAGGTTAACTTAGACTAATAATTGGGGATGTGGGACGGATAGTTTGCAGTGTGAAAGTTATTTGTGCGAAATTAATTTTTTTAAAAAATAATGCTGGCAGAACTCGGTTAAGTGACAGTACTCAACTGAACTTAAGTTGATCTAAATAGCCAACTAGGATTAGTCCCAATTAATACATAAATAGGAGTTTATCTGAAGGGTCTATAGTTTTAAATTGACAGTTCCAATTATCATTTTTTCTGATTGATAATTCTAATTTTCCTTACATCTTGGATTGAGGATTCAAAGATCACCTGATCTGTTTCATCTGGCTGTGAAGTGTTGATAAACTTTGACTTAGATGACTAAATGAGAATTTTAAGCAAGTTGTATTTTTAATATTTAAAATGGATATTTAATAATAGTTAAAGGGTCACTAAATCTTCATCTGAGAAAACAGAACAGTTTAGTGCTGTTATGCCAGTAACCATTCCTGATGGGCTATTTGAAAAAATACTTTGTGACTTGCCTTAGGGAACATGCAAAGAATATCATTAGTTTTTTTAAAGAAAAACTATTGGATTGGATGAATCAGTTGTCTATTTTAAAAAAAGACTATTGGATTGGATGAATCAGCTGTCTATCAATATGAGTCTGCTTAACAGAATGGATTCTTCTGTTAATGTATCACAGACTGATAGGTATTTTGAGTGCCAATTTTGGGTAGGTGCATTTGAAGATGAGTAGGAAAATAGCATTAGACTACTCAGTGTTAGGCACAGCCTTAAAATTGCTTCTTAAATTCTGGTTGTATCCAGATTATCCCTTCACATTCTCCATTTGCATAACAGGAAAATATATTTTGTTTAGCACAGAATTTTATAGAAATAATTTTGCAGTAGTTTTTTTCCCCCCACCATCAAACAAGTATGAAATCTGTATTACCTATTGGTAACCAAATTGCATTTCTTAATATGGAATTTGTGTGTAGCATAAGAGGTACCGCCCAATAAAATCAGTCCTGGGAGATGAGGGTTACAGGGTGGGCTGGGCAAGAAAGGCGGCTGGTCCCTGATCTAAAAGGAATTGAATCAGGAGTGAAATGCTACCGGTTCGGACCGGATTGTCCGATCTGGTAGTGATGGTTGCTGCTGGTTCAGAGAACAGGTAGCAAAAATCCCTGCTCACCCCATGCCCAGCTGAGCCACACAATCATCAGAGGCTTTTTTTTTACTTTTAAAAGCATAATCATCAGAGGCTTTAAAAAAAAAAAAAAGCAAAAAAAATGTGTTTAAAAGAAAACAAAAGCCTCTGACCATCAGGCAAATCAGCTGGGATCATCAAAGCCTTTTAAAAGTATTTTTTTGTTACAACCTCTTCAGCCAAAGAGGTTGTAGAATGCAATGTTTTATCTTGGCTGTACACCGCCCTGACTCCCGCAGGAGAAGGGCAGTATAGAAACAAAATAAAATAAAATAAATAAAATAAATTTGTCATTATCTGTTTGCAGGGTAATTGGGATACCTCTGGTAGTGAATTAAGTGAAGGTGAACTTGAAAAACAAAGGAGGACCCTCTTGGAACAACTGGATGAAGATCAATAAGAAATATTTATACCAAATATGTTTACAAATTTGATTTAATAAAGATATAGATGACTAATTTCAGGAAATGGATTCCAATGTTCTGAGTTACAGTGGCATAATTGTGGCTCTTCGGTTCCCTTCCATAACTAAATATTTGACACAGGTAGCAGTTTGGCAAAGACGGTGAATATTCAGGATTCAACCTGAAGTCCTATTTCTTATCATCTAGATAGCCTGTATATATCCCCCCCCCCCCCATGTACCGTTCCAATTCTTAAGACAGCACATTAGGATGAGCAGAAAAGCTTTTTTAAAAAAAAAAATCTTTAAAATAGTGGCTTGGAAAAATATTTAAGCCTTTCAGGCCTCTCATCTCTAAAATGGCTCACACTCAAAAGTCATTAAATTCTTTTCCTTGTCAAAGAAGCTCCAAGCGCAGGTGCACCTGCCCCTCCTGAAAAGAAGCTTGGTTATTTTCTTGCCGTTCCAATTGGGTTGGGTGGTTACTCCTTTTCAAAGAGAGGAAAGGAAGAGGGAAGATGCTTTTTTTCTTGTTTTGATTTATGGTAATCCAGGAACCGGTGTTAGGTTTTTGAGAGTTACCCTTCTGGCCAAATTGATGATGGTGATTTCTATTGAACACTGACCGTAGGTTGAAATGTATACAAGAGCTTTACTCAGAGCTTAATTTTTAGTGTTAAGTTTTAAAACTGTGAAAACTAGACGATTGGTGGAAATCCTATTAGGCCCTTAATTATAAATCTGGTAAAATATACTTACAAAATATCATAGCTATCGCTTTTATTAGAGGAGCAAAATCTGGAATATTTAAAACAATTGGTAGAGGGCATTGTTTCAGCAAATCACAAAATCAGACTGTAAATTAATTGCAATATGTTGCCTTAAGGACTTTCCGAAGAATGTACCACCAAATTTTGAAAAGCAGTTGCAATACTCTTGTTTAGAAAATCAATGTTGATGTAATATTTTTCTTTTTAAGATATGTTGATCGGATGTTTAAAACTTGTTTTCCTTTCATTCTGTTCTCTTCCTTTGTACTAAATAACTTCTATCTGACGTTGATTTGATGAAGTACTATCTACCTATTCATTCAGGAGTATTGACTACTGTGGTACAGACTAAAATCTTTCTGATTTGAATATTTTTGTACATTTTTATCACTTATTAAACCTTGTCTTCTAGTGTGTACTAGTATTTTTCCGTTTTATAAAAACTTATGTAAAGTTGACACATACCAATTTTACATTCTCTCACTTGTTACTTTGAAGAGTGCATGTAGAAATACATTTCTCTAGTATAATCGTTCTAACGTATGTTTAATAATAGCAACAGAAAAGGCCTCTTCAGGATATATCATAGCATTAACATGGAATATTTTATGTGATTATTTAATATAATGATGTTACTTCAAAGTTGATTTTTCACTATAGTAATTATAAGTCTTGATATTTCTTCAACTTTCTAAGAAATAAGATTTTTAGAATAAGTTGCATACAGTCAGTCATTCTGATTACATATATTAATTTAAGTAAAAGTGAAATTAGTTTGAACCAGTGGTCACACCAAAGGTGTAAAAAACGTCAGTCGGGCACTTCTGTTGCAAGACAATGTGAGATGTGAATGAAAACAAACTCCAGCAGATGTATCTCCTGCAGTTCAATTGCTTCGACAACTGTTCATGATATGCACCAAACTCATCTTTGCTTAAGATGTAATCTGATCATTTAGTGACAGTTATATTTGTTCCTCATCCATTGGTTCAGATAAAATCATAGTGCCATATTCAGAAAAGGACAAGGTACTGGGAAATATATTGTTGCAGAATGATGCTATCATGATTCTGGTGATAAGTTGTAATTATTCTCCAGGTTCTGGATCGTTGATGTAGAACATGATGGAATCATAATATATATTTTGCTAAACTTGTTAAAAAAACCTATTTTGAAAAACTGTAAGTGTTGTCAGCTAGTTTAAAATTCCGTAGTAGTAACCAACAAGAGACAGACAAAAAAAAAGCCGCCCATTATATTAGATGGCTCATTGTGACTAAAATACTCAGGTTTATATTGAGACTAGAATCCTATCCCAAGAAAACAGATCAGAGCTTCTCCCTCCCCCACCCCCATGCAGTAATATTTATGTAAAATACTTTTATTACTTTGCATAATTTACATGAAGGAACATGTTTCTAAGTAAATATTAATTTTTAAAGCATTGTCTTTATTTTTCCATTAAAAATAAAATGCTATAAATATAACACCGTTTCTTAATATTTCTCCATATCTATGCAGGTTACATGGTAACTCAAATTTTCAGTTTATGGAGCCATTATATAGAAATGTGTTTTTGTCTTTTGTAAAGTGTCTTCTATTCTTCCTTCAAAAGAGGTGAGCAATGTAGCAGAGCTTTTTCCTTTGTCGTACATGGAAGTTCTGCTGTGGCTCAAGGACATTCTTAACTGGGATTATTCCTCCCACTGCGAAGCCAGGCAGGATCACTTACGACAGAATCAGCTTGCTAGTTCTTTTTATCCTGTCTCTGCCTACAAGCAAATTTCCAGAAAAACGTTTGACATAATTTTTGACTTTTCTTGCAACTTTCTTTTCTCTCTGATGCCTGTAATCAGGAAGTTCTATACTCTCCCTGGACACATCAGGGAAAGTTGGTGATTGGGTTTGCCATTCCTGGACATGGCCCTTTAAGAGAAACAAGGGCATGCTGGACCAGATTGCTCTCCTACTTACCCAAAAGGCCCTTTTTTCACAGGTGCACAATAGATAAGAGGTTAGGTTTCTTACAGCAATGGGGTTCACAGGAGTCAGTCTCTGGGAATCAAGGAACTCGGAGATTGAAGGAAACATTCCTTATGGCACCACATCAGGGGAGGCATTCAGGCTTCTGTAGTAGTTCAGGCAAGGAGACATTCCTGTGCTTATCCCCTTGGATTCCACCATGCCCTCAATGTTCTGAGACCCTAGCCATTCAAGGAACCTGACTGCATGGTTAAGAGTATGGTGGCCACTATCTTGAAGAGATCCAAGAGAGGGAATGGCTTTTTGCTCAGTCTCTTCACCACTTGCCAACAAGCTAATTTGAGAAGGGAAAAACAATGACTCCTAGGATGCTGGGCATAGATCCTTGAGTATAAAGTCAGGCTTTTATCATCGAGAAGGGAAAGCTAGTCCAGGAGGTATAGAGGTATGTAAGAAATTCAGTCCAATCCATTTTCCATTGAGCCACTTTCAGATTCTGGGTAACCCCAGTATTTCTTGGAGTACTATATATAACACTTTGATCCTAGATAAATTGAATCAGGAAGATGAAAAATATATTCTGCTGCAGGCAAACAGGCCCTGGCTCTAGCCATGTTCAAGTCTGTTCCTGTCACCTTGTGATGTCACTGATTGCAAGAGACCAGCTAATAACTCCAAAGATCCCTGCAATGGATGCAATGGCATTTTTTGAAAGAGCTCATGAGACCAATATTTTGACAAAGAAGTGAGGGCCATATCTACTTAGCCAATACTTTTTTTGGAGATGACTTCTAGTGAGATACACTAGTGATAGACTGCCAAGGCAAACTGGCCAAGATTGGAATCTCCACTATCCTAGTCTAGGCCAGTTTTACAAAGTTCTCCATGTCAGGAGACTTACATTTTAAAATCTGGAACAAGGCTAAGTCCAAATCTATTTGTCTCTTAAGGGCAGCAATGTCAGAAAGAAAATGTTTGTCCTTCTGTCCCTAATGGAAAGAAGGGCAACGTATTAGCTCCTTCCCCCATTCTCGTCACCCTCTTTTCATCCCCTATTTAAAATCAGCTACAAAGGAATCTGGCCCCCACTTTAATAATCTACCAGCTGTTTTTTTAATTACAGGTATCCATGTGACTGAGTAAGAAAAAGGTGCATATTCAAGTAAAATGGTGATTTTTCTTGTCTAATGGGTTTCTTTGGTCTAACACAGTGATGGTGAACCTGACAGGTTTGTCACAGATGATGCTACATTTTCAGTGACATGTCAGCATTCACCAGCATCTGACATAGTTCTCAAAAGCATGCCCCATTCTTGTGTGATTTTTGGAGGCTGCCGAGGCTGTGCAAGAATGGGACCTCTGGCCCCTCCAGAAGTTACACAAGAGGGCCATGCAAGTGCCTTTGAAAATTGTGCGAGAATGGTGTGTGCTTTTGCATGGTTTTTTGAGGCTGCAGAAGCTGAAAACATTCTTCAAAGCTGCTTCAAGAAAGAAGGCCTGGTGCAGCCTCAGATAGGCTGCAAGGGCTTGTGCACAGAAAGAATACCACATGAAGGTAAGTAGTATGTGGCAAATCTTAGAGGATGCTTGACTGTGGAAGCAATTACACCATTCCCCAAGACACCTACACCTTGGGAAATAGTGCAAGGCGGACTTTGTGAGTGGCAGTGGTGGCACAAGGGCTGAAGCTGAGGCCTAGAGCGCTACTTCAGGCACAGCCTCAGTGATGCTGCAAATTGCCACTATTCAGTGTGGCCTATTTGGGGGGGGGGGGAGCGTGTGACATTCCAGCAGAGTCAAGTCAGGTAAGCATTGTCCCAATTTTTAACATGCCAAGCAGAAAGATTTGCCATCGGTGTTCTAGCACATCAGTATCTACTACAATGGCCTACAGAAATGACTATGTTACTTCCCCCCTCTCCCTTTTCAATCATGTCCGATTCTTGGAGACTGCCAGGACTGCAGTTTTCTTGGGAAAATTTTTCAGAAGTGACTTGCCATTGTGTCCTTCCTAGAAGGAATGACTGGTCTAAGGTGACCCAACTAACTTCTTGTCCAAGGTGGGATTAGAACACAAGGCCTCACGGTTATTAGTCTGAGGCCTTAAGCACTGCACCAAACTGTTACTTGATGCACTAATATCCCACAGTAACACCCAAGCCTATGTAATCTCTGTTCTTTTTGTCAGTGCCACATTCTTCTGGCAAAATCATTTTTGAGCTGCCAATAGAGGCTGTGTCACATGAATTAGGTCATTAGTCCTTTCTTAGCACTCAAATCTACACCAGTAGGTGATTTCTGGTCATTATCCTCTTATTCACACACAGTTCTAAGATGGCTTCTCATCTAGCTGAGAAATCCCTTTCAAGGATATCTAATTTCATGTGCATGTAAATATATTAGCTGAGGTGTCACCTGGCTATCTTAGCCTAATGGACAGAGAAAAGTGGCTTCTAGTTATGCTTCAGATTTAATTGGAATGCAAATGGTTCAACCTCATCTAAAAATAAGTACCGTAACTTCTGCCCTCTGCTGAGGTGATCATTTCTCAGGATTTTTAGTATTTCTTACCAGTGGAACCTGGAAAAGGTAGCCTGAGTCATCAGAACTAAAGGTTTGGATGGAATTAAAAATCACTGACCTTTTTCTCTGTCAGTAGGGAGGTTTAGCTATCTTTGGTTCAAATCATTTGCTTTGTCGATTCTTTACAAATTTAATTGTGAACAATGCTGTTCCCCCATTGAATTCCCCCATTTTGCATTTATCAACATTTACATAATTGAGAAATCTGGGCAGAGAGATGGATGCAAACCATTGCTGGTTGCAATTGATGTTTGTGTGTGTGTTATCTGGATCTAGTTTCCATCACGTTGCAAGGTTTCAGACACAATATAGGTGTAAGTTGGCTGCAGCTTCATTAAGTGAAGATACTTTGAACTTGATGGTAGATGTACTTTAGTTTTTCCTATATAGAGAACTGCTAAGTCCATCAGAAAGCAATTCTTTAATGCACAAACAAGTGGTAACAAACAAACAAGTGCTCATTTTCAACAATCCTCCAGTCCACCATTTTATAGGATTTATACTTGGAGATTATCATTGGGTATCTTACATCTCTGATCTAAATTCAAATACTCTAAAGGAAGAAATGGTACACGTTTCAGAAGTGCAGTTCTTTGTAGGGTATATTATAAGAAGTCTAACTCACTGCTTCTGCAACTATTTAAATATAGTAGGTTGGCTTACTGCTTGTCACTCCAATGAAGCTCCATTCTTGCCTGAAGAGCGCTACAGTTCATTCTACACAGATGATTCCCCTTTTATATTTTTTAATCCCATTATTATTTTTATAAATAACTCAAGGTGGTGAACATACCCAATACTTCTTCCTCCCCCTATTTTTTCCATAACAACCACCATTCTGTCTGGTGCATTGGGTTGAGAGTGACTGGCCCAAAGTCACCCAATTGGCTTTCATGTCTAAGGCCAAGACTAGAACTCACCATCTCCTGGTTTCTAGCCTGGGCAATGCACTAAGCAATCCATAACTATAGCTGTATCTATCTCAGCTCATCTTATCTGCTCTCACAGCCTACTGCATTAGGAGTACAATCTTCTTTTTCCCTTATAGGTTTTCAACTGCCAATAAGGATTTAGCAAGAGGGAAATGCTCTACTACACCTGTTGGATCATATTGTAGAAGCTGAACCATCCATGAAAAGGCAATGTAGTTGTGTAAATAGTTTATTCAGTCATATGCCATGAACAGATCAGAAAAGTAACATGAATTGCTTTTATAAAACACCTATAATATTGCTAAGAAGCAGATCTATCTACTAGATAAAAGATCCAAGAGAACATGCCAATATTGCAGCCTATTTAGTCATATTGAAGTATTGCAGTATGCTACGAAATCTTTTGCAGCTGTTTATGGGAACTTAAATAATATTGCTGAGCTGGATTTTACCCAAATCAAAAATGTTCATCTTTCATAATAGAAAAGATGTAATAATGGCATGTTCTCTTTTGCATGTCAAATATACATTGCTGGATTCTGTCAGCATGTTGGCAGTTGTTTAAAATAAATTTTCTGTAAAGAGACAAGCAAAGGTTAATGAAACAGCTTTTGAGCCCCAGACTGTCCATTTAGTTAAATATAAAAACAAAACAAAACTATAAGTTAAGAACATTCAGATTGTATAGCACAGGTTGATGCATTTTTAAACAATATTTACAGTATTACCCGAGACTAGAGTGGGAATTAAAGAGAAGTGTAAAAACCATAAAAAAGCACCAATTTTGTAGCAAAATATCTGTACATTTAAAAACATTATATAACTACACATTATCAAAGGAATATGGGACCTTGACCAGTGGTTCACAGAAGCACAATATAAAAAAAAAGAAAAGAATTAAGTGGTTAAATACTATACAATAAATTTTACAATTAACATAATAATGCAGTGCTACCAGCAATGGGAAGAATGCAGGCAAGGTGATTCTCTTAACTTCCAGTTTTTCACTTTTGGAGGGGAAAAATCAAGGGTCCTACCTTGAAGCAATATTGATAAATAAGCTGTTAAAGTTAGCTTAAAGTTTAACATGTGAGCATCCCAATCCAAAAAGAGGATATCTAAGCATTAATCATCTGAATTTTCCAAGTGTACCTAGGAGAAGGTGTGGCAGAATCTGGGGGTGGAGTTAAAAGAGGGATCAGCCTAGAATCCGTACATGGCCACAAGTGAACTAAGTCCAACCTCTTTTGAATTCTGTTGACCCTCATCTAACTCCAAGCAGGTGCTAACTGTTAGTTAAGAATATTCCTGTGCATGGGCATGAGTAATAATAAATCAATTTAATTGGACCTGAACTTTTATGCCTGGCAATATCCTGCTGCACTGCATTACATTCAACAGTTTGTGTAACCTGAATGTTAATTGAAGGCAATCCAGTGCAGAAACATTTAAAATGGATTGGTGCAAAGCATAAATGGAAGTGAACTACGCAATTTCCTTTGTACGGAATCCCACAGCATTCCTGCAATGTTACCCTAACCTTGTTCGAGGGGCACTGCCTTTTCACCATTTTGAGAATTGAGCAGTTTGTGATCCTTATGAATTCTAATACTGATTATTGAGAAGTTAATACCTTAGTGCTAATTAATAAATAACATTGTTACTCCAGGGTTAGGGTTAAGGTTATGCTTGCCACTACTTAAAAAACACAACAACTGTGTTTGCAGTGTGCCCATCCTCTTAAGCTATATCACCTCGTTTTATTTATCTTTACCAACAACTGTGTGTACTAGGCAGAAGTTGAAAACAGGCAAGTGTGTTAATCTAAATTCCGTATTATTCCCACATTGTATTTACAGAAGAAATCCCTCTAGCTAAACCAATTAGCTTTAAATCTTTGTCAACTGTATTCACATCTCCCTTAACATTGGCTTTATGGATATTTCCCCCCAGCCTTAAAGTGAACTAAATGTTCTTCAAAGGGTCCGAGTTATTTTAATATCTTTTGCTCCTTTATATATGATAAAGTCCTTCTCCATGCATACATGTACACATATGTGTGTGCATATATACACCTACATGTATATAAACACACACATACACATCTATATAATGCTAGTAAGTGCAGCTGAAGCTCAAAGTTAACTCTTCAAAGTGTTCAGGAATGTACTGAAAATATTAAAAAAATCTACAGCAGCTCTTATCAGAATATTCCCTATTTACAACCTGTTATGAAATCAAAAAAGTCCACTGAAGGCTATTTACTAAACTGTATGTAACAATAACAAAAAAAATACATTATGTATTTTACATTTTGGTTAAGAACACTGAAGAAATTTTATTGGTGTAAAAAGTTACCCAATCAAAAAACGAGTCCTATTGCTTTCAATAATTTGAGTAGGTCCTTGAAATTTAGGCACTTGGTAGCTACAGTTGTATGGCCAGCCCATTTTTTTTTTTTTGCTTTAAATTTTTTATTTTTCATTCCTATGCATTTTCAGTCCTTACCGAGCCCTTCAGAAGACTAGTTAAAGGAATTCCGAACAAGGCCATAATCAAAATGGCAACATAAACAGAGTCCGCATGGTGAGGAAGCAATCAAGGGCACTTTCTACTGGTTTACAGGCACGGTTTCGCCCATCTGGCTCACATAGCCAGTTCAGCACCATTGACAGCACGTAGGTTCTGATCATCAACACGCCGCCGGACGCTTCTCCTCACCGCATCGGCTCGTCGGTAGGGTTGGTTTCTAAGATCTGTGGGGAAAACAGTGGAGGAGTCAGAAGCCGGCCACCTCCTGCTTTTGGATCCAGAAAGAGAGGGTCCTGCTGGCAGCCCATCAAAGCAGCTTGAAGCCAAGGAGAAAAGGGACCACTTAGATTCACAGAGAACTGAGCAAAGAGTATAGAGGGGCCTATCTTCACCCACTGCTTTAAAAAGGCAAGAATTTATTTATTTATTTTTCTTTCTTTCTTTCTTTCTTTCTTTCTTTCTTTTCTCTTCCTCCCTTCCATCCTTCCTTCCTTCTTGCAAGCCTATGATGGGGACAGAAGCTTCTGATCCCTTGATGGCAGCTCCACTTTGCTATTTATGAAGCAGCTGTGAGAGCCGTTTCTCCTTCCGTCCTTGCCTCTCCTTCCTGAATATCTCCACAGGTTGAAGGCTTTCATTAGCTCTTTCCTGGCAGAGTAAATCACTCGCTGGAAGAAAGGTCCTTCATCACAGGCTCAGCCATGGGATGTCAACCCGAATCTTCACTAATGATCTCCCTCAGGAAGAAGGAAGAAAAGGGCGGCTGTTCCCACAATCCCAGAAGGGAGAGGAGAAAGGAAAGATGCTAGTGGGGACAGCTCAGTGTTAACCTCTCCTGAAATCTGGGATTCTGCTGATTTCTTAAGAAGTTCCTTTTCCCCCTCCCATTTTCTATTTCTCAAGGGAGGGGGTCTCCCATGTTCAGTCTAAAGCTATATAGATATACCACAGCAGAAACAAAAGTGACAAGCAGGCACTACTCTTTCACTTCCTCTCTTTCTACACCTAAGATCCTTTCGTCCGTATGTCCTATCTTCCCAAGATACATCAAATTTCCCAGCTAAATTGGCTCTGCCATTCCCAATTCTACCAGGTGAGCTGACAAAAGAAGCAAAGAAATAAAAAATAAAAATCAGGGGCTAGTAAAGGCCCCTGTTGTTTCCTGATTATTAAGAGCAAAACAGATAATCTAGCAGCTGGTAAAAATGATGGTTTGCCATTTTTATTTCCTTCCTGTGCCTGAAGGGATCCAGTAGTGAACCCTCTGCTGAAAAAGGACATTCTGTGGAATTCAAGTGACTTGCTAATACATCTTTTCTCAGCTTAAGGAAGAGGAGTGGGAATTCAGTAGAGGGCCCTCAGGTAAACCTGGGACATCCAGTTCATGCTTCTTCAGAGCTACAGAAGTGATTGGAAACATTGAGTTTTAGGTGGGTGAAGAAAATGACAGATAGATTCCTAGTGACTTCATGGATGTCACTTGGCAGTTTTAGAGGTATCTTACAACCTGCCTTCTGACAGAATGTCTTCTGACCTCTCAGTCTAGCCTACAACCCCGTTCTTCCTGATGGTCTCTGAGCTAAGAACAAACCAATCCAGGCCCCGCTTAATTTCTGGTGTCTGGATACTGTCACCTGTTGAAAAGTGGTATAGTTTGCGATATCATCTTAAGAGCCACCTCACAGGTAGAACTGGTCCTGTTCTTAACAAAATGCATGGGTAGGGCTGACTGGAGCTTTCTTGCTACTACAGCACTGCCTGAATCGGGCTCACCATCCTGACCGAATATGATTAATAACCCCAAAACCAAGGTCTTCTCAGACCGTTCACAACTGAAGCAAACCAAGCAGGTAGTGAACAATGGGGCACATCCCTCAACTTTTATCTTCCATCAACAACATCTTAGATTTCCTAAGAATTTTTTTCTATACACATAAGAACTGCTTGCATATATAAAAGCCTATTCCCTACTATCTGCTCTGCTGGATTCTTACGTCCAAGATGGAGGAGAGGCATGCATTTCGGGACATTTTGAGGGGGGAAAAAACATTGTTTCCTACAGAAAGTTGACATTGGTCTTTTTTTTACTTGGCTCCCTTTCCTACACTTCACCTTTAGAAATCTGCTTTCATATATTTTGCTCAGCTCTTCAGAGCCCCCAACCTACAAACTGAAACAGCAAGAATGTCATAATGCCTCAGTCTTGGACAAGGGGATTTAGAAGGAGCGGCCAAATTCTATGGAAGAGGCATTCAACTGGTGACAATCACAAAGTCTCCCCAAAGTTCAAAATAAATGGTTTATTGCCAGGAAGCAGGTCCAGCCCATTTTACTTGCTGGCCCAAGTAGAGGAGGATCACAAATCAATGATAATTGATCACAAATCAATGTCTGCAGGTGAATCTCTGTCCCTAAAACATTTCACGCTTTTCTTTATTGCACAGTAGCATTCTCTCTGCCCCTGGTGGTCGTGCATGTTAAAAACAGCCACAACCTGATCTGCAAATATTTTAAAGGGGCATGTGCTTTTTTCCCCACTTAATGCTCAACCCAGAAAAGATTTCATGAGTTCAACCTCTATACACTGGGATCCCCTTGGCGAGGGGTGGGCATTTGAGGCATGCAGTTTCCTGCTCCCCCTTGTGTGGATCCCAATACCTTCTTGAGTTCCCAAACATCCATAGAACTTCAGATCAGATTATGGGAGGAGAGGAAGTTTACTTTGGAGATATTTAAGCCTTTAACATGCTCTTGAAAAGTCCTTCACCCACTCTGGTGTCATCAAATCACAACTATCCCTATGGAGGTCCCAAAAGTGTTTTTTCAAGAGGCAACCTCATTTTTCTTTGAAGACGTTTCGCTTCTCATCCAAGAAGCTTCTTCAGCTCTGAAGAAGCATTTTGCCCATGGAGCATTTTGTAAAGAGTTCTGCTATAAAAAAAGGGGCCCACCTCTATAAGAGCAACTCAGCTGCTGGGATCTGGGAGAAAGTTGGCTGTCTTCCTTTATGGCCCTCTTCCCTCCCTCTGCCCCTAATATAGGTCAAGACATAAAGCACAGGCAAAGCACCTCTCTTTTTGAAAGCAAGGCAGAAAGGCGAGAGAGAGCACTGATCATTGATCAGGGCTACAAGTGAAGAAACCCCACATATGACACAGACAAATGATAGAAGAGCTAAATGGCCCAGCAATGCTCCTAGGCCTTAACTGGAGACAGCTCCTTCCTGTTCCTAGGATCTATCGTGCAGCAATTTTGTGTGGCATTCAGAGAGAGGAGGAAGCTAAATAAAAAGTGATGCTTGCCAGCTCTGTGTATCCTCCACCACCGGTGTGCTAGAAGAAATCCTTACCCTCGAGTGAACATTTGGAAATTTAGTGATATTATTCTTCTTTAAGGCTAAACAAGAAGGGGAAAAAAAACACAGAATGAAGGTTAAGTTTAAAATGGGATGGAACATGAAGAGCAACTCAATTCAGTGCCCCAAAGCAAAGCAAAACAAAACCAAAAACCACACCCTACTTTAAAGGTCCAGCATGTTAGCAAAAAAAAAGAAAAGAAAAGCAAGAATGAGTGAAGCCAAAAAAGTAAAGAAGATTAAACAGAGGAAAAAACAGGCCACCCTAACCATTAGCCAATTAAACTCCAAGCTGCTTTGAACATTGGCTCCAGAACGACCAGGCAACATTTTCATTGGAAAGAGCAAGCAGGATTTGGACTGATAATATCACTTTCTTTTATACCTTCTGTCTTTATATTAAGGGCAACAACATTAACAGATTCATTCAACCTCCACTTTGTAACAGTTTACATCAAAAGATTTCAATGCATCCAGTTCCATGGCAATCAGCTTGGGATATTTGTTATCCAGAGACAATTTGAGACATGTTGTCACCAGCTTTGCTTTTTCAAGCAGCAGAAAGTTAGCAGACTTTCTCCTAACAGAAACATTTAACCTTCATGTAGATCTTCTCACTTCTTAGCTCAAATCTCAAGGCCGCTTGTGATTGGGGGAATAACCTGGTTCCAGATTTTTATTTTAAATTTTGATTTTAAATCTCCCCAATTATCAAATCCCAAACAGCTACTTTGTTTTCTTAAAGGTGATATTCATAGGAGGTTCTCAATTACATTGGCATGGAACTGAACCTAGCACAGCTATGGATCTGACAGGATAAAAATGGAGGGAGGGAAAAGATTTTGACATGCAAACACCAACATGCAAGCAGTGAGTAGAATGACAAATATGAAAAAATGCTTTTGCAGATCACAAACCAAGCCCCCCCCTCCCAAAATTTAACTCTTCTTTAGAGGTGCACAGCATTTGTCTCCAAAGGGGGCTACAGTGATTCTGATCCAGTGTGGGCACGTTGCGGTAACTAACTTTTCTTGAGCTCCCAAGAAAGCCATCAAGAGTTAGGAAAATACTGAGAAACAGGTACCCCACGAACAAGCCCTCAACTTCCTATTTTCCTGGCCCTTAGAGCAGGTGCCATGTGAGCTCCAGAAAAGACACAGATACATTGAGGGAACTCCTACTAGATCTGAAGTACCTCTGCCCACTTCAGATCCAAATACTGCACACTTCTATCTTCTCATACAAACATAGCTTATTTCCAGATAAAGGCTTACTACCAAGACTTATGCAACAGTGATTAATCTGCTAAAATCAAAAAGAACCCAAAGTAGAATAGCATACAAAAAACAAATGGAATTGTCTGTCATGATTATCGCTACACCCCTCAACAGGTGCCTATAAATTGAGTGGAGTGGCTGGAAGCACAGCTGTTGCTGGTCTTAGTGACATTCACCGATTTCCCATATTGGATGCCCTATGGCAGTTATAACTAGACCAGGAGTGTCCAACCTTGGCAACTTTAAGACTTGTAGACTTCAACTCCCAGAATTCCCCAACCAGCCATGCTGGGGAATTCTGGGAGTTGAAGTCCACAAGTCTTAAAATTGCCAACATTGGATACCCCTGATCTAGACCCCTGAAAATGGATGGGGTGGAACAAGCTTTCACATGGTGGGTGGAAGGGAGCAAACCATTACTGGCAGACAGGAACGTGCAAGGAGATGATGGTCAAGGAGAGGATCATGTAAAACGTGATTCCACAGGGACGCCAGACGTCACAAAACCCCATTCAGCACCCCCATTGCCGTAAAGTGGAGAAATGTCAAAAACCTACAGCAACCTTTTATTTTTTTAAGAGGATCAGCTGTGAAAGAGGAATAGTTTAGTAATGGAATTCCTCTGTGAGAACAGGTTCGCAGAAAAACCGAGAGCCACGCTTGGCCGTTCGGGCAGTAAAGGGCACCGTCTTCAGCACTGCATGAAAATAACAGCCAGACAAGACAGAAGACAGTAAGAAGCAAAGATCTCTTGCATTAGTATATAGTTAGTGTTTTATTAAAGGCACCCTGCAGCAGATCATCTCTCGATTAACCACAATAAGGGTTGTGTGGCTGGGTTACTGTCAGAACGCCTTTCCACCTTGGTGGCAGCCCCGGGGTTGTTATATACTGCTTCACAACTCAGCACAACTTCCCTTTGCAGGTTGATGTTCCCTCTACCTGCTCCCCATAAATTGGGCTGAAGGAAGGGAATTCCCAAGGCACTTTCACACGTAAAGCCAGTCTGACTTTAAAGACCGACTGGGAAGTTCTTGCCATTTCAGTGAACTTTTTGCAGAACAGGGGTTAGCCTCTGTATGCCTAGCCTAGCTTTACTTATTATTGTGTGGCTACAGTAATAATAAATATTTCTTGGGCTTTTCTTTACTCATAAGTGTAGCGTAGTGCCATATACAACATTCAGAAAAAGTGGCTGGATTACTGCCAATGTAAAAAAGAAAAAAAAAGAAAAGGTAAGCTTAAGATATCAAAAGCTTTATCCATTCTGCTAGGACAGTAAAAAGCAGGCAAATCGAACTTCAGCAAGTAATGGGTCTGTTTCAGGAACCTTATGTTGTCTGTCCAAGCTGTCTTTCTCTTATCTATTACAAATTAGATCCAGCCATTGTATCCCTATTGCGTTCAGTTATGAACTGCATATAAGAGGGTGCGTAAAGTTTGTTGTAAGAAGAATATGCAATTCCAAAGTTTCGTGCAATTCAGCATTTCGCATGAAACCATGCCCTCCATTACTCCTTTGCAGATAGTTCTCACCAACTGTCACGTTTAAAAATTGTTCAAAGTTAAGATGGTGTTTTTAAAAAAGTCGTGTGACCAATCCTTACATTTGTAGTCCGGTGATTGCCATGTCTGTGCTTTGCAATTGGCTTGTGACAAGCAGAGTTAACAGACAAGAGAGGGCGGGAGTAAAATCGTAAATCATGGTCACGTGATGTTTCCCTTAGCAATAAAGTTGCCAGCCCTAATTGTGATCGTTAAGTGAGAACTACCTGTAATGTTGTGACTATTAATGTTAGTAGCATTTTTACAGTAATGCGATCTTTTTAAGGACAAAGTTAAAACACTAATAGAGTTGCAAACAAATGAAACCGATTCCAAGATTTCTCTAGCATGCCTCTGGTGAACTAAAACATAAGGAAGACTGTCCGATCTATGGTTTTAGTTATGACAATGTGAATAAATACACAATGATGTATCAGTGAGACTGCTGCCACTAAACAGGCCTAAAAGCCTGAGATTTGCCTAACTTAAATTAATGGTGCATCAATTAATGTTTCTACTTGTTACTGTTTACAAAGCCCTAAACAAGCAATTAAAAGAGAACATTAGGTGTGTGTGTGTGTGTGTGTGTGTGTGTGTGTGTGTTTGAAACAGGCTCCAGTATGGAGGGAGGGGGCTTTACCTGTGATGATATCTTCAATAGCGCCATCTTTTCCTTCATAAACATGTCTGTTGTCCTTGACTTGTCGTCGTCTTAGCTCTGCAATTAGTTCTTGTTGCTGTCGCTTAGTTTTATGAGATGGAGACTGAAAGAGAGTAGCACAGGGTTGCAAAGTCGAGTAACAATCAGCACTCCTTCTCTACTAATAGAAACAATATCGGATTGGAAGGCAATACAGATAGTCCTTGACTTATGGCTACAACAATGGAGCACAAAATTTCCGTTGCTAAGACAAGTGAAATTTGCCCCATTTTATGACCTTTCTTGCCACAGTTAACTGAATCACTGCAGTTGTTAAGTTAAATAACACGGTTATGTGCAACCTGGCTTCCCCATTGACTTTGCTGGTCAAAAGGTCGCAAAAGGTGGTGATTGCATTATCCCGGGACACTGCAACCATCATAAATTCATGCCAGTTGCCAAGCGTCCGAATTCTGATCATGTGACTGGAGGGATGCTGCCAACAGTTGTACGTATAAAGAATGGTCATAAGTCACTTTTTTCAGTGCCGTTGTAACTTTGAATGGTCACTAAATGAACTGTTGCAAATTGAGGACTATTGGAAGCTGTTCTAGTTCTACACCATAGTAGCTCATCTGGATGGGCATGATCTACTTCAGTGATAAGCTACTTGATATCTTCCTGATACTTCAGATTTAAATTTGCCCCAACCAACAAAATGACAAAGTGTTGATCGGCACTGAATGGCCATGGGATTGCTACCCAAAGTTTTTCCTAAGCTCAAAAAAGGCAGATACTGAATCTTGAATACTCTGCATGCAAAGCATGTATTTCCCCCAATTGCGATTTTTTAGACTCTTCAGCCTGATCTTTAACTTAATTGTCTTCCTTGGTAAACTCCTACAAAATATTTCCTAACCCTGCCACCTAATTTCTAGATTACTTGGAAGCAAACAAAACTAACGAAAGTATGAGTTGATCCTGCAAAATAAAATATCATTGTTCAAAAATGCCATAAAGCCAATTATTTCAAAACGACAAAAAGGGGGGGGGAAAGATTTTGGGTCATTTTATGATCAGTGCCTGCATGCCCGCACGCATGCACGCACGTACACACACATGCTATAATTATATAGTTCATAATATTTTTTTTAATCCCATAAACAAACAGGAAAGCAGTCTTGCCACATTTGCAAATGCTTTATGCCTTAAAATGGTTTTTCTCTAGAGATAACTTTGGAATATACTACATACTGTACAGAGATCACTCTATTTAAGCGCTATAGAAATAAATCATATTTATACACCACTCTAAAGAGAAAATTAAAAAGAAGGAAATGAGAACACCAGAACACATCCTCTCAAACAGTCAACATCTAACTAAACAAGAGTTAATTCCAGGCAAACAATCAAGCAGAAAACAATATCCTAATTAAGCAGGAAATCCGCCCTGCTACTAAAACTGGCAGAGAAAGCTATAGCATAGAAACCGGGAGCAAACCCGACGCTCACTTGCACTGATGATGTTACCTCATTGGGTAATGAAATGTCTGCATGCAAACAATCAGGCTCAGAGAACATGAAGGCCTCTAAATAATTGTTAACTTGGTGCGTTTGATATTAGATATGGGAAGCAGTGTATTTGTGGTCCAGGTGATCTAGCCTGATCTGCAGGACTTGCAAATATACATTACAATCAATTTTGAGGGAGAGAATTCTGAAAATTCCTTGTCTTCATTAACATTTAAAGATGTTTAAAATTTATCTTTTTCTTGGGAGCTTCCTCCAGGAGTGGATTCTACTTACCTTTACTACCGGTCCGCAATGAGGCCATGTGCACGCGTGAGCGAAGCAAGCACGCGTGTACCCTCTTCTGCGCATGTGCAAAAGCATTCTGATGACGTCGGGGTCGGTGGGCGGAGCCTCCCACCGGTTTTACTACCGGTTCTATAGAACCGGTGCGAACCAGGGGCAACCCACCACTGGTTTCCTCCATACATGACTAACTGCACATTTACATCTGTACACTAAATGACATTGTTTAAAAATTCCAAAAGCCAATTATTTTGGGATAAACATTGATGGACTAGAGATCACTGCACTCACGACTTGAGGTCTGAAACACCTTTTTAAGATTTAGGAGTAATCAGAATAGGATAGGAATGTGAAACTCTTGTAATTTCCATAAAAGCTTCTTGCATGTTGTTTACAGTATTTTGGGAGGAGTGGGGCAGGGGACTTTCGGTACAGAATAACCCCAACTTCCCAAAATTCTGACTTACCATGAACAAGCCTTATAGCACATATAAATTAAATCACAGCTGTTTGGTATTATTTGCCAATAAGAACAGCTAACCAGGCGGCAAAAGCTTTTCCCACCGACATAGAAACTGGGATCTCTGGTTTCTTTCAAACAAGCTCAAAATCAAAAGTTAAGAACGAACCATGGCTTTAGACCCAAGAACAGACATCAGAGCTCCTTATTTGTACATCATAACAAACCATAGGCAGGTCTTCTATTTTTAGAATATTTTTAGTAGTAATAATAAGCTTCTAAATAATAAAATGCTTCTACTAGCGAGAACAACATAGCAGGAGCAATAAATAAGGCACATCTAAGATTATTACAGACCTTGGGAATTCTGGTTTATTGTAATGTGCAAATGTTCTCAGGCATTGTGACTTTAACAATTTAATAATAATAATAACAGTAACAGAGTTAGAAGGGACCTTGGAGATCATCTAGTCCAACCCCATGCTCACACAGGAGACTTGTACTAGGGATTCGAACCGCCAACCTTTCTGATCGACAAGCTCAGTGTCTTAGCCACTGAGCCACCTAGTCAGGCTTTCATCAACAATTGTCAAATGCTTGCTTGTTTGTTACCTTTTGGTCTTGTTGTTCCAGCAATGCTTCCTGCTCCAGCAGTTTTTCCATTAATGCCTGTTCTTGCTTTTTTCTCAGTTCGTTCTCCTCTTCTGCTTGCTGTTAAGAAAAACAAATGTACACTGGTGCAAAAGCTACTGAAATTTCAAATATACAAGGGACTGATTCATTCAGCAAAAGACATATCTATTAATACAAATTTAATTCAGACATGCTGCCTTTCCAATGAGACAGAACCCAATCCATAGCATTATCTATAAACTCTTTTAAAGACTTATTTGCCGAATGCAGAGGAAAGTACATATCATAGGGATGACAGAGGTTCTTCATTTGGTTCTTCCTCCTTTATAGACAAGGATCCCTGATTACTCAGGTCCTTCACTGGTTCCATCTTCGTATGTTCAAATTGGCAGCTCCTTTCAACTTCCCAAAACAGAAAGGCTGCACATTTGCACATAATGATTATTATCATAATGAGTCGCGGTGGCGCAGTGGTTAGAGTGCAGTACTGCAGGCTACTTCTGCTGATCTCCAGCTGCCAGCAATTTGGCAGACTGAATCTCACCAGGCTCAAGGTTGACTCAGCCTTCCATTCTTCCAAGCTCGGTAAAATGAGGACCCAGATTGTTGGGGGCAATATGCTGACTCTGTAAACTGCTTAGAGAGGGCTGTAAAGCACTATGAAGAGGTATATAAGTCTAAGTGCTATAAGGGAGTATATATTAAGGTAGACCACACATAGTGAAGACAAAAGGAGAAGCATGTATGCTACAATTCTACAGACGTTCTCCCCAACCAAGACCCAAATCGGGGAAATCAATAGTTTGAGGATGACTACAGATTCATCCACAAATGAATAAAAGAAGGATCATACTGGGTCTTACTGCTTCCATATGACTGCTGCTAACTATCTCGGCTAAGCAAATGCTTCTGAAGAACTGGAAGCTAAAAGACAGGTCAAATGAAAGAGCACTAAACTCATTACTAGATTCACTGTAACTGGTACAACAGTTTTGAGAATTCATAGAATTGCCATAGTTTCCTTAGACCAGGGCTGTCAAACTTCCTTGCCTTAAGACTATTTGATTAAAAGTCCCATTAACTCTTAGACAATGGGAAATTGTGGGATAGGTGTTCAAAAACTTATCAAAGGGCTTCTAGACCAGAGCTGAATTTATTTCAAACTCCCTATGGAATATATTCCTTATTGAAGGAATATAGAAGCAAAGTTTTCTCATTTCTGTTTTAGTCATTGTGTTTTCAAAATATGCCCCCTCTCCATTTTTTGAGCCTGCTTTGCACAAAGAAATTTCAGAACCAGAAGCTGAGGATGTATTCAGATTATAATGTGATCAGGGCTGGTGGCTTTGGTTTACCTTGTAAGCTTTCACAAATCGTACGAAGACCGGGAAGAAGACTGACGGAGGAGTTGTCTTGGGATTTTCTCCAAAATATTTCACAGCATCATCAAAGGCATCCTGTAAGAGAGACGCTTTTAGTTTCTTTCCCCACTGAAGCAACTATTTTTGTCTTTTGCACTAAAATTACAAAGAGCCAAGGCTTAACTGATAACCAATTCATTAGGGCATACATATCTCATTTTGTTACAACAAAATACAGCTTCATACAATGCAATAAATACTGACAGGAGAAAAAAGACATAAATATTTTTACACATTTCTAATAGAGAATTGTATCCTTCCAGGTAGCATATATAACCTTTCAAAAAATCTCTCTATCCTTTGAGATATTCCCTCTGCTATCACTACCAAACAAGAGCCTTCCTGTGAAGTTACAGCCTGCTTCAGGAAATAGCAATTCTCCTTTGGAAGTTTTTAAACCAGGGCTTAACAATTATCCATCAGGAATGTTGTAATGGAGCAGAGAATTGGATTAGATTTACAAAGGGCCTTCCAACTCTATGAATCTACTTGTTACAGTTGGCTGCTTTTTCTATTATTACTTGATCTCCATGCCTTGGAGAATCATTGTAGCATGATGTGACTTTCATCAAGAGATGCATTTTCAATTGGCATACATTACTATTGCTTACAGGTAGGATTTCAATCTACATCGATATGAAGTATCCCAGTTATTGCTACCTTATTTTCCTCTAGGACAGAGTTCCCCAATCTTTTCAGCTTTGTGGACCAGTCCTGGGGGTGGGGGGGTGGGGGAATGGTTCCACGGGTACAGCTCCATTTGTGTGAGCGGATATGCACGCTCACCCACCATTTCCGCAGCCCGGTTCCGAAAGATTCAAGGCCCAATAGTGGGCTGCAGCCCAGCAGTTGGGGACCCCTGATCTAGGAGTTGCCACATTTCAAATACTCCCCTTTCAATTCTGAGGAATTAAGGGAAACATCCACTGTTTTCTCTGATCCACTGTCCTCTCCTCCAGACCCTCATATAACCTGGTAATAATTAGCCTCATATAACCTGGTAATAATATTAGGTTTAGGCTGAGTCAGAAAGACTAACCCATAGTTACCTCGCAAGAGGGAACTTCAACCAAGGTCTTTGTCAGGCACTATAATTACTATGTCACACTTGCACTTAGAAAATGACTTGTGCTTCTGTCTGCACTGAAGAGATAATTGTCACAATCAAAAGATGAAATGTTCCTTTGCTCTCAGATCGGGATATCTAAATCTAAAGAGACGAACTCTATGGAATACCTGGGCTATTTTTGCATCATCCTGCAACTTCTTCAGTTTCCCTTCGTTGTTCTGGATGAATTCCTTCAGCATGGTATTGTGATCGTGCATAGTATACTCTCGCTTTGTTAAGTCCAGACCTCTTTGGAGTTCCTTTACATCTAATAGAACATTTTCAAGGGAGACTAAAAGAGAGGGAAAACACAATGGGTTACATTAGAGAGCACATGCCTCTAATTCAGATAGCATCTAAAATCCAATAAGGAATTTTATACAGTAAGGCATGCAAATTTACCTGCTTAAGATAAGCATGTTTCATAAGAGATGTACCATAAATATAACTTATACTATAACATTATCACTACTAAAATAATGAAGGATCAACTGCATTCAAAGTATTATATATGTTCAAACAGAAAATCACAAGAGCCAAAGAGGCAGTGGGCAAGGTGATGCCAAATGACATAAAAAACAGAAACAGCTTATAAGAAGTATATTTCTGAGCCTCTGTACCAGCAGAGCTCAGAGCAGAGCAGCTTTTCCTCAACTTCTGCCCAAGTAAAGTTTTTTTGTCCAAGCATTGTGACGGCAAATATTTTCACCTAACAGTGATGAAACAAGCTCTTATGGGGCAGACTTTTGCTGGGATATATAGTTGGGTGTTGGAGTGACATACATTCAGAATTATGAGAAAGCATGGCCAATTTACCAGCAAAAGGGCCTAGGGCATAGGGCCTAGCTATCTTCGAGACCGCCTGCTGCCACCGACGACCTCCCATCGACCCGTGCGCTCCCACCGAGAGGGCCTCCTCGGGGTGCCATCAGCCAAACAGTGCAGGCTGGTGACCCCCAGGGGGAGGGCCTTCTCTGTGGGGGCACCTACCCTCTGGAATCAGTTGCCCCCAGAGATAAGGAGAATCCATGACCTCAGTGCCTTCCGCCGTGCCCTTAAAACCTTTTTTTTCCAGCAAGCCAGGCAGGCCTAATTTTTTAAAGTGTTTTTTAATTGTTTTGTTTATCGTTTTTAATTAACGGGGCCAAATTTATATATATATTTTTAACTGTATTTTAATATTTGTATTTGATGTTTTTATTTGGCTGTTCACCGCCCTGAGTCCTCAGGGAGAAGGGCGGTATACAAATTTAAAAAAAAAAAAAGCATTTGTAAATCAGGAGTGTACAAATCTCATTCATCTGCATTGGCTTTTGGAACTGCAGTGCAGAGGCCATATAATGAGTTTTAAAGAGTGGATGAGGATTAAAATATTTGAATGGAAGATACAATATTATATTACTTATAAATGACATTATTAGGGATCCTTGGATCTGGAGCTGGGTTGTTTTCTTGCAAACATTTCATTACCCAAAATTAGGAAACATCCTCAGTGGTAGTCATCTAGCACTGATGATATTACCTAGTTTAGGTAATGAAACATCTTCAAGAAAACCACCAAGCTCAGAGAGCATCAAGGACCCCTCATTTTCACCCTGAGTTACAAATATTCTCCTTTATTAGAATGACATTACTTTTAATGATTAATTTCTGACAGAACTATTAAATTTTAGCATATACAGGACATCTCAATTGATTTCCAGATTTAAAACAAATTTAGATGAATATGAATAAAAGGCATCCAAAAGCAATTGAGGGCGGCGGGGGGGGGGGATTAATTGCTGGTAGGTCACAGAGTCTGGTGGATGCACCTGCTAAATATGCTTCTATATTATAAAGAAATAGATCTTGCAGTGAAACTAAGAAGGTGGTCTTATTGCTAAGAATAAAGTAAAGGTAAAGGTTCATCTTGCACATAAGTGCTAGTTGTTCCTGACTCTAGGGGGCGGTGCTCATCTCTGTTTCAAAGCCGAAGAGCCAGCGCTGTCCGAAGACGTCTCCGTGGTCATGTGGCCGGCATGACTAAACGCTAAAGGCGCACGGAATGCTGTTATCTTCCCACCAAAGATGGCCCCTATTTTTCTACTTGCATTTTTTACATGCTTTCTAACTGCTAGGTTGACAGAAGCTGGGGCAAGTAATGGAAGCTCACCCCGTTACTTGGCAGTAGGGATTTGAACTGCTGAACTGCCAATCTTTTGATCGACAAGCTCAGCTTAGAATAGAAGAATAATTGCTAAGAACAGAAGGAATTAATTTTAAAATCAGGATGACTTTGTGATCTCCCATGCTCAAACCTTCTTCTTAAGAGTCCATCTGCCTTTTACAAACTTGCGTAGCTCCCAAGCTAATAGCTTCACCAGAGGCTCCCTTCTTATGAGTTATCATTGCATTAAGACAGGCATACAATAAATCTAAAACTATTTCCCACACTTAATAAGTAACAAATCGCTATATTACCTGCAGCAGCTTTCTCTACATAGTGAAGTTCATTGTAAAAAAGGCAAACCTGCTGGTATTTCTCCTTTACAACATTGGATATATAGTGCAATAGAGTTTGTTTTCTGTCTGTTGATTTTGTATCTAACAACTGCAAACAAAGCAAAAAAGAGGCACGTTAGTAATGCAATAATCATAAAATTCTAAGATAAAATCACAGATTTCTGGGAAAGAAAATTCTCCACTATGTCTGCTCTCCAGCAGCAAATTATCACTTTTTTCAAAACCACTCCAAGAGGATCAGGGAAGTGAGGACTTTCCTGACAACTATAGATTCCAACCAGGATGATGATATAAGTGAGAACCTTCTTGCCATGAACTTAGCTAGTTAAAAACCAAGACGGATTGGAAGTAATTACTCCTCTTGCTGATACTTCTGTACTCCATCCTACAACTGCCTTTGCAACTACTGGAAGTTTTCTCTTCTATGAGAGATCTTCAAGTACCTTAACATATGGCTCAAGTCACTGTCTACCTGTTTTAGGCAAAACAGAATTCTAAGGAAAACAGCTTCTGACAATTTTTTAATAGAATTGATAGAATTCTTCATTGGCCAAGTGTGATTGGACACACAAGGAACGTGTCTCCGGTGCATAAGCTCTCAGTGTACAAGCAAGCAACAAGAAATAAATCATGATCATAATCATAAAATATAATCATAAGATACAAAGTCAGCAATAATCATAGGATACTAAATAAGCAAACAACATAAATCGTAATAGGATACTAAATAAAGATAATCAACATAAATCATAACATACAAACAACAAAGTTATAGTTATAAGAAGCTAAGGAAATAGGCAAGAGGAAGAGGAAAAGATGAGAAGGATAATAGGTAATACAGCCCTACTAGGTGGTTGACATCCTAGGGTATAGACAGTGTTGTGGGAATTAGTTGTTTAGCAGAGTGATAGCATAGGGAAAAAAACTATATTTGTGTGTGATTGTTTTGGCGTGCAACACCCTATAGCATTGCCTTGAGGGAATTAATTAATCAATCTGTTGAAACACTGTCCAACTAAATATGTTATATTAAAAATATTTTCAAAACAAGAAATTGAGTTTAAATGGAAGCCAGCATGTAGAAGGATTAACCAAACTTAGCTTGTTCAGATTTCTCTGTTTTTATTATAACCATCACTCATATTTCTTGGAAATTAAAATCAGAACAAATTCAAACAATGAGTATAATGAACAATGAATGCCAAAGATACAAGGATATTCTACTTATTTTTGGTTCTCTTTTAATGAATGGCCCAACCAACCTCATAGGGATGATTTCTTATTAGTTATATACTTCTTAGAACATGGTTATTTTTGGGTTTTAATTTTAAAAAGTTGTAACGTGTCCAGAAGATGAAGTTAACTTTTTAAATTCTATCATTCCTTTTTACAGAATTTTTATACCGGAAAATATATCCAAAAATATATCCATATTGGGCACATTTACTTGCATGTAAATGACTTTAGTTTGATACCATTCCTGATGGCTTTTAGACAAATGTCAAGTTTTCCCCTCCTATGATATAAACTGGGTGAATGAACGGGGATTTTTGTAGGTAAGTAAAGGCCCTTACTTACCAGATCTAAACTTTGAAGTTTAAATCCATAGACAGCTCCTCGTTTACTGCTATTCATATAGTTGCCCAGAGCCAAGATTATCTATAGGTATCATAAGAGATGGAAAAAATTAATTATCAGCTAAAGTTGAAATTTGCTACTTGAAATGAAACACAAATATAAAGCTCAAAAGACAGCAGCAAAAATTAGAGTTTCTTACCTCTAAGATTTTTTTGAGTTTCTGAGAAGACTTTATGGAGACAGATGCTGCAATGATTGCATGCAATTGCTAAAGGCAAAAACAGGAAATAGGGTGAACATCCTTAAAAACGCAGCAAGCGCAAATTAAAATAGAACACTTGGAGATTTCAACAGGGAATGCATTTCAAGTAAGCCACTTTTCAAGGTAGAATTAAGCAATATGTTCAAGATCCCGTATGTTTTCTTTTCTTCTTCCTTATATTTCTTCTTGTCCATTCTTGTTCCAACTTTCAAGACTTTAGCAAGAAAGGGCAGGAATCACACAATGCAAATACTGTAGAACCTCTCACACAAGAAACCATATCCAATCAAGCAACCATTAGTTAGGCACAATCAAGTTGGACTGCATAGTAACTTCACTGAAAAATGTCTGCTGACTTGATATATTGCTAGTAAAGATTGTAGCTCTTCCAAGCACAGTCTCTGTAATCTTTTTCAAACCATCCATGCTTCTTAGGTGTTGTTTCCTCCTCCTACTTCTCTCAAAATTTCTAAGCATAGCTAGTTTTCCTAGTTCATCATGTACACATATCACATGTCCCAGGATCTGATGTATCTGATGTAAGCAGTGATACCTAACGCAATTGTCTCAATGCAGCTATATATTTTTTTTATTAGATTTATATGCTGCCCTTCTCCGGAGACTCAGGGCGGCTTACAATGTGTTAAGCAATAGCCTTCATACTTTTGTATATTTTATACAAAGTCAGCTTATTGCCCCCACAAACTGGGTCCTCAATTTACTTACCTTAGAAAGGATGGAAGGCTGAGTCAACCTTGAGCCTGGGGAGATTCTAACTTGCAATAATTGCAGACAGCTGAATGTTAATAACAGGCTTTTAGTCTGTTAAGCTATCCAGGCTCCTAATTTTTGTGGCTAAGAGTGGCTAGAGATGAGCAGGAAAGCAGGAAAGCAGGAAATGATATCAGACCATCTCCAATAAGCGTATTCTAGACTACCTGCTCAAAAAAGTACGCTAACAAATGTATGGGTAGTTCTTGTTTAGTAACTGAGTCACACAGCGAGTGTTCACAGTTACAATGGTTATCAAAAAATGAAATTATGTGATGAGTTCCTGCATTTGCAACCTTTGCAGGTCTATAAAGCCAAGGAAAGCTGAAATATGAATGTAAAATTGTGATGTTTCATTATGTGTCTGTTTCGCTTCATGATTGAGTGCTGGACCCAATTGTGGTCACTAAACGAGGATTACCTGTAAGCCTAACTCTGAGAATTAAGTTGTAGTCCTTTCCCTTTGTAAAACAGAGCTCTGATCCACATCTCACTCACCGGTGTGAGCATCTGTATGCTTTCAGTAAAGTTGCCAACAAATGCCATGATGGTCATTTTCTGCATCAGCCTTTCTATTTTGCTGAACTGCATCATAAATCGATCCTCATCTGACAGATTCTCAAAGGGCTTCCTTTCCCGCTCATAAAGCCGCAACACTTTCACTTCATTTTCCGTTGGCAAGAATCTCATCAGGCATTCAACAAAATCTACCGGCAGCGTCTTCAAATCAAATCTGACAATACAACACAATGCAATACCACTTAAGTTCCACAAAATGAACAACAGAAGTACATCTTTAAATATTTTGCCTGAGGGTACAACATAACCACACAGTTTTCATAAACTTTTCAAATTACTGAAGTTATTGTGAGTCCCCACATTTCACAAATATTTCCCTTTGAAATATTTGTAAAACTTATATGTGGTAAACTGGACTATAGAAGTGTTTTCTGGAAAGAGATTTGGCTAAATTCCCCATTCCTGGAAAGACTGCAAAGAAATTCTTTAAGCTAAGCTCATAAATGGCTCTTAAGATAAGCATTGTGCTGAAGTATGATTTGCAACTGACATTCAGATACAATAACGGACCATTTAATCACTAATTGGTAGCCAGCTGAGACAGCTGAACATTTGAAGATGCAACCTATGCACAGTAATAATGAATCACATATGCACAATGCCAGTGTACATTTGTTCAAGATACTTGGACTACATTCAAATAATATGCAAAGAACTACAATCTTTTCATTTCCTTAATAGCTACCATATTTCTTTCAAATTGGTATTTAACTTGCCGCTAAGAATGGAAATTTCGCATGACAAGCTTTATAGATGAATCCATATGATGTTCTTCAAAACAAAACAAAAAATACCAATTGTATATTATAGTAAAACAGGTCAGTTTTCTTCCTGCTTTTATGGCATATGTATATTGGCTCTCTGCAGCTTAACATGTAAGTGTATCCCAAGGACTTTAAGGAACTGAATCCACAAACAGTGTGTGCAGACTTGAAGCTTTAGTGTAAAAAAAACCCAAGCAACAGCCACTAACCTGTGGAATATAAAACAAGCAGACCTTCTTGGATCTAGTCTAGTTGCACAAATGCTGCTTGGCAGTTCATATATTTAAAACTGTGTATAAAATCTTTTCACTTACGCTTGAATAGCTTTACATATTTCATCGGCAGTTTTTCCAGCTTTTCTTAAGGTGATAGCAAGATTTTTAGCTCTATTTGCCTCCAGAAGCGTGACTTTGTTTGATCCTTTCTGAGTTATTTGCTTGCTCGAAGAAAGGTCGATAGCTGGCCCTTGGGCTTTTGTCTTGAATATTTCTTCAAATTCATCCACGTTTAAATCCTAAAAGAGACATTTTTTAAAAGAAAGGACAACCTGGGAAACAAAAATCTTATAAAATGCATCTGTAAAAAGCAAAAGGGGCCAATTATAAGAACATCTATACAATTCAAAGTAAAAACACCAAGACTCTCAATTCCTCATCAAATACACTTATCACTGGTCATGTGAATTAAGCTCACACTTCTGCATCACAGGAGAAAACAAAGATGACTTCTGAAGCAAAAAAACCGAAAGCTGGCTCCAAGTGTTCAGTTAGAAACAAACCTAACACTAACTAGACCAGTGTTGGCGAACCTTTTCCTCGTGGCGTGCTGGAAGTGTGTATGTGCGCGTGCAACAGCTCGCGTATGTGCCAGCACCCATAATGCAATGCAAACCCTCCCACATGCGCATGTGCACATGATCCCCCATGCATGCGGCCCACATTGCACATGCGCGCCCTGCACATGCACTTTGCTGCTCCTCCAGCCCCGTTTTGGGCCTGGAAAGTCGTTATTCTGAGGGCAGTCTGGGGCTTCCCTGTCTCCCTGCCCGAGCAGATTTCTGGCATAGCCCCAGGCCTCCGGGGAGAGGGAGGGAGGGAAGCCCTGGCCTGCCGCTCCTGCCACCGCCACCCCCTTGCCCCCAGCAAGAGCGGTTCTCGTGCTGCCGCTTCTCCGGCAACACCAGGAGCAACTGCCAGGGCAGAGAGGGTGGGGGCAGGCTGTGGTGGTCTGTTCTCACCGGGTAACAGACAGGCTGCTCCTGGAGCAGGCAGGAGAAGGAGAAGCTACCAGCAGGGAGACAAGCTGCCCCAGGAGGACTGGAGGAGAGCGCAGCTCCTCACTCATGGAGATCCACCAGCGGGGAAGTGGTTGCGGAAAGCGGTAAGAAACCTTTGCTAGAGTGAACATGCAACCCTCTCCTGCCAGGGAGCATGACCGCTTCCTGGCTCGCACATTTCTTACCGCTTTCCACGACCACTTCCCCGCTGGTGGATCTCCATGAGTGAGGAGTTGCGCTCTCCTCCACTCCTCCTGGGGCAGCTTGCCTCCCTGCTGGTGGCTTCTCCTTCTCCTACCTGCTCCAGGAACAGCCTGTCTGTTACCTGGCGAGAACGGCCTGCCACCACAGCCTGCCACCACCCTCTCTGCCCTGGCAGTTGCTCATTGTGCTGCCAGAGAAGGGGCAGCATGAGAACCACTCTTGCTGGGGACAAAGGGGGGGGGGGGTGGCAGCAGGCCGGGGCTTCCCTCCCTCTAGAGGCCTGGGGCTATGCCAGAAGCCTGCTCGGGCGGGGAGAGAGGGAAGCCCCGGACCGCCCATCCTTGCCACCACCGCCCCCTCACCCTTGGCGGCAGAGGTTCTCGCACAGCCACTTCCCTGGCAGTGGCAGGAGCAGCTGGCAGGGGAGAGGGGATGGTGGCAGGCTGTGGCAGCAGACAGTTCGAGCCGGCTAAGAGGCAACGTTCCTACTCCTGCCAGCCTCGAGCTCAGCTCCGGGCAGCATCCAACCAGCCATACTTGGCCTCCCCCTGAGGCAGCCCACATTGATCCCAGGCAGCGCAACTTTGGGCCTTTCCACATGGTGGCGGTGACGAGGCAGGCAGACAGCTGGGTGCACAGGAGCGACTGGTGGCAGTGCTCCTGGCTGGCAAAGGGCGGAGTCCCGGGGCTGCATGTGGGCTATGATGGCATGGTCAGTGCGCACGTGCACTAAGACATTAAGGCCAGCTGATCATCGCACCTGCATGTGCACCAGTAACCAGCAGACTAGCTGGCTGGTACGCATGTGTGCCCTGGAAACCCGGAATAAGAATGGGCAACACCACGTGTACTGGGCGACGTGGCTCTGCGTGCCACTTCCAGCACACATGCCATAGGTTCGCCAACACGGAACTAGACCAAAAGAAAAACAGCCAAGTATCCAAACAAGTAGGGGTAAAGATGCAGATGTGGACAGGAGAACATAAATTTAAAGTCAGTCCATCAAATCGGGTATTTTCTTTAGATAACAATGAAATTTTAAAATCTGCTAAATACATATGACAAAATCTGCAATAGCAAATCAAAATCATTCCACTTCATCAGGAGGCAATCATTCCTATTAATCCTCCTGGAGCCCCTCTCCTCTAGATATTCAAAATCACAATGTTCAAGGCTCATACCTCCAAGATCCTTTCATCATCAATTTCATTGAAGACGGTCCCATTAATCTGGTTGGGTTTCAGAGCCACCCAGTTAAAAACTGGCATGCGGAACTTGGTCTTAATTGGCTTCTTGATTTTCACAGCTTAAAAGAAGAGAACAGTGCAATTACACATTTCAGAAGTCCTAATCATTACAGTTATTACATTAAAAACATTGAAAAACATCTAGCCAACATTAAAAAAAATATATACTAAGTATCCATAATGATTAGACACTCTTGGAAAATTTAAAAAAAACGCAGGGAGAAAGATTTCAAGTCAGAAACTGACTTCTGATATGATAATTCATATCAAAATTTGGCAACAAGCATACAAAAAAATAATTGCATACTTTTTTTCCTACTAGCTGTCATGAACCGCAATCTAATGCCCACTTTTACCTAAAAATAAATCCCGATAAATTCAAGAGAACTTACTTCTAATTAGACATGCACAAGGTTGCATCTTAGAATGCACAAATACCTTAATCACTGCAAAGTATATATAATACATCATGATTTCCTGGCCATGTAATTTTAGTCCATTCTCATTCTGACCCCCTTAAAATTAAAACTCCAAGCACAATGCCTTTGGGGGGGGGAGGGAGAGAGATTAATCTCACTGTCTGAGGAAGAATTATAATCCATTTATTTAAAAGTTACAGACACTGCATCTGAAGCTTATAGTCTTGGCTAAATTAAGATTGATAGGAAGGGATAAGGGATGCTGCAAAGCATTTAGAAGTTGTAAACCATGATTGCCCCGGTGTTTTAAGAATAAGCTCCACATATAAACACTACTTGTTTTCTAGGGAACAATCTAGGGATTGACATTTTCAGACTGATTAGAGACTCAGACATGTAATTACAATGATTGAGCAGCACATTATGCAAATGTGACATATAATGACTTAAGCCTATTATGACACTAATTGTGTTAAAGACACACATTTGCAAAGATAGAAATGTAATTGTAGGATTCCTCCCATCTCTATAAACAGGAAGGAACTTACATGTCCAGTTCAGGTATTTTCAGATGAACCTTGAAACGGGGACCTTCAGAATTACATACATTATCCCACCCATGTAAACGGTACCTGAAATTTGACGTGTCTATTAGGAAAAAAGTATTGCTGCCAAATTTAAACAAGCCAGGATTTTGTATTCTAAATGGTGTAAAGAACATGCATCAGTCTCAGTACTTCTAACCGTTCTTCATACTGATTTATCACACACACACACACACACACACACACACACACACACACACACAAATCTAAACTCAAGTAGGGCGAGTGTGATATTCAGGCACACCTTCACCATTTCTGGGGAAAATGCAGGGACAGCAAGAATAGGAAAATGGACCAAGCTCAGGCACAGTCAGGGATTTCTGGTTTTTCGCCACAATTCTTTTTGAGGATGGTGGAACACAGCTACGTAATCTTTTTAACATTCTGGGGACGTGTGTAAGACCTGAAACAACTAAAGGCAGCGCTTTCCTCACCTATCCACTAAGATTAACTCAGGTATTTTCTCCTGAAGGAGAATGAGTCTGTACTCTATGGCATAACACTTCAAGATTTCTCTTTTATGGTGTGTGTGTGTGTGCGCGTGTGCGTGTGTGTGTGTACCCATTGATATTTTATTCCAAGAAAGAACTAATATTTTTCAGGATTTGTAGTGGTCTTAAATACCAAGTTAAGTGTTGGTGTTAGGAAAATAACAACACTCTGTAAGCACTTGTGAAAAGGAAAATCTACCAAGGCAGCATTCTTAACTTTCCGATGGAGTGTGCTCTTCAAAACTCGTTTCTACAACCTTACAAATACTGTAAAGTGAAAAGTCCCTGCTAATGCCTCTTCGATGAGACAAATAAAACTTGACCAAGTGATGGTTTCTAAGTTCAAGGCTTTCATATTGAATAAAAACAAAATACCCTTAACCCAGATGAGATAGATTGCCTAATAGCAATGGCTCCTTAAGAAAAACAAAAAAATCTACCCATTTAAAGTGGAGATGCCAATAACTCATTCTGGGATCTTTGAATACCAAGATAATTATATTATGTGCATATGCAAAATAATTTAGAAAAATCCTTCATAATAGTACATAACATGTCAACATTATACAAACATATTAATATTTCTAGTCTATTTATAATAGAAGAGTGAATGTATACATAATTCTAGTATATATTATTACACCACAGACCTCAGACATAAATAGCATTTGTATAATATTAAATTTTATGTGTAGATTAGATACAAAACCAATCATGTCTATAGAGGGCAGACAAAGTAATAAGTTAAAGAAGCCAGTAAAGCAAACAACCTGCAGGAATGGTTTGTTTCACAAAGAAAATATACATATGTTTTGATCACAAGACAACATGAAGATAATGGCTTTATGCAGTTTACAGTATGGATAATATTTTACATAATGCAGACCATCTCATGCTTTTAGATAAGGCAAAAAAACCCACCACAATGTGGTTTTTTAAAATGGCAAAATCACACGCATACCCACAAAGGATGTTGAGTTTCAGATCTGAAGCTAAAAATTATTTCAGATGATTTCTGCGCACCTTCTGCTCCAACTGGCACCTCCTTAAATAAACAGCCTGTTTTCCTGGGCTCCCTCTATAGCTATGTAGCATATCAGATCTAAGAAAGCACCTTAAGGATGTGACAAGGTGCTTTGGAGTGAGTGTTAATGCTCAGTTTGTGACCCTTAACTCAGATATGTGCTTTTTTGGAATTGCACTGCTACTGTGTAAGCCCAGCGGAAACCCCTGCTTTTATAAGGAGGTGCTGACAGGAACATCACACGTGCCCACACCAAACTGCCTTTTTAGCTTTTTATCTGAAACAGAGCACATCCATAATTACAACATATGTGCATGCATGTACATTACATACACACACATGCAAAGTGTAACAGGACAGAAAAGAGAGGTATTAGAAAACAAGGTAAAATACTTAACAAGAAGGAACCTACAGAAAAGCTTGATTGGCCCATCTTAAAGTGAAGCAAAGGGAATAAAGAAGAAAAGAGTTAACAGTAATCAAAATTAGAGGACAGTTATTTATTTACTTATTTTACTTAAACAAAACAATGAAAGGACGTTTTCATATATAACTATTTTTCTACCTAGAAATAATTTTATTCATTGTTGTTTAATTTTTCCCTGCCTTGCAATCTGGCTAACAGGAGTACAAGCAAATAAAAAAACGAAATACAAAACATAGAAAACATAAATTTAAGTATGCATTATACCCAATTAACAATTAAAAACCTGTGGCATCTCTTTGGGTTTTTTTAATACTACAAAAGTGGCTCAGAGATGGTTGATAAAGGGATGTGTGTTTGTGTGTGTGTGGTGTGTGTGTGTGTGTGTGTGTGTGTGTGTGTGTGTGTTTACTTAATCTACCTTCACCTGTAAGGCAAAAATAGGGAATCAGACCAAGCCCATCATTCTTGACTAATAGCCATCTGGCCAGAGTTTAATGGAAGTTAAAGTAACTTTTGGAGGACTCCAGCACCTTACCCATCCACTCATGTTTAGGGCAAAGTGTATTTTCTTGCTACGTTACCCTAATGATGCACGGGCCTCTCAAGAATCTACTTCTGATGTCACCTAAACAGGCAGTGCAAGACATCCATGCACTCTTTTTCCCATTGTCAGTTTAGCTATTAAAAACATTTAGCTTAAATAATATAACAGTAATGAAGGTGAACCGGTCCTTCTACCAATATCTACCCTAAACAATGCTCTTTTGTCCATGGGCCTTGGAAAACAGAAGACTCAAATATTTTGAATACAGTTCTTAATAGGTGTCATTTTCAAAAATACAAGTGTTTCATCTACACCAAAAAGAGGCAGCAACATTTATGAATTCTTGGAGCTCTTTTCATATTAATGAGCTTTTGCCCCAGGAACTGAATAGATTTCAATGGGCCAATCTGAGTTACATTTCGATCTCTTCCAAGTCACACTGGATATAAAGAAACTGTATTAATTATAGCAAGACAATACAGCATTGGCAGGGTAGCTGGTCATCAGATTTAAAGAGAGGACTGTGACTAATGATTAAACTAAGTCAATGGCTTCAAGCTGGGAGGGGGGGAAAAAACTGGAATCGGGTGAATAGAATTGCCCAGACAGAACCTGGAACTGAATGTCTATTGCAAAATGCACATATACTATTAAGAAGGTGAACAAGTGTAGATGTTGGATAAAGTCCAAGAGAAAGCACTTACTAAAAGTACATATATTTGGCTAGCTGAAGTTCCAGTGATGCCAAATTAATATCCCAATGGAGCAGAGGCACCCAATTTTTTTTTACGTAAGACTATCACAAAACTCTAAAAAATAAAACATGTCAGTTGCATGTCTAAAAAAAAAAAAAACAGAACTGAGTCCTACTGCAATCTTTAATTTCTTTCAGAGGAAAATGGCACAGACAGAACTAATAAAGGATACAAATCGTTTGTCTATTTTCAAAATATATTGAGAAAGCATACCAAAGTTTTCTCAATATAGTTCTTTCATGGCACCAATCTATACAGTACAATCTATATTTGCTCATTTGATTGTCTCCATTCACAAACAGCATCATTTTTGAAGTGCACAGCTTAGCAGCATTTTGTATAAGTTAGCGACCTTTAAATGTAAAGATTATCCAGCTGATTCTAACAATGTGTGCACAATTTTCTTTTAGAGGACTAAATTTCTGGCAGGGAAATTAGCATACCCTTCATCTATTGTATCATCAACATGTAAGTGGTTGTACTGTATCATCATATAGTAAGTGCCCATTACATTTTTTTAGTAATACCGAAGAGAAAATGGAAAATGGATAGATAGCATTCTCAAACCAAACATACTCCACAGATAATCTGTTTTTTTTTTCCTCCATAATAGATTTTGTTGTTGAAATAAGTAATAGAAGTAGCAATGGGGGAAAAATGGGAGTGTTGCAAGTTGACTACAATACTGTCCCTCCTCCCTCCCTCCTTCTCTCTCTCCCTAACATTTCTTAAGAAGACAAAGTGAGAAAAGACAAGGGAGAGACAATATTTATCTAGCCTGAATCAGGTAGGGCAATTCAACAATATAACTTGGATGGACGGTAATAGGTAAAACAGTGTTGGCATAACCATGGATAGCAGAAAAGCTTCTGAAATGTTAATAACATTCAGAAATATTTATGTATTCTGAAACTGAGCCTGGAACACGGATTGGGCAGTGTTCTAATATAATCATCAGAGAAATATCCTTTGTAGGTAAGTTTTGAAATTTTGTAAAATGGAACTGTATTAGGGCAGGGATTCCCAACTCCCGATCCGTGGGCCGGCACCAGTCCGCGGCATGCCAGAAACCAGTCTGTGCAAACAAGTGAAGCCCCATCCACGGAATGCAGGCAGCATGCAAAACTATGCTCCCTCCACTTTGTAGAAAAACCTCTCTTCATGGAACCAGTCCCTGGGACCCAAAGGTTGGGGACCTCTGTATTAGGGCATGTTTAAAAAGTCCTGCTTAAGCTTAATAGCATATGTGAGCGTATTTTTCCAGTTTGAGCAGACAGAAATTGAATAAGAAATTCTTTTTTCTGGTGCATTAAAGCTTTTGAGAACTACGCTATATGTCAGAGTTCACATGTACTTTTTCTCCATTTCCTCCTGACTTCAAATGCAGCCATGTGCATGACAACAAGACTTGCTTGTGATGCACAGGAGAGAAAAGAAGATTTGTAACTTCTTTGCAGTAGCTTTTGGTTTACAGCAGGCGTGTTCAACCTTTTGGCTAGCTTGGGCCTCATTGAGTGAAGAGGAATTGTCTTAGGTCATATATATTATACATATTTTGTATAAATGCAGAAAATCATGTTATAAAGGTTTAAGATATTGTTGGGCCACATTAGTAGCTGTCAAGGACCACGACCCATGGGCCCCTGGTTAGACACTATGTCTTTCCCTATAAGACTGCATCTTCAGCCTCAAAACCTTCCTCACATGCCATGCTTTCTGTTGCTTCTTACCTGCTAATCCTGAGTTGAACACAACGGTAGGAGAGGCCATTCCTGGAAGTGGGGGTGCTAATGGTGGAGGTGGGATAGGAAGAGGTGGTGCAGGTTCTGCAGCTGGACCAGGAAGAGGAGGTGGGGGAGGAGGAGGAGGAGGTGGCGGTGGTGGTGGTGGCGGTGGTGGTGGAGGCATTGGTGCTGCCATGGGACCATTTTGCACTGTGAAATGAAAAATATACACAGCATTTGGAAACGTTTCATTAAGTATTTCACTGAGAGGGGGGGTTGTTCCTCTGCTCCTCAAGGAAGCAATGGTTCACCTTCACCTTAAGAAACCTTCGCTGAATCCCACCATACTGGAAATTTCCACAAAGTATCTAACTTCCCATTTCAGGGAAAGGTTTTGAGAAGCCAGGCAGGAGCTTCAGAGGCTTCTGAAGTGGATTATCTGGACCCCTTTCGGTCACGATTCAGCCTTGGGTATGGGATGGAAACATTATTGGCTTTGCTTTCAGATGATTTCTGGCATGGGCAGGAATTTGCGCACATCCATTCCTACTCTTGACCGCAGTATCCTTCTAAGCCGGGTCTGGGGATTGGGGTGGGTGATAACTGTATTGTGCTAGTTCTCCTTTCTCTATGGTCTATACCAGACAGTGGTAAAAACGGAGAAGAGATCCAGCCCTCAGCCCCTTCTTTGTGGGATTCCAATCTCTCCTCTTCCACATTAACATGAAGCCACTGGATGAAACCATGTACTGCTATGGAGTGTGGTATAATCAGTAAGATACTCAATTATATCTTTCTGCCTCTAGCGCTTTAAGCATTGCTGTTGATACTCTATCCTGGTGCCTGAAGGCTATGGAGGACAAGAGGCTTCAACTGAACCCTGACAAAACTCAATGACCTTGGTTTTGGGGTCCCTCTGGTTCAGGAACTGTGCCATTTTTAGTAACTGGATGGGGTTGCATTGACCCAAACAGACTCAGTGCACAGCCTGGGGAGCCTCCTGGAGTCACAACTACAGCAGGTGGCAATTCTGGCAACGTGGGCCTTTGCACAGCAACTGAAAGTGAGTGGGTGACCACATAGATTCTCTAAATAAAGAAACAAATTCAATTCTCTGTCAGCCCATTTTACCTGTTTCTGATTCTGCTGCTATCAGTGGCAGAGGTGAAAGTGGCACTGGAGACCCTGCGTTGGCAGTAGACCCTCCTGAAATGCCAACCGAACCTTCTGATCCTGCTGGTGACACCCCAACAGGAAGGATGTTGATGTCCCCATCTCCTTTCTTCTGAATTTTAATGGACCCTTGCTTTTCCAGTTCATGGATCTTTTTCTCTAGTGTTGACTGCCGTTGAATGGCTTCCTCCTTTTCTTTGACCATTTTTCTTAGCGTGTGGACTTGTGTATTTGCATCTTTGTATATTTCCTGTGAAGGAACCCCCAGAAAAAAAAGAATTCATTTCATTTGAAAAACAGGGAGAACATGAGATTTCCAATAAGCTCATCACCTGGGAACATATTGTAATGATGGCTTTCTTTCTATATAAGTTAATGAACACCATATTCATCTGAAGTAAATGCAGGTAACTCCCCTGGCAAACTAATTTAGCTAAGTGAATCAAAGGAAACTGCCCTTACTTCTGTTGGGTATATGATTTTCCCCTCTTCTCCTATTTTTTTAGATATGGCTACACACAAAGTATACGAATATGTTCTGTAATTAAGAGTATCCATCTAGAATCTGGAAAGCAAGCAAATGCAGTCGACGATATCCCAGAGCTAAGATCCAAAGGGATTTATGTGAACTCTAAATTTAATGCTTCCTGTTTTGAAAATAAAACCTCAAACTTCATCAAAGTGGCTGGATCAAAGGGGAACATGCTGCTAATAAGCTTTATATACTCCTTGGAGTTATAAATTACCATCATGCAGCAAGGCACAGACATATGTATACTTTCTACATATCAGCAATTGCAAAATGGCAGATAAGATATGTTTAGACAAAGGAATAAAGAGATTTAGATTTTAATGGCACAATACACACGTGACTTGGAAACACACAGCCTCTATAGAATGCAAGTAGAATGACATTCAACTATAAGCAACTGAGGATACAAAGATGCATCTAGAAGCAAAGTTTGAGAAGTTATCAAACATTAACATCTGAACTTTTAGGAAACTTACTCGTACGACATCCAGTTCTTTGTTTCTTTGCATAAGTTGTTTTTCCAGTTCCACAATTTTTGCCATAGCTTCATTTTCTGTGTCTTGAAGTTTTTCTGATAACTAGATATTATTAAAATGAGTGATTAGTTGGTAAGGAAAGTCTCACAATGCACCCTGATATGAGGACCTTCAGAATTACAGACATTATCCCACACATGTAAACAGTACCTGAAATTTGATGTGTCTATTAGGAAAAAAGTATTGCTGCCAAATTTAAACAAGCCAGGATTTTGCATTCTAGATGGTAAAACAACACACATCACTCTTAGCACTTCTAACCACCCTTCATACTGATTTATCACACACATAAATCTAAATTCAGGGTAAGTGTGATACTCAGGCACACTTTTACTATTTTTGGGGAAGATGCACCGCCATCACTTTAGTACGATTGTACCTTTGGTACAATTTTGTCTTAGTTCAAATTCCCAGAAAATCTCATAGGCCAGCGAAAAGATATGATTACTCTTCTTTGGTTAACTAGTTTAAATATTTTTTTAAGATATTGTTTTTTATTAATATTTTTCTTGGGTCTGAAAGCCATCTTAAGATATTTCGTGCTCTGGAAGATATAAATGGCTCAATTACTCAAAGTAACTTTCTTAATGTGGGCTACATTTCAGCTACATTTATTCTGTAATAAGGAGAACACCATGAATGGAGCAAAATATGTAACTTTATTACAGAAATTGATTTTCTTTTATTATACTACAGACTATAAGGACTCCATTTAATTTTTCATGGATACATTCTGTGGTGTTCAATGCAATCACTCTATTGCCATTTTTCTCATTCTTTGGACAACTGCAGACACAAACTGAAGAAGACTGGCCACAGTTTAATTATATACTTAAATAAATAATGTATAGCCAATTTTTTGGAACTAAGCCAGGATATGAAGCTGTGGTTTGGAGCTGGCTTCTGCATCCTGCCTTGTTTGGAATCAGTAACAGCTTCCAGGCAAGGGGAAGCAAATGTTTACTGTGGCTTCTTTGTGTATATCACTGCATGCATACTGGTGTGGTTCATTTTGCTGGAATAGAAATAGATTCACATAACTGTTATGCTTCAACAATTTGCCGAGCATATACACGTATGTGTGTGTGTGCACACGCACACCCACCCACACTTTGCCCTTCAACCTTGGTCTCCACAAGACCAAATAATAAAGTTCAGATCCATCCATTCTACTCCAATTTAATTTCTGTTGCTGAACAAAATCAAATGGGCAAACCATACTGTGTTATTTGTGTGCATACTTTTAAACTATGACATATGTTTTCTACAACTATGGATTTATATTCAATTAGTGGGGAGTGGAAACAAGTCACATGACAACAGCTTTGACGGTTCAATTATTCTTCCAAGTGACTGCACCTGAGATTATAAAACTGAATTCACCAGAGCTATTTGAATCATTGTCCTAGTAAGAAAAGAAGAGTTTATATAATATATGAAACAAGATTTTAATGGGTAATATTAAATTTTAATGGGTGTAAAATTGCAGAATGGGAAAATGAGGAATGTCCAAATATTTCCCCTTTTCCATTCCACCATAATAAGAACATAAAAGACATGCTGAATCAAATATTTTGCTAGTCCTACTTTCACACTGGCTATGAAGACCTACGGTCTGGGTGAAATAGAAGCCATCCATGTCTATTCCACAAGTACTGGGATTTGAGGCAGTGCTATTTTTTGATAATAATGGGAATATACTGGTCAATGCTATGCTTGTTTTTCTAATTTTATCAAATAAAGGGCTTCCAATCATCATTATAACTTCTACAACCACATTTAGCAGTTCAACCATGCGCTCCTGAAAAATTGCTTTCTTCATCAGCAGTGGACTAGATGAAAACTGTCATTTAAATGAAGTGGAAGCCTGAGGTAAAATTGCACTTTCTACAACTTAGTTTTTTCCAATTCTTTAAAAACAATAAGGAAGCAATAATTATCACAAAGTGAGCAAAAATGTTTTATCAAAAAAAACAGATGTATAATAAACATACATTTGTAATCACAGCCTAATGTTGACAGCCAATGGTTCTTATTATATATATCTACACACACACACACACACACACACACACACACACACATCCACCCACCCACAAACCCCTAAACATTTCCCCAAATGAAAATAATCTACATCATTTTTCATGTATCCCCATAATAAATATTTTCAAAGGATTAGAACTGATACTAACATGAGATATATTTTCCTCCAATTCTTCAACTCTTTCTAAGGCAGCATTCTTGGTCTCAGCATCTTCAAGCAAAGCTCCCACATCAAAGACATTGTCCAGGTAAGCCTGTATTTGCACTTGCAGCTTATCACTTTCAGTGTGTTTCAGCTTCTAGAAGGTCAACAGCAAATTAATTAAGGAATAAAAAAGAACTATCAAACAAACCTGGCACCATCCAACTTCTCAATTTTGCCCCACATTGATGTGATTAATCAAATGTATTTATTTAGTTACTATGGAATTTCTATCCCACTATATCCTAATAACTCTAGGATGCTGAATATAGACTACCATTTGTATATTAAATTGAGAGACAACACTATAGATTCACTTGAAAAGGGAAGGGGATATTGAAAGTTAAATCCTTTTTCTTTTTGCAATAATTCAGATATCTAGATTCCTGTCCAGAGGTATAGAAACACATCAAGTTCTTAAAATTCAAGGCACTATATTTACAGAGAACATCAAGGTTTTGGAAGATAGGAATTTTGGAGAGAATTTTATAAAATGTGTAAGATTGATCTATACTTCAGAGAAAGGACCAATAATTATTACTGGAGAACTAACAACATCCTATGAAATACAAAAAGGAAAAGACACGGATGCCCACTTCTCCCCTGTAGTTAATTTTGGTTCTTCATATATTAAGTAGCGATACAAGAACAAGATGGAAACTTTGTGAGAGAAATGATTTAAAATGAAACTTTTAAGTTAAGGGATTTTGCAGATGATTTGGTATTGGTTCTGCAAGATCCCTTAAAGGGAATTGAAATATTAATGGCCAAATTAAAATAATTTGCCCCAAAAAGTTCTCATGTAGGAACTTAGCATCAGAAGTAAGATTTTTTTTTTTGCCAAAACACAGCAAGAGCAGCTGATCTCTTAAGCAATAAAACTTTAGTTTTTGTTTCATGCTACAAGTTCCTATGAACTGATACAACAGGATAAGAAATATAAGAGCCATTTTAGATACAGAAACAGGATATAATAAAGTTTAAATGTGGACATTATCATCTAATTCCTAACAGGTATGAAAGAAAATCTTTGAGCTGTATCCAATTGTGCATCTGCTTACAATTTTCTGTTCCCCTCCAAAAGATCATTTGGAGCAAACCTGGGAGATGTGGGAAGTAGTGGGGAGAAAATGAAGAAAAGTTTTATTTCTCCCCAACTTGTCATCTAACATACGGTTTGACCAATCAAATAAATAAGTAATGCCAGAAGTACCATAAATAATGTCACAAGTTTTTTTTTTAAAAAAAAGATGTGGATCTGAAAATTGATTGCCAAGTATGAATTGGGTTTCCTTTGCTCACTGGCAGACTAACTTGCAGTTTTGATTTAATCCGCTGTCAAGCTTCTAGTTATTCTAGAAATATAATTCCATGGTAGTTCTTGAAGGGAGGAAGGAGGGTAAAAACAGTTTGCTTATCTGCAAATATGCATTCCCATGTTAGGATGTTCCTGTATGCCTGCCCATGCCTAAGTATAAATTTACAGCTGAATTGTTTCGGATGGATACTCAAAGTAGAGGAGGTTCTTTCTTCAGTGGGCATGCTCCAAAGCACTCCCATTACTACAACAGAATTAATGATGTTATCTAGTTTGAGTAACAAAACATCTGCAAGAAAACAACCAAGCTCAGAGAGCACCAAGGACCCCTCATTTCAACCCTGAGCTACAAATAGCCTTTTTTATTGGATCTCAGATATGCATAACAATGGACATAATCATCTAGGATTTTGTATATATTCAGAGAAAGAAACTATGTTATAGTTGATGACTGCCTGAATATTTGCATCAGAAGAAAGTATACTGATGCCCCCAGATATATCTGACTGTGACCATGTTCTTAGGAGAGTTAAAATCAGCTCCCCACCCTGGACAGATGTATTCATAGAGAGTAATTGGGGGAAAGAAAAACATTAGCTTAGATTGTAGATTGACCCCATCATCTTAGACTGTATTTGGGATGGCAATTTGCATTCCTCCTGTTAGCTCTGGTTGTCATGGCTAATAGGTACCCTAGGAGCTACTGAGTGGTGTTTTCTGCTAGACATGGACATCTAGAGATGTGCCCAAATTACTTGACATAATGCCATGACCTCAATAGTCTTGTCCTAAAGAAGGAATGCTGGAGCCTGTACTGAATCTAAGAGAACGCCTCCATATTGAAATGATCTGGGAAGGCAAGATTGTCCCAAGATTGTCCCAAGTTCACAGACAGAGAAGGTAATTAGGGCCTGGTGGCTCAGCAGACTGATAGATTGTGATTAACACCAGCTGTCTGCAATTACTTTAAGTTCGAATCTCACCAGGCTCAAGGTTGACTCAGCCTTCCATCCTTTCTAAAGTAGGTAAATTGAGGACCCAGTTTGTGGTGGCAATAAGCTGACTTTGTATAAATATACAAAAGTATGAAGGCTATTGCTTAACGCATTGTAAGCCGCCCTGAGTCTCCGGAGAAGGGCGGCATATAAATCAAATTAAATATATATATATATCTCCTTGATTTCACATGGTATCAATGAACCAATTGACAGAAGGCAAGAAAAAAAATGCAGATATCTAAAGCATAAATATTAAGCTAGAACCACAGAGGCTAGATTTGAAAAAGACTCAAAGAAACACCAACAAAATAAAAGAAAGGATTCCTCTAGCAAGAAAAAGTTCTGATAATCAGAAATTTCTGATGATTTGGCAGATGGTTTATAGAACTGCAGGCAACCCAAAGCTCCTACCAACAGAACTGGTCCCCATAGGCGAGCAGGGCATAAATAAGACTGTACTATCACTCTATGGAACTACTGCAGCCAAATAAAATCCTTGAAATTCCAAAAATGCACATAGTTGCAGCTCATTTTAATGAAAGGCGTAACAAAAAGAAGAACAGCAAACAATACTACCTTCATGAGAAACAGGTTGACTGAAGCAAATATCCAGGAGGGAAAAAAAGAAGTAGGAACATTCTTTCAGCCACACATTTAGGGGAGAAGTTTGTCTGAGTTCACAATGTGTAATTCAGCTACAGATTGTCTCAAAAAGAAGTACAAAAATGTGGAGAAACATCTAATGTATGGGGCATGGAGTCCATCATGAAAACAAATTATCATGGAGTCTTTTAAATAGGCCTCTATTCTGCCAAAGTCTTACACCAGCTTAAATTTCTTGCACAATTTTATTTATTTGTTGGATATGTTTCCTGCTGTTTTTCCAAAAACTGAAGGCAGCTTACATGGTTATGCCTCTATAATACTGTTCTTCTGAACCCAATTTCTCAAATCCTGTTTCTGGCAAGATGAAAAAGGAAATAACTAATAGTATGAATCATATAAAATTACACAATGGAATCTTTTTCTCTTTGGACTGTAGCCTTTACATTGTGAATGGTCTATCTTAATCATTCATAAGCCATGTCTGAGAATCAAAGGTCAAGCTGTCTTAAAGTAGTTTTCTGTGACAAAATAATTCACCAAATGAACTGTTTAGATAAACTATGCAAACTTTCTATTATGAATCATTCACTTAAAACCATGTAGGTGTAAAATGGAGATCCAGATGAAAATCCACATTCTTTAAAGAAACAAAAAAAGGATTTGCCAATCCCTCTTTAGGCTGCAGTTCAGAAGTACAATACATACTTTTTCTAGAGAGGATCCCATTCCCAGATACAAATTACCAGCATGTACTAGGATGGCAGAATAACCTCATTTGAAATCCTGGTTAAGCCATTGTCATTTGATGCTCCCTATATGTGCTCCCTATATATTCCAACTCTGAAATTCCCAACCAGTATGCCAAAGTATATGCTGTCAGAACATTTCACTTCAGAAGTTGGGTCCCTGCAAATCTGGAGAGCAAAAGACTATAATAAAAAAATATAGAATTATATGAGGGAAGTGATGTGGAGAGAGGAATGATGAAGGACATAATGAGAAAGATCAATATATTCTACTTATGTTGTATTAGGTGGTTTTCCAATAAATGAATAAACTTCTTAAGTTATGTGTACCTCTTTTTTCCTCATCACAAGACAAAATCCAGAAATGATATCCAAATAAAAAAACATAATTAAATTAAATATTCTCCTCTTTGAATAAAACAATCAATTTAACCATTTCTGCTTTATCTTCCTTGCTGTGGAAATAATATGTATTTCTATCTGCACTTACAAATCTTTATAAACTATCACCATTTACATTAACAAAATTCATTGTACTCTTTCAGAGTCTTTCACCTTAAAGGTAAAAAAAGTGTTTTAGTTATAAAACACTAAACTTTTCTTTAAAAACATTTCTGAAATCAGAACTTTCTAATACATCTTTTTTTTAATCTTCCTCTTAACATGCATACTTCAAAGTTCACTGTTAAATTTAGATCACTCCCTCCAAGCTACCTTCGTAGAATATTTTTCTTCTTCTTGTATACATCCTTTTAAAAACTCTAAACTTTTTAAAAACTTTTCATCGGTTTGACATTTGTAATTGAAAGAAAAACTTAAAGTCTGAAAATGTATTTTTCCTTTTTATATAATGCTTAAGTAATTCCTAAAGTTTGTAAAATATTATTGGAAGTATATTTGAGAGTTTCTGTGTTAAGAGAAAGTTATGAGTACCTCTTGACTGTAGTTTTTCAGTCACATCCATATCATATTTGCCTATACTACCGCTATTATGATTGCCTCTAAATCACTGCTGCCAAGAAGGCAGTTATCAACTGAGTTTTGTAGCTCAACAACAGGGACAACAATGAGTGAAATGCTCAGAGAACAATGACTGAGCATGTTCTAATACTTCTTTCTGAAAAAAAAGGACCAGCAGAAGGAAGCATGGGGAACTTCTAGTACTCTTGAAATGTAGCCAACTGTATCAGCAGCAATCAGCGAAGAGGAGATACATGTAATACAAAGTTCCCTACAGTGTGTGCACACCATATGGTTTCATTCACTTCTCTTGGCACTATAAATGAGTGGCGAGTCACGTCCTTATAAAATGCACAGACGCACTTTGCAAGTTCATAGATAGAGTAAAATCACTGGACACTGAACACATGAAAAAGAGCACCAGTTACCCAGATCCATAGGACATGAAGAGGTATCACAGCACCAATGAGAAAGGAACAGCAGAAAATAAGGAGTCCATGATGATGATTTTTGCAGAAGGAGAAATCAGGTAGCTTGTCCACTATTGTAACTGCTTTTTAACAGCAATATTTTTAAAAAGGCTGCTTAAACAAGCATCTGATAAAATATAATTTTGCACAAAGGTGCATCCTAGAGGAAAGCTAATGCAAAAACTTAAAACAGCCATTTAAAACCCCATCCTCCACCCTTTTTAAGAACAGGAAACTGTAGTATGTGATTTTAGATCTGTCTGTTTATTGGATTATTTTTGTAACATGACTGTGTTTAAGAATGGTCAATACTTAGCAATTGCTGAAAATAATTCAGGTAGTCCTCGACTTACAATAGTTCCTTTAGTGACTGTTCAAAGTTACAATGGCACTGAAAAAAGTGACTTACGACCATTTTTCGCAATTATGACATTTGTAGCATCCTGATCAAAATTCAAAAGCTTGGCAACTGATTCATATTTATGGCCATTGCTGTGTCTCGGGGTCATGTGATCACCCTTTGTGACCTTCTGACAAGCGAAGTCAATAGAGAAGCCAGATTCACTTTAAAACCAGGTTACTAACTTATCAACTGCAGTGATTCACTTAACAACTGTGGCAAGAAAGGTCGTAAAATAGGGAAAACTCGCTTAAGAAATATCTTACTTAACAATAGAAATTTTGGGCTCAGTTGTGGTTGTAAGTCGGGGATTACCTGTAATAATGTAAAAACAAAGGACCTCCTTGTGGTTCTTTTTAATATGGGAAGTGCCAATTCTTTCTCTGTATGATCAGATCCAAGTGCAACACGTGTCAAATATTATAACAGACCCCATCTCTAGAAGACACTGATCATCTAAAGCAGGGTGTACTTACATCCAGATATTCATCAAGGCCTAGCTTTGTAAATTCATACTGGAGATGAACTCTGAAATTCATATCTTCTACTGAGTGTACTACTATGTTGACGAACTGCATGCACGCCACCTGCCAAAGGGGAAAAAAATGGTCAGAATAAGCTGTCCTATATATTACATCTAACAAGTTAGGCAACGATAGAGAAAAGCAAAATTATACAAATGCAGTTAAAGAATCTTTGCAGAAATTATATTTATCTAGGCTAGGGGCCCGCCCTGGAAACAGTAAAGGACCAGCCCGTGGTGCCTCTGACAGCAAAAATGGAGCTCGGGAAGGCTCTGTTTTCGGTGGCAGAGGGCTGCAGGAGGCCGTTGTGACCAAAAACGGGGTCCTCCCGAGCTCCATTTTCACTGGCAGAGGACTGCAGGAGGCCGTTGCAGCTGAAAACAGAGCCTAAGAGATGCATGTTTTCGCTGGCAGAGGGCTGCAGGAGACCGTCCAGCCCTTCACTGCCTAGGGCTCTGGATAGCCTGCACCATCATCCAGGGGTCCTCTGCATAGCCTGAGAGGAACAAAGAGGTTCCTCTGGAGGTCAAGGGTTTGGCGCTTCCCTGGTCTCGTCTTCCTCTGCTAGAGACAATGGAGCCCTGCCTGAGCCATCACAGGTACCCCCAACATGAATGACACCGAGCTGGCCATGCCTACCCCGGCCAGGCCCGCCCACCCCCGGCCTCTCCGAAGTCAAACACAACCCTGATACAGCCCTCAATGAAATCGAGTTTGACATCCCTAATCTAGGCTGTGCCAGGATCCAGAGTTCAAGCTACCCTATTCCATAAAAAGACTTGGTTTAAGGGCTTCCTGAAGAGTGCTATGCATAATCCATTTGCTTTCCAAATGATATTTTGCTTTTCCAGTTGGAATTACCCTATGGCTCTAATTCCAAGTGGGAAAGTGGATTCCTGAGCAAAGGCAAATTCAATATATTCAAACCAATTCAATATGTCCCGAGGAGATGTATTCAACAGGTCCTTCTCCTAGGAAGTGAGTACAGAATTGCAACAACCTTCTTGATGTCCATTAATCGTTACCTTTTACCAAATACAAGTGAAACACTGTGTGTGTTTTATAATTCTGCAGTAACACTGAACAAATGATAACTATAATAGTCATAGGAATAATTCAAAGTTCTAAACCTCAGGAGCTTCCACCTAAATATATTCAGTTAAACAAGGCAGCAGTGTCCAAAACAAAATCAAGAAGCATAGCCCTGAGATAAAAATCACTGAAGAAAGTTTTTCTACTTCTCTAACTATAGGATAGCCGTAGAAAAGAATGGAAATGAGATATGACAGAATAATTCAGAAGTTTCTGTAAATCAGGATGTTACTTTTCCTGATGCAGTAGGCAATGACAGATCTTTAAACTTCCTATCATCAAAGCTCACATTTCACTTTGTAAGCTCTGTCTGCAAATCTGAAACCTGACTTGATACAAACCACTACAGCAAAAAATAATGATCTTGATCAAGTAAGTAGCTACTCTGGGGTGGGTGGACAAATCCAGATTTCCACACTAATCATACATCTCAGTAAGGAATAGGGGCTGTTGCCTACTGAAGCAAGGTATCTGGAGTGTTTTAAAAGCACTCCTAGCTCACTGGCTTGACAACAACAGCTGGGACTCTTCAAAACCTCCTTCTGTTCTTTGTATCAGGAAAGGAGCTGCCCAGGATTCATGTCTGCTAAAAACAGTTTAAAGAGATAATTTCACTGACATATCGCCCTAATTGGTCAAGTTTCTGCAATATGAAAGAACCCCCAGCAAAAATTAGAAACCAAAATGGTTACATAATGAAAGTGGACTCAGGAGATCATCATACAAAGTTCCCGATTCTTCTAACATACAGCATGTTTGCTTCATGCCTACACATGAATTTAGTATCCAGGCAGGTTCCATTAATTCTCAACTACACCTTCCACAAAATTATTGCATTTAATCATAGCAAGGAAGGGAAATGAATTGATAAATCAATCAAAAGATGCAAATGCTAACTTAAAGATACCATTTTCCTTATTCTTCTATATGTTGTGTGTGTGTATATATATATATATATATAAATGGTAGTTTAAAGCATGTCTCTTTATTTTGCAAATAACAGCATAATGTGCTGCTCTAAAGAATGCCAGGATTTTTCTCCTTGTCCTGTTTTAGCACAAAGGAAGGCAAGGGAACATCACAGGCAGACTACTGAATAAGTTCTGAAGTTTTATCCAATACTAAGATAATGTCAAGTCTCCTTCAAGTTGATTTTTACTCCTGGTGACTTCATGGACTATGTAATTTTTTTAGCAGCAATATTCTTCTAGGATGTTTTTTGTCTTTCCAATCTATTTTACAATCTATCTTGCTATTCCCTTGAGGTCTCCCCTCCAAGTGTTAACACCATGGTAGTGCTTAGCTTCTTTGTTCAGAAAAGGTTGGCTGGATGCTTGGCTGAAGAAAGACAAATATTCACATGCTTATTACTTCTTCAAGTGTAACAGAAGAACATTCATTTTCATTCTTCTACTCCAAATGCTCTTTCTTCCCTTTCTCCTGTTTTTAGGCCTATTTAGTCACCGCTCCATTGATAGCAGAGTTCATAAATTCTATTAAAATCCAATTGTGCATTAGAATTGTGTTCTTCTCGCTCCAAGAGAACCTGATAAGCCGGGGATGGGATGGGAATATGTCCCAGAATATGAAAGCTGAGGGAGAAGTCACACATTTGTAAGTGAAATATATGCACACACCTACCATGAAATCTATATTATTATCTTCATTTCGAAAATGTTCCATCAACTTCTCAAACCGCTGTTTTTCCCCACAAACCTGGAAAGAAATTGCAGAGTGGCTCTGTTATGTATCAGTTTATTAGGAAACATACTATGACATCATCAAACCATTTTAACATAGAAAATATACAGAATTAGAGGGAATGTTGCCCATGACAAATAGATATTGACAACTGGTTCATCCATTAAGGCTAGGAAGAGTTAGCGATAAAAGGAAACCAGGCCGCCAAAGAACACGGTTGCTGGACACCATAAAAGCTGACACCAGCCAAAGCAGAAAAACTCAGAGAAGTAGTGCAAGATCAGAAAATGTGGAGAGACCTGGTCCACAGAATCGCCATGAGCCAGACATGACTGAATGGATAATATCATCATCATCAAACTACAGTCCAGTACCAAAAGAAAAAGCCTTCAATTCACATACTCCTCCTTCAAAATTAGTAATATTTTTTACTTACATCCACACTTATTTGGATTAACTTTAAGTCAAAGGGAGAAACAAAATATCATTTGCAACTGTTGACCATATTACAAGAGAACATAAGGAGTTAACATCTAAAAATGCTATTTCAGACCAATGGCTTTAAACATCCCAAATGGGAAATTTTGTCAAAACATTCCCAAGTATATAGTCTGTAACCCTTTCAGAAACCAGTATTTATTTATTTACTTACTTACTCCAATTTAGATGCTGCTCCAATCATATTGATTCTGACAAGCCCATACAAAAGACAAAAAACAAAAAAGGAAAATAATCCAATAACAATGGTGGCTCTCAATCTAATGGGCCACTTTTGTGCACCTCTGTATGTTTTTAAGAAACAAAAAGCAGGCAAGCAAACATCTCTTTACATGGTACATTCACATGCGTAGACAGAAAACAGCTGTGCACATATACAGTAGGTTTTGCATCCCAAAATAAGTTTCCAGGATGATATACTGTATCCACTCATACTCCCTTGTCATATGGAAGAGATGAGAAATTTTGGCGTCCATCTTCAACTACTTATAATAAAGAGCATGGGGAGTGGGGGGGGGGGACAGTGGCAGCGAAATGGTGAGTGTGACCAGATAACTGAACCCCACCCCATTTTATGTCTCTTGTAAGTCTTATCCAATGCCCCTGTGGTGTTTTTTTATTGCCTAGTTGTGCCTTCTGTTCGGATGTTGTTGACTTCCCCTGATTAATTTTTTAGTGGTTTTTTTAGAGATTTAGAAATTATAGATGTTTATTTTAGAGTTCATTTTAACTGTAGGTACTTAGGAAACCATTCTTAACCCTGGCTTTAACAAATGTATTATTTCATCAATTGCTGAATGAAATAGGAGAAAGAAGAAAATTGACATTTTTTTCCAATAAAATCAAGTTTCCAGGGATAAGTTACCTGCTGTTCTTATTGGACTCCAGAATTAAGCATGAAATAATTTGTTTGTCCCAAAATAATTGGATTATCATATGTATTACAGCTTCTAGAAATTATATGCATAATTAATGATCAGACTGACCTGTAACCTAAAACACATCATTTTCCTTCCTTCGGTTTGTTTGTTTACTTATTAATTCAGTTGTATATATTTTGACATGAATTTAAGCACACTAAATTGAGAGCAAAATTTCAAGTTCCTTTTTAATAAATGTGTTTGGAATAGGAATGTTAATGAAAACAGAATTATAATTGCCTATTTAAATATGGCACATAATATTTTAAATAAGTTCTTTTTCACAAGAGATATAGATAGGCCAAAATGCAGCTGCCAAAAATAACAAAAGGAGTAATAATACCTGGTATAAATTGCTTTTATACTTGAGAAAAACAACTGTTGTGATTGTTAAGTGTGCTGAATGATATGGAATGAGATTTTGTGTGAATGTGGCAATCTGATCCTGCAATTTGAAATACTTGGAACATGTGTGTGTCATAAAGAAATAGGAGACTAAATGGGCAGCCATACTCCAATCCTTTTCCCTAGCTATTACTAATAATACCTGAAGATGGGGAAGAAACCCTGAGAAAAATCAACATATGAAAGTATGAAAATAATCCATTGTTAAATTGCTTACTTAAACATTAATTTAGCACTTTCCTAAATATTTTCTTTCTTTCTTTCTCTTTCTCTCCCTCCCCACCCCCTCCTCTCCTTATTTCTTTGCTCTTCTGTATGGTGATGTCACAATGATCTCTTTTTATTCTTAACATAATGGTCTGGTGTAATCTGCCAATTTCACTCCAGGGCTGGGCTGTTTTGAGAGAATGTTTCTTACAGATTGCCATGAAGTCCTGACAGTTTGTTGAGGCAACAAAAGTCCAATTTTCTTGACATTTCTGCTTAAGCAAAGAGTAATTTACTAGGCTGAAAACATTTTCTGTTTTAATTGATTTTTAAAAAAATAAATAAATTGGCCATATCATTTACAGATTACAACTTCAGGAATTGGCTCAGGTCTTATGTATTGATTCTAAATCCTAAAATTAAATATCTACACTTAATGATCCACAAAGATAAAGCTCGTTGGCAGTAAATTCTTCTCCTGAGTTAAACTTCATAATTTGAACCTCTAGTCATCTCTGTATCAATCCTAGATTCAAGAATATCCTCTTATGTTCTTAGGGAGAAGCAAGAAGGAAAAACTAAGAGCTAGAACCCATCTGTCAAGGAGCTGATCTTTGGAAGCTTCCTATCACTGACTCAAAATCCTGGTGCTCCACGATGTTAATGATGTTTGGGTCATCTCTGACAATTTCAGTGTAATTTTCTTCCAAGCAGGTATATTGAGAATGGCAACCTCTTATCTCTATCTTTACCTTATCTGAAGATAAGTAAAATAGGTTGATGGTCACCACAATGCCATGAAAAACAGAAAAAGTCCACTTTGTGTGAAACGTACTCATCTAATTTATATCTTTGAACATTTTTACTTCACATCAGATGTAATAGCCAGAATTTTCAAAAATCGAAAGTTGATAAAGCTAAACAGAGCTATTTATATGAAATAATGTACTATAACGCCCTTAACTGATACCTAATTCAATTACTGTTTTCACACATTATACTTAACCACAGAGGCTGATTAGTTGGCTTATTCTTGACCACAGATTCCTCAATCATGAAGCTAGGAATCATCATTTATTTACAATTATGTTAACCAAATATAGAATGAACAATATTTTGGTCTGGAGTTAATCAGAAGATATAGACCTACCATAGCTTATTTTACATTAACTTTAGTAAATAATCAGTCTTTACTCCTTGTGTTTAGGACTGGAAACAGCTCAAGGAACAAAAATCCAAGATTAACAGGATTTATCAGGAAGAAAGTACAAGTTGTAACGCAAAAAATTCCAGGGAATATTTTTATATATAATAATTCCAGTGCAGCAAAACTGTTCTCCATTCTCTACCTTTTCTTTACTGAGGAATGGAAAAATACTTGCCTGTTTTTTGAAGAACAGGCAGTTTGAATCAGTTGTCAACCTTTTTATAACTCTCAACCTTTCTACCTTTCTGGTTAGCTTAAATATACTTTTGTCTTTTATTTAGATTTTTTTAATTAAAAAAATTAAAATATACTTATTATTTATAAAACTACCCTGGCATGGATTACTGATGCTCCTAATTTGAAAAAAAGGGAAGCATTGGCTACATGCAGGTGTATTTCTGCTAACCAGTGAAGGCAGAATTGTACCCAACATAATATACCACCTTCAAGTAGAAGTCATAGGGGCTTTATTGGGGGGAGGGAGGTTGTCATCAGGGAGAAATTATTTTATTAATGATATTTGATTTAAAAATAATCCAAATTTAAATTTCTGAATTAAATAATGTATAATAATATTGTGGTTAGCACTATTTTTTTTTTATTTATTTATTCACTAAAGAGTTTTACCACTGGAAGAAGACTATTTTTATAATTTTAAAAAAATCAAAATTGAACTCATATAAGCCTAGACCTTCAGAAAAGAAAAAAAAAGAATATAACGTACAGTGAAGTTTCAGCAGGGTTGATTATGATGGTATAAAACAAAAGTGAACTCATGTCACAATATTTAAGATAACTGCAATATTTTTGTAATTTATTTATCCCAGGATGTTTTAAAGGGAGGATTAAATTAGATTAAACTACTGGAACCAGTTCCAAATGTCTGCTTGACTTCCTGCCTATTCAGCTGTTCATAAATAAAAGTTAATAGGTCTTCATTTATCATTCTAATAAACTAAAGACCTTCCCTGTTCTTTTGATGCTCTATGGATAACAATATTGGTGTGTAATAAATGCAATGTATTAAATCTGTGATAAGGGAGAACATATATTAATAGACACAAAATAGCAAACTGTTTTTCAGTGACAATATATTTAGATGCTTTTCTGGGCCAGCTTTATTCCTGCAATAAATGTAAAGTCCTTCCTAAACATTTGTAGGGCAACCAGATGTCTTCTCTCGAGAAACTCCTTTCTCTTCTGTTTCATCAATCTTATAATTTTCCTCCCCTTAAACTGAAAAGATTGTTACTGGGGAAATGATCCTCCAGCACACTATTCCTACCCTGCCATTGGGACAATGTGCTGCCTACAACACCCAATTACTGAATACTGTCCAATACAGTAAGAAAGAAGAAGTAATAGCATCTGCATGAAATTTGTTCACTACTGTTTATACAGTCCTTGACATAGGACCATAACGAAGTCTGCCCATTACAGATGGATGTGGCAGTCATTTTTGGCAAAAATATTGTAGAATGTGGTCACATGACCACAGGATGCTGCAAACGGCTGTAAATGCAGCCCTGTTGCGAAGTGCCCGAAGTTCAGAAATGTGATTGCAGAGGGGGGTCCGACCATCAGAACTTCAGAACCAGGTCCAAATGGTTGGCCACAAGTCCAAGTGGTCACTAAATCACCTATCATAAACTCGAGGACTACCTCCGTTCTCTCAAGAAACAGAGGGATTCCCCAGTTTAAAGCCTTTCAGAGGTTCAATCACACAGCTGGCTAGGAACTCTGAAAGCTGCAAGTCGAACACATTGAGAAAGGCTGGCCAAAAGTATTTCCTTAGTATTTTATGAATATGGAAACCAACATCTCATTGTTGAACAGCTATCAATGTGCTGTTTAATTTCACTTTTAAAGATCTTTGTGATTTTGTTTTCCTTAGCATCATTTATTAGTTCCCTATAAACTAGGAGTGTCAAACTTGTGTCTTCACAGCATCAACACGTGACGTATCGTGACTTTTTTCCCCTTTGGTAAACCGGGCATGGTGGGTCCAGCGCATGACGCATTCGGCCTGCAGGCTGCGAGCTTGACAGCCCTGTTATAAACAGTACAGTGAAGTTGCAGAATAATAAACCCTTAATTTAGAACTTTTATATAAGACAATTCCTCAAAAATAAAATCATGATTCGGGTACACAGTGCGGTCACCTACATAACTTTTCCCATGGTTTTTGCACCAATCATCTATGCCAGCAGTCACCAACTGGTGGTCCGTGGACCACTGGTGGTCCATGAGAAAATTTTGGTGATCCAGAGAAAAATTATTTGCATTTTTTATATTGCACTAAATCAGGGCTCCTCAAACTATGGCCCCTGGGCCAGATACGTGCAATGAATGGTTGTGTTCCCCTTTGGGGTTATTTTGTGTGGGTCAGAGGGGGGAAAGAAATTCCGACCTGGGGTCTGCTTCAGCCTCCTGGTGCGGGGCTTTGGGCGAAGGCTGGAGGGAAGTGCCGCTGGTGGCAAAGAGCCGGAGTGCCTCGTTCCAGTGGGACTGCATCATGGCCTGGAACTGGCTGACCATCTCAGCCCACTGAGCCTCGAGGCGCCGGTACCTGGCCTTGCACTCTTCCCTCTGCTTGGAAAGCCTATGCTCCTATAGTCCTCAGTGAGGTGCTTTTGCTGAGCCTCCTCCTAGGTCAGACCCAATTTGAACTGAACCAGCTGTTTGCCAACTCTTTCTCATGGTGGCTGCTTAGCTCCAACAACTGCTTCCTGTTGAGGCACTAAGGACCCTGGGCGGGCAGGCGAGGAGGGGCTAGGAGGGGAGGGGCGAAAAGAGGCTGCTGAGGCACCCGTCAACGTGAGTGACATTGAGTTGACCACACCCACCCAGTCACGACCACCTAGCCACACCCACCCAGCCAGTCATTAGGAAGATCATATTAGTGGTCTGCAGGATTTAAAATTATGAATTTAGTGGTCCCTGAGGTCCGAAAGGTTAGTGACCCCTAATCTATACTATCTTAAAAGTAAATAAGTGCAGAAGTGGGAGATTAGGACTCTAGCTCTAAAACAGAAATTAGACAACATTCATAATAATGACATGTTCATCTGTTTCTACTCAGCAGTCCTGAATAATTTAATTTCAGCATTTAAAATGAATGAAAAAACAAAACAAAACCCAAAGCCAAATACTGGAAAAATGTATTTCCTTTCTGAAACAATCTTTTCATTTTGGTTGCTGTAAGCATAGTGGGCCAAAAGAGGGGTGAAAGTCCAAGAGAAGATTGATCAAGAGCTGGCACTTGAAGGAAAGATCAATTGATATGATTTAAGCTTTGATTCATGTGGTGGGATATAAACGTCTCTATAAACAAATATACATTAGTAGCCTCACTTTAATCAGGATGCCTTTGTTTTGGATTGTGTTTAAATTGGGGGTTGCATAGAGGAGAAAGATGTCCATATGTCCACAACATGAACAACCAGTTATTTTGGAGGCAGAGGTCAACCACCAAGCTGCCACAGACCTTATCCAGAGAACTTGTGCTAAGCAGGCAGCTCCCTCTGTCACAACTGAATGATTTACCTCTTTAAAATTGTCAAAGGCAGACAAAATGATTTCGTGCCCTCCTCGTACGAGACAAACAGCTGCCAGCAGTTCTAAGACCAACGCCTTTGTTCTGTGCAGAAAAGGGAGAGAAAACCCATTAGAACAACGTGATGACTCAGCTTTTGAAAGAGAGACGCAGTGACATCTGAAAACAATATTCTGAATGTTGCTCTTTCAAAGGCTGATCCTGCCAATACCTTAAAAAAAAAAAAAAGAAGTACAAATTATTCAGTATTTTCTTAAGCCCTGCATTAAAATCTCCTGAAGTTTTTACATGAATGCAAATAGAATTTACAAAACCATTCCTAGGACTATTAATGTCTAGAAAGTACAAAGTTTAGAAAGTACAGCTATCAGAGACAGAACGGCATGTAAAAAAAGTTCTTGCAGAATGATTTTTTTTAATAAAAAAAGGGAAAAAAACAACCACCACAACAGCCATATCAAAAACATTAAGCACAAAAAGAGGCGTTTACCTGGGATTCTTGTTGTTGAGACTTAGTGCAATTTCATTAACGGCATGGGGGTGCGACATGACCATATTGAAGCCATACTAAAATAAAAAAGAAATTTCAGCTGTTGCAATGGTTTAAAAAAAAAAAAGCAAAAAAGATAAATAGAAAGCAACTCTGAGCAATTTAGCATACGTTTATCGTGGTACCTCTGCATCCAAAATTACTGGAATGTGTGAAAGATATGTACCCAATCTGTTACCATCTTTAGTAACTGTACTTAGCTTTGTTCTCTTTATACAGAATGAGCAAAATCAATTATTGCTATGGCCAATTAGTGTACATTAAATGACTTATTTTTAAAACACTGTAATGCATAGACACAGTAGCCATCACATGCCCCTTTCTTTTCTCAAAAAACAAGCAGCTTTCCCGGCTATTACCCTCATGATTGTGATAGAGATGGACAGTTGCTTCCTTCTTAACACCAAAAATAGCACTCTGATTGAGCACGTCTACTCTGCTTCAACTGCAACAGAAGGGGGGGGGTTTCCATGCCCCCCCGCCACGACATTTGTGCTCTGAGGCCTGAAATGATGCATACAGGTGGTCCTTGCTTAACACAGCTTGTCCAGCAACTGTTTGAACTTATGACACTGCCGTGTCCCACAGTCATTTGATCATCATTTGCGGCCATCTTTGCTGGCTTTCCACAAGCAAAGTCAAGGGGGAAGCTGGCAGAAGATCGCAAATGGTGACCACGTTAACACCGTGTTTACAGCACAGGGTTTACTTAACAACCACAACTAGATGTGCCAGAATTTCCAGCAGTAAGCAAACCAATCATGTAAAATTGCACTTAATGGCCACATTGTGGATATGGAAATTCCGGTCCCAATTACCATCATTAACTGAGAATTACTTGTATACAGACCGTCCTCGACTTACAACAGTTCATTTAGTGACCGTTCAAACTTACAACGGCACTGAAGAATGACTTATGACCGTTTTTCATACATGGCCATTCAGCCTCCCCGTGGTCAAGTGATCAAAATTCAGACGCCTGGCAACTGACTCATATTTATGTCTCAGAGTCACGGGATCCCCTTTTGAGACCTTCTGACAAGCAAAGTCAATGGGGAAGCCAGATTCATTTAACAGCTGGGTTACTAACTTAATTACTGCACTGATTCATTTAACAACTGTGACAAGAAAGGTCGTAAAATGGGGGAAACTCACTTCCAAAATGTTTCACTTAGCAACAGAAATTTTGGCCTCAACTGTGATTGTTAATCAATGACTACCTGTATATATTTTTTCATGTGTCATAGGAGTTCCTATTTTTAATTTTAAAAAAACTTAAAGAGAGAGGTTTTTTTCCTTGACTAAGAAACCTCATTATGGCCATGTTTCAGAATCTTCACCCACCAAAGAATTTCTAAAATTCAGCTACCTGATAATTCATGATGGCACGCAAACACATGATGCAGACATGAACATCATCCTTTTTACTCACTAATCTTGAATTTTTAAGAGTTCTTCTGCTGGGTAAGGTGTTATACCTATCAACAAAAAATAATTAGGTCAGCTACTGGCTTTTAATCATTTAAAAAAAAAAAAAACACCAGATTTTTAAAAACTCTATAATCATCCTGGAACTTTTGCAAATAACCTCCTAATTAAAGACAATGCTGATAATCAATCTTCATAATAACCAATAGTGTTAATTACGTCGTTCTTCCATCGACTTTCAATTGCTGAAAAAATGCATTCCTCAGCAAAGTAAATTTTCTATGAGACGACACTGCAGTGAAAGATCTTTTGCAATAATCATAACTGTAATATATTATTTTATTATAAACGAAGAATTCTAAGGGCTTTGAGATTAGCACTGAGGTGCTAGAATACAATGATTCCCCGTTTTCCATTTCCGTGGAAGTCTTGCCCTCCACTACCTTTTTGAGATTAAGGACAGAGATTTCTTTGCAAAAGGAAATTGAGTTCAGAAACGCATGAACTTATTTGCCTTTTACTTTACTTTTAACATGGTGTCTGTCAGATCTTGGCATTCTGTCAATGTGCACTATCTACATAATTAATCACTATCGTGCTGCTTAATATCCATCAAAACCACATGTTTGTTTAGAGTACCTTTATCTGTCAGTCTCTAAGAATCACTCATCCTTCAACTATGTACAGCTGAACAAGCCAGAATTGTTTTACTATTACTGGCTGTTTTGAGTTGGTTATTAGCCTTCTTGAGCCACATGGGTGGCCACATAAACCGAAATAAATAAGCAAATAAAGCACTTCCTTATTGAGAATATTTTACCGATCTATTCCATATTACAGTCAACACTATCTGGTCTCAAAAAAGATAAGCAAGGTCAGTATTTGGAAGAGAGAGCACTAGGAAGTAGACAAGGAAATTGAAAAAAACTTTCTGGAAAAAGATAATATCTACGCACATTTGTGCTGTCCACTAAGACGTTAAGAGTTGAAATGACAAAAATAACTTTCTTCATAAAAAATAAATCTGATTCAGAATTGAACTCTAACTGGAAACTACTCTTAGCTCCTAATGTTATAGAGAGAGAGGTATGCCCCAAACCAAACTTTGAGTTTCTTATTTACAGAATTACTGTATCTATAGCTACTTATCTAATTTGCTGCTTACTGTTTATATGTTTGTTAGTAATTTATACTGTGCTAACCAATTTGGTTCAGTTTAAAATTTAATGGGGATAGTTATTGTTATCTTTTGTTTTCTTAATTTCTGTATCTGTTTAGTATCTTTGATGTTTTTTCATTTTATTTATACTCCTGACATATTAAATAAAAGTAATTTTAAAAGGGGGGGTGAGAAATCAGAAATTGAGAGAAATGTTTACTACTGCTGTGGACATGACTCAAAGGGTTGATTTTTTTTTTTATCTTTTCCACATAATCCATGTTCCCATAATAACAGACATAAGGCCATGTCCCTCATGATATTAGAGCAGATATTTCAGCCTCTTAAAAGTTATATTTTTAAATGCATAATCCTAGGCAAGATTCAGATAATGTTTCAAAGCATTCTTTTTATTCTGTTCTCTTCTAAATGCATTTTCTTGAGGAGGAATTCATTCCCAGAGATTCCAAAGTAGTGCAGGCTAAAGAATTCTGGGAGTTGAAGTCCACACATTCTGAATTGGCCAAATCTGAAAAAACACTGGGTTAGAAGCTCAGCTGTAGGCATGGGCTGCACTGCCCTCTCCTTCAGACAGCCCTTTGGGTCTATGCCTAACTCTCCAATGGGTTCCATCTGCTAATTGATTTCCCATTCATGGAAAACACACTTTGTGTGAGAGAGAGCACTGGCAAGCGCTTTTCCAAAGCAACCTTTGACCTAATTCCCGCACAATGGAGTTCATTACATCCCAAGCCATTAGAAAAATAATACCTCTATTAGCACGTTTATCTTCAATGTCAAACAATGAGGTACTATTCAACCTTGCCAAACAAAAGCTAATTATTCTAAAATGGGTTTAAGCTTTCATATTTCACACTGAAGATAAATATTAGCCATTATACTAACTCATTTTGTAATGTAGTTCAGATGACCAAGAATCAAACCTTACGAAAGATTATAAAGCCAAGACGTACTGACATGGGTAGAATGAGCAATGTCTCAACATCTAGACTGAAATCTTTAGAATAAGGAGAATACTAATGAATACACAGAATTATCCCAATCCTGCAAATTTCCATTGGTAGCAAGTATCATGCAATCTCAAAAATCAGCCCAAATATAAGAGCGTTTGGGCTCAAAGGATCGGCTTGTAAGCACTTTATATTCTAGCCTGTCCAACTCAGCGGTTGCCATAATCCAGCAGATGACAAGGCAGTTCATGTCCTTTACACTTGGTTGAACACCGAATAAAAAAAAAATGCAGCAAAACTAATTTCAAAGCCCACTTCCAGAACTGTTTGGAGAACGGCAATTGACATGGGCATTGGAATTACCCCTGCAGTTTTACAGCAAGAGTCACTGTTTCCCTCAAATGACATCGCTGCCTGCAATGGTAATATAACAAAAAACAAAAAACCAGGACACTGTGTGTTAGCTGTGACTTAAATTTGCAGTAAACAGAAACTGCAAGCAATTGGGATCTCCTTTTCGCCTAAAATAAATGAGACTGTATTCTCTTCACTGAACATCCATTAAAGTGAGAAAAACACATCCTGGAGAATCTTATACCTGAGGTACACAAATAGGCTGTGCATCTTAGAACAATGCAACCCAGCACTATGGGGAAATAAACCATTTCTAACTCTAATGTTAACCATCTGAATCAGGTTATATTTTACTTTGCAAAGACATGCATGCATGTATTAGAGAGAGAGAGAGAGAGAGAGAGAGAGAGAGAGAGAGAGAGAGAGAGAGAGAGAGAGAGAGACTGTAGACAGACGGATGGATGGAGTGAGTAAATTGACGAATGGGAGGACAGGTGGGTGGATGGGTGGATGGGTAGATAGACAGACAGACAGACAGACAAAAAATGAAATTTGAATGTAAAAACAAAAATTTGAACTCTGCTAGTTTGTAAACTGAAGAAATGCCAGAGGTAGCTAGGTGAAGAGTAACTCTGGAGGCACTTGAAGTTGTACAGGACAATGAATTATTTGGATGGCATTTAGCGTGGATAACTGTGATGGAGAAAGGAATCCCAATGAGGTGGGCCTGCTTAAATAAATAGATAAATAAGTATGACATGAGGGGAAAAAACGAAAAAACAGTGAACCTGAGAAAGAATGAGAAAGTAATAGAAACTGAAACTAATAATGAAGCTAGACAATGTTTTCAGAAAGAAGATACAGGAAAACCAAGACCAGAAAGAGTGAATTTAGACACTGTGTAGTCTGCATCTGAATTTTGCTTTTCAGCAACAAATGCAGATTCATAAATATTGAAAACATGTGTTGGCCATACAACAACTGATTTATTGATTTTTAAAAATATTTCGTAAAAATGCAGCATTCCAAAACCGCAAATACTGTTCAAGTAGATTTCCTTAGAATTATTAAATATTCTAATAGGTTCTGCAGAGAAAACTGTTCAAATGATTTAGCCAATCAGAAATGTTAAACTATACTTTAAATAATGTCGCTTTCTTTTCCATATTCTTCACTCAAATCTATAGCTAGTAGTTTAACCTTTATCTTTTACACTTTCATTTTAAATGAACACACTTCTTGCAAATTATTCCTCTATAGACATCGGCTTTAAGCCCATTGATATATCCTGACCATCTGTGGTTTACATGTGAAGAAAAATAACGGAGTTATTTTATTTTTATACTGCTATTATAAATTCTCATTTACTCTTGGAAGTTTGTAAAATACAGGTGGGAGCAGTGAACTTAAAATGATGTGACATTTAATACCCACAACCTTGTATGTGTGCCTGTGCGTATGTGTGTAAGTGTGCACATACGCATACACACATCTTTATGTCAATGTTGACTCCTGGCAGCTGCCTGGACAAGTCCCTTCAGTTTACTTGGCAAGATTTTTCAGAACTAGTTTCCAATAGTCTGCTTCCTAAGGCTGAGAGAGGAGGACTCTCCCATGGTCACTGGATGACTTTGTGCCTATGATGGGACTAGAGCCGTGATGGCGAACCTATGGCACGTGTGCTGGAAATGGCACACAGAGCCATGTTGTCCGACATGCACGGCATCACCCATTCCTCTTCCGGGTTTCCGGGACACGCATGTGCACCGGCCAGCTAGTCTGCTGGTTACTGGTGCGCATGCACACACGACAACAGCTGGCCTTCACATGTGCGGCAGCGGCCAGCAGAAATTCATTTCCCGGCGTGCACTTAGCTCGGGTGCACACCAGCCATGCTGTCATTGCCCGCATGCAGCTCCGGGACATCCACCCCTTGCCAGCCAGGAGCGCTGCCACCAATCACTCCCCTGCGCCTGCCTGCCTGCCTGCTTCGTCACCGCTACTGCGAGGAAAGGCCCTGAAGCTGCACTGCCTGGGATCCACGTGAGCTGCCACAGGGGGAGACCAGGTATGTCTGGCTGGATGCTGTCCGGAGTGCGAGACTGGCAGGAGGGGTCGCTCTGCCTCTTAGCCCGGTGTGAACGACCTGCCACTACAGCCTGCCACCACCCCGCCAGCTGCTCCTGCCACTGCCAGGGAAGCGGCAGGGCATTTGCGCCAGCAAAGTTTGGTGCAGGAAGCTTTCCAGGCCCAAAATATGGCATGGGGGGCGCATGCACAGCAGACATACACAATGTGAGGCACATGCATTGGGAGCATTGGGGTGGTCATGTGCACATGCACAGGTGGGGGTACGCATTGCATTATGGATGCCAGTACGCACGCGCGCACACACACTTTTGGCACGCAACGACAAAAAGGTTCGCCATCACTGGACTAGAGTCTCACAGTATCCTGGTTTCTAACCGGATGCCTTAACCATTATACCTATCTGTGTCCCACCTATACCCCATACGTATTTGAAAAGCAATGCCTCCACTGAATTAAAAAATTGCTGAGCATGAGTATCAAGTTCCAAATCAACCTTGCAAAGTTGCCACCACCATTAAAAATCCAACTAATCAGAAGCAGTTGTTTGTGTAGATCAGCATCTTCACACTGTTTTGACTGCATGTAAATATGCCCACAATGTCGGGAAGTGCTTCTAAGCAAACATGCACATATTGATAAACAGGATAGGCCACAGTTGTGACCTTTCACACGAGTCAAACAAAGCTCAGGTTAGCTGCAGGACCACATTCATAGGAATCTGATAAATGTATTACAAAAGAGTGCTATGAATACAATTGGGGCAAAATACAGTAGCAAACCTGTTGGAGGGAAACAGCCACTTCTTACATATAACTCTGGTGCTTTTATACAGTAATTTACCAAGAATCCATGGAGCTGAAGGCATGAACATTAAATAATAGATGATTTTTTAAAATGGTCTAATAGGAACTGGAAGTGGTGTGACTGGTGACATAATGAATCATTGAAAGAGAGGGTGAAGCCAAAGCCTAACAGCCAGGCCCTGGCTATTGTGGGAGGATTGTGGGAGCCACAAAAGGATTGCTGTGGAAGTCACATGAAGTTGACAGGCTAAGAGTTGCCTACCCCTTCCTTTGAGGAACAATAAAATGTTGCTACAGTACAGTATAATACTGATCAAGAATTACTACCTTATATGATAGCTATAGGACTATGAGTAGCAATGAACAAATGGAACCCTCTAAAATGAACTCAATGTTAGTGAAATTCCTATATGTAAAATTATTGAATAGTATGTTTCTTCTCTAGTACTGAAGCTGCAATCCAATGGTGGGTTGCCCCTGGTTTGGACCAGTTCGCAAGAACCAGTAGTAAAACTGGTGGGAGGCTCCCCCCACTGACCTGGATGTCATCACAGGTGATCTGCACACCCGCGGGCGCAATGCGAACTGATAGTAAAGGTAAGTAGAACCCACCCCTGCTGCAATCCCATAAGCACTTATATCAGACTAATTGTTAGGGAGATTATAATGAACACATGCATGGGTTTGTGTTCAGAACTGCAGACTTACAATATATTTATATAGAACCATGGACCATTCTCCCCTCCCCCCAAAAATGAAGCATATTTCTATGAGTAGCCTGTGTGGTGCAATAGTTAAAGCACCTGGCTAGAAACTGGAAGACCGTGAGTTCTAGTTTCTTATCAGGCACAAAGCCAACCTGGTGACCTTAGGCCAGTCACTCTGTATCAGGCAGACAAGGGGAAATTTTGCCTTTTAAGTTCCGCAAACTACAAGAACAGTCCAAAATCAATTTTATTTCTTCATCTTACCTTAGAGTAGAATGCCTGCTGGAACAGGAAATACTATTGCCAATTGGAGAAGGTAAGTTACTTCCCCGATGGAGATCTTCAATGGATCGACTCCATGGTTTAGATTTGTCCACTGAATTTTCCATATTATTTTCCAAGCTTTCAAAGTCAAATCTGAAAAGAAATAGACACTTCATATGCCAGAGAGAAGGAGGAGAGTGCTTTTTTTTTCTCCTGCTGCAGAACTCAGAAATGTCCCAATAGATTACAATAAAGTGGTAGAGAACCATGTAAATACATTTTCCTTTGGGCTGAAACTCAGTGCTGGTTTCACAATAAAATTGGATCTTGAAATGGAGGGAATAAAAGGCTACCACAAGGAAAGGAGGAATAAGTCACAAACTTTACAGAGAGACTCTACCTAATTTCAATTTTACTGAAATTCTTGGAAGACAAAACAACCTTTCCATACTATAGCATAGATGAAATGTCAAGAATGCATTTTGTTTTAAAGATAAACAAACAATGTATTCTAATTACTTTCAACTGTCAATATGCAATGGAAATGTTTCTTCCAATATGTTGGCCAAGGCAAAATTCCAAACATATGTAATACATTATTGTAATCATGACTGTAATCTTCCTTTGTTTGGTTTATTTCTCAAACCTTGTCTAATGTACTGCTGGTTGAAAGGAGAATTATGCCATCCTCTTCCATAGACTTTGAGGTTATTTCTCAAACTTAGTACATGAGGAAGAATGGACGGTAAGAAAAGCTGCTTGCTTTTATCTGAGTGGCCAGTTCACACATCATAATATGGCTTGTTGGTTTTCTGTTTGATATGATCAACAAAACTCATCTGCATGATTTGTAAACTATGGCTTCCTTTTGCAGACCAATTCACACATCACATCAAAGAATCCCAAACAAGCCACATTATTGTTTAGCTCTATACGAGAATGCAGCTGTTGTTTTTAAAGTCAGTTGTTTTTCTGCCATGTGCCATTCTTCTTATCTCATTTACTATTTTAGCACAGTTTAGGTCCTTTCTTGTCCAGCAGTAGAAGAACCTTTTTTTAAGTCTCCACCCTAAAAATAACTTTATACTTTTGTGCATCTTGGAACGTTTGGATCATGATCGAGCAGAAGCAGAAGCTTCTCATTCTGCATATGCTCCTTCCCTTCCCTTCCCTTCCCTTCCCTTCCCTTCCCTTCCCTTCCCTTCCCTTCCCTTCCCTTCCCTGCTAGGAAGGAAAGGGGCTCTGAAGCCACCTTCTATCAATAGGGCTTCATTCTGAAGTCCAAGTCACTTTCCATCAGTGGGATGGCAAAGCAGAGGAATTTCTTATGGGAAGCTTATGGGCAGCCTTCCTGCTTCTTCTCACTGGTGACCCTGAGGACTAGTTCAAGTATTAAGAAGAGACAGGCAAGGGGCTAAAGCAGCATGACCATTGTGGGCTTCTCTTTCTGTTGCAGTACTCAACATGGAAATTACCAGTTTTGTCCACATTAACACCTGGACCTCAAGATAGCAAGATATGAAATCTCCTTCTGCAAATTGGAGCAGATGAACATCAGCCCAGTTGTAGATCATACACTTTGTAAGCAGAAAGTCCTTACATTTTATTTTTGGCATCTTCAGTTAAAGGGAACTCAGAAAGGACTTCAGATGGACTTCAGGAAACTTAACAGAAGCCACTTGGAATGAGGCAACTTCCTGTATACCTCATCAGCAATCCCCTATGCTTTTGTTTTTTCTATTGCTGCATGTGCATTTGACTTGACTTTCAATGCACATCTGAAGACTTGGCTATGGGCACAGTAGATCTCAGCACATAATAACCATTTATCATGCTTCCCAATGTTTCCAGAACTGACACTACCATTTATTGTCCCTGAAGTGAGCAGCGCAATTGGCATAACAGAGAACAGAGACTTTATGACAGCCATCTTAGGAAGACAGACATATAATTATTTGAATAACAGGGTTTTATACCAACTGTGTTCACCGTTTACTGAAACAGGATGAACTAATAATATCTTTCTCCTTCTGCCCAGATTGTGAATGTGTGGATCATATTATACTTACGTGACTGCATACTGTGCAAAAGACAAATACTCTACCAAAACATCTAGGCCTTTGTTGTCTTCATTCAAAAATTCCCTGACCCACCTGGAAAAACAATCATCAAAAGAGATCATGGTATTTATATCTGTACATAAACCAAATATTACAGGATCCAAAAAGATATTCATTTCTTACTCAGAAACTTGTGAAAGATAAAAGATTGAGAACCACATTTTCAGAGCGAACTTAAGGGTTACCTTCAGTGTGACTTTCATTCAGAGTTTGGAAATATTATTAGAGGTCAGCAAACTGGTTAATTATTATGATGAGTAATTTGCAATTAGATCAGGGGTGGAAATGCTCCTGGTTCAGACTGGATTGCCCAATCCAGTAGCAAAGGTGGTGGGTGGTTCGTATAACTGGTAGCAAAAATCCCTGTCCCCCTCCCCATGCCCAGCTGAGCTGCACGGTCATCAGAGGCTTTTTTTTTTACTTTTAAAAGCATTTTTTCTACAATCTCTTGGGCAGAAAAAATGCTTTTAAAAGAAAAAAAAAGCCTCTGATGATCGCACAGCTCAGCTGGGATCGTCAGAGACTTAAAAGCATTTTTTCTACAACTCCTTCAGCTGAAGAGGTTGTAGGGGGAAAAAAGCCTTAAAAAGCCTCTGACAATCCCAGCTGAGTTGCCTGATCGTCCGAGGCTTTTAAAAATAAAAAAAAAAAGTTGGCCACGCCCACCCGGTCACATTACCCCACCACCAAGCCCCGCCCACAGAACCAGCAGTAACAAATTTTACATTTCACCACTGAGTTAGATGCATTGTTTAAGACTCATGAAAACAATCTAACCAAGGACCTAAGAATTATTAAGTAGCACCTAAGAATATATACAGTATGGCAGCTCCAAGCAAGGTGGCATTTTATAAAATTAGGGTGTTCATTATTATGGTTCATCACACAGCCAGTCAGATGTTCAGACTGAATTTGGCATTGTTATTTGCCTGTCAAGTCCTTCCTAAGGACCTGGGATAGGCAGATGTTGATGTTTCATAGTGTTAAAGGTATCATCACAGGATGTAAAATATTCTGAGTAAAGCTGACTGCTGCAACTGACTGATAGTGATTTTGTCAATGCCAATGATGTTCAACTGGTGCTTCAGTTATTTTGGGATTGCACCCAAGGTGCCTATGACTATTGGTACTTTGCTTCCTCTTGCCACAGTTGTTCTATTTCTATTTGCAATGTTTTGTATTTTATTATCTTCTCCAGTTCTCTCTCTTCTATTCTGCTGTTTCCAGATACTGCCACATCCACTATCCAGACTTTTTTGTCACTCTTATCAAAATATTTAAGTCTCGGGTATTATGTGGCATGTGCCTGTCTGTTTGAATTCTGAAGTCCCAGAACGCTTTAGCTTCTTCTTTTTTTTCAATTTTTCATGCACCAAAGCAACACATATAGATGGAACAAAGCAACTCAAGTAACGTACTCAATCAATTGAACTATGCCAAAATAAAATCATATGGATTTTGAATTTCCAGGAGCATTTTTGCAGGGGGAATGGGACCCGAAGTATAACAAATAAACCTCATTGTAGTCCATTCTATCATTCAACTATTTAACAGAATCAAATTCTTAATATTCTATTTGGATTCCAACTAAATAATGCCAACTGGCTTTCAACTTAATGGTCAGCTTTTTGAGAATCACCAGATCAGAAAACAGACTACACCAGAAGATTAGTGCTATACTTTGTTGAGTAAGGCACTAACAGAATATGGGGGCATGATGGCTCAGTGGTTAAAGACGCTGAGCTTATCAGCTGGAAAGTTGACAGCCCGGGTTCGAGCCCCAAGCACAGTGTGATAGGTTGAGTTCCCGTTCCTGCCTCCTTCCCACCTAACATTTCAAAAGTATGCAAATGCAAATAGATTAATAGGTACCACTTTGGTGGAAAGGTAACAGCATTCTGTGCACCTTTGGCATATAGCCATGCTGGCCACATGACCACAGAGATTGTCTTCAGACAATGCTGGCTCCCTAGACTAAGATACGGAGATGAGCACCAACCCCTAGAGTCAGACTTGCCTGGACAGGGGAAACTTTTATCTTTATAACAGAATCCTGACAGTCTGTGTTTATTCTCCCCTCCTTCTTATAGTCAGGGAGGAGCTAAACTGAGGCTCTTCCTATTATTTTCCCATTACCCCAGGCTCAAAACATGTTTTTGTGCTATTTGTTTGCTTGTTAACAGTTTCTCAAAGTCATTTCCATGGCTCACTATACCAAAATAACTAAATACCTACTTAAGATCTCCAAATAGTATTTGATTTACAAATAAGGCAATCTTTCCTGCAACAGCTCACCTACCTTGCATATAGGATCAGAAAAACAGCATTAGTCTTGAAGAAGACACATATTTTGGACTACTAACAGTGAACAACAAAGTCCCTCATTAAAGAAATGGTTCGTGCCACTTAGATCTTTTTATTGTACAAGTCACATAGCCATTTCTCATCTACTGACATACTATGGTTTATGCAGTGCCAATGAAAAAACTATACATGAAACATACATAAAGTTAATCTTGCTAATTCTTGCTCACCATTCAAAGTATCAAATGCAAAATAAAAACAAAAGATGGAATGCTCTTCTATATTATTTTTAAAGGAAATCATGAAGAACTTCATGACATACCTAAAATGTGAGATTTCACTATGTGTAGGAAGTCACTATTTCTACTCTCCAGTTAGTTATGTGCAAAAGCACTATAACTAACATGCAATTACTTTGCTCAGCTAATAGTTACATTTAAACCTTTTCCTAAGCAGACACGTTATGATGTCTAAATCCTAATGAATCTGGCAGGTGTAATCTCTAATAAGAAGTCACAGCTAATAATTGCCATCACATCACAATGCCTGGTGTTTTGAAAGAGTCAGCAGTTTTTTTGGGGGGGGGGGAATGGGAATAAAAGGAATGGAGAAAGATTGACTGCTGTAAAGTATTTGGCTTAGCAAATACTGCTGAAATCTGGAATTTAATTGATGGCAAAACTGTTGCAATTGCTTACAGATTTCCCTGGCTTCTTATCTCCAAAATAGTACCTAAATCTTCACTCACTGCCAATTATCTCTTGGAAATGTTGGCCTAGCATTAGTATTTCATGGTCAATTTAACTTTACTGAAAAGGTGGAAGGGGAGGAAAGAGACAGAACCACAACTTTTAAACAAAAGCAGTTTCTGAGATCTACTTGGGAGATGGTAAAGTACAATTTGTTTTGAAGCAACCCTGCATTTGTTGAAATTGCTTTTTCCTTAATTTTCCTTCCCCTGAGAAGCCCAATGCTTCTGTTAAAACTAAGGTACATCCCTAAGCCACAGTGCCCTGGAGATGAACCTATTCTATTCAACAGATGACACTTTTCAAGCAAAGGAACTCTAGAGTTTCTTTGAAGTCAATCATGAGATTCTCATGCAATCCCATGATTGACTTGAAAAAAACTGAATAATAACAGTGACAATATTTTAAATTTGTGTTGGTTATGCCCCAAATCATTTCATCAAATACCATTGCTTTTTTTAAAAACAAACAAACAAACAAACAAACTTACCCAATGTGATTAGTCCTTAAAGAAATTTCTAGTTCCCGTAAAACTTGTGTAGATTCTTGAACTCTTCTCCTAAATTTCTAGAATTTACAAGAAAGGAAAAAAATCTTATTTGATATCTAAATTAATGAGGATGACAGTTCTATAGCCTAATCCTTACAGATTTTTCTTCTTTCTATTATGAAATAAACCAAGTGCCCTTCAAGATATCAAGAACAGGACGTACAGTACGTTTAAAAAAAATGATGAACAGGACAACTCTTCTGAATCTATGTTTTTTAAGCATAAACATATCCGCCACCACACACAAATAATTTTGTCCAATCAAATCTTCTAATATTCTACCCTGAGAATAACACAAAAGGTCTTTCATGATTTTCCCCATGATTTGTACACATACAGTATGGTAATATTTCCCAGGATGATTTAAATGACCAAGATCTTCCCGGGGGGGGGGGGAATCAGCAACATCATAACAATCTGGACAGGATAATGACAGCATGGATGAAAAGTCTTGTTTTAGAATACTTCAATAGTTTGACAAGGACAGGCAACTTCCATCCTCATATTTCATTTTCTTGTAACACTCCCCAAAGCTTCCCCTGAATTTTAGTGATCCAGTTTCTTAAAACTGGTAGCAGGGTTCCCTGGTTGTTGTGAAGCAGGAAACACATGGAAAACATACAACGTACTTTCTAAATAAAATACTGGTTGTTGTTTTTTTTAAAAAAGAATAGTATAAATCCAGATTCTCAAAAACTCGAGAGGAAAAAAAAAATTAAAATCCTCTGCAGATTTCTTCACTCTCCGCATCTTAAAAATTTTGAATGTGGCTTATGGGTCACCCCAAATTTTGCCTAACTTTTGTTTCTATGGTTACATTGGGGCTGTGGACTTGTTGACAAAGAATCTTAGAATTATTATCCATAGGACACCATCCCTGACAAGCCTCATACTAATCTCAAGAGATGAATGGTGACACTCTCAGCAAAGTGTCTGGAAAACAACCATGGCTTTCAAAATGGGCAAGAGCTTTCTTTTCCTCCTCATTTCTGGCAAACAGAGAAAGCTTTTCTGCTTGATGTGGCAAAAATGACTGTTCTTAAGCAAGAGAACGAGACCAAAAAAAATCCCATCTTTTTCTTACCTTCCTAGTTACAGCCGGATCAAGATAGCCTTTTAATTTCTGTATATATGTATGAGGTGGATTCTTGACTTGAAATCTTTCCTGTAAGTAAAAAAGTAATCATTAGCCATTCGTTACCAAATATAGTAACTAATATCTATATAAAGAAGCATGTAAACATGCTTCACTGCTTTTGTTATTTCTTTATTTAATTAATATTTTCTTTATTTGTGTATTAGAAACCAAGGCCAAATACTTTGAAACATCCACTAATTTTTTTTTAAAAAAAAAGACAGAACTGTACAAATTCACCACACTAGCACCTCTGCTGCTCATCAATGAATAAGATAAATTGTGTATTCTGTTAAAAGAGAAAGATGATGAATGTTATTGAGGCTATCAGACTGAATTTATGAGCACAGTTCATGATATTACAGTTTTGAGTTTTATTGTCCTAGAAATCGTCTTGTTATCGTGGAAAGAAACTATTTTACATCAGCTCCTCTGTGCACATGCTGACCAAGAACTTGGTGCCGGGAGAGGTATTCCTTGACTTACAACCACAATGGAGCCCCATCATTACCATAGTTAAGCAGGACAGTTGTTAAGTGTGTTTTGCCCCATTTTACAACTTTTTTGCCACAGTTGTTAAGCAAATCACTGCAGTTTTTAGGTGGATCACGTGGTCATTAAGTGAATCTGGCTTCCTCCACTGACTTTTCTTGTCAGAAGCCAGCTGGGAAGGTAACAAATGGTGATCACATGACCCCAGGATAGTGCAACTGTCATAAATACACTGCTCAAAAAAATAAAGGGAACACAAGCAAAAGACATCCGAGATCTGAATGAATGAAATAGCCTTATTAAATACTTTGTTCTTTACATACAGTAGTTTATACACTGCTCAAACAACTAAAGGGAACTCAGAACTACTGTATGTAATGAACAAAGTATTTAATAAGGCTACTTCATTCATTCAGAACTCGGATGTCTTCTGCTTGTGTTCCCTTTATTTTTTTGAGCAGTGTATATAAGTTGCCAATCGCCCAAATTCTGATCACGTGATGCAATGGAAACTGGTCATGTCATTTTTTTTAGTGCTGTTGTAACATTGAATGGTCACTAAACACATGGTTGCAACTCAAGGACTACATGTAGCCTAACACATGTGCAGTAAACTATGTTCATGAAAACTGCATTCCACCAAACCTGATTTTTCTTTCATTTATACAATTGTTTATACATTTATCTATATATGTAAAAGCGAAATACCACTCACGCATCATCACAAAATCTCCAGAACCGTAAAGCCTACAAACTTGAAATTTGCCACATATGTTCCTCATGGCTTCTAGGTGCTAAGAAAGGGTTTTTCAAAATGACCATCAGAGCAGTAGTATTTCCTATATTATTATTAACATGCTCTGGTGCTAAGGAGTTCCACTCCCCCATCCCACCTGAAAAGAAATCTGTTCCAAATGCAAAACACATGCAGAGGAGAGGAGTTTCAGTTTCAGATTTACTTTCACAGCAGCAAGCAGGGGATAGGATAGGGGAGGCTTCTATGAGGCAAGCCTGAGGGAGAGAAGCGGATAGGATAGGGGAGGCTTCTGTGGGGCAAGCCTGAGGGAGAGAAGGGGATAGAATAGGAGACATTTCTGTGGGGCAAGGGTGAGGGAGAGAAGGGGGATAGGATAGGATAGGCTTCTGTGGGGCAAGGCTGAGGGAGAGAAGTGGAGAGGAGAGGCAGATCGTAACTACTCATTAATTTTCAAGCTGTAAGTGTTGATTTATCAAGCCCGATCACATAGTTTGATAGCGGAGCATGGGTATTCAGCTAGTACAATTATCATTTTTTATTTCAAAGAGAATTTACCAAACAAGTGCTCAAAACTAAGAAGGTAGAGGACTCCTTTCATGGAATCTCCTTCTGAGATTCAGGAAATGGAGCAAAATAAGAACCTTTTAGGTGTCGCCCCCATCCTCTTGGAAATTTCCCTCCCACCCTGGCCAATTCACCCCGGCCATCACACCCTGGCTGACTCACCTCAGTTGAATCACTGCAGTTCACCACAATTCACTGCAGCTAACTCACTACAGGACAACTTGCACGAGACAATTCAATGCTCGGGATAACTCAAGAGAGGGACAAGTAGAATTGCAGCTCATTCCAGCATCGAGGACTTCTAACTTCAGAAGGTTCAAACCTAAAGTAAGACAAGGCCTGCTGCAATTCACTTGTTCCTCTCTTGAGTTATCCTGCTTTGAACTGTCCCATGGCAAGATGGCCGCAGTAAATTGTCCTGTTGCGAATTCGCTGGGGCAAGTTGTACTAGACTCCTCCTAGAAGGCTGTTGAAACAGAACTGCTCAGGAGAACCTTTGAGCATAACAATGTTGTCTGCAGAGGGCTTAATGACAACAATATCAAATTTTAAATTATTTCTTTCTTTGCATTTGTATTGTTTTTTCCTGTCTACTGTCATTTTAAATTGTAAACTGAAGAGAGTCCTCAGAAGTGTGTCAATGTAGAAATGTAGTAAATAAACTAACTATGGTCTACTGACTGTAGTGATAAAACTGATGGGACTTCTAATATTTTCCCTAGGCTCACATTATTTTTAAGGTGGCTAATTTTCAAAACACGAGAAATGTATTTTCATTTCTTACAAATCTGAGCTCCTTGCTCCTTTAAAATCTGTTAATTTTCAACAAATGTACATTGCGATAACAAGGCAATCTTGATTCTCTGTCAATGTATGTCTCTTTCCAATATTGCTTTGTAGTTAAATACCTGGCAATTACATCACAGAAAGTTGGGTGTTTCAGTAAACTACATGAAAAGAGAAGACCATAAAAAGAAAGTGCCATTAAAGTGAAATAAGGAAGTTGGAAAAATCATCAATGATAGAACTCCTCAAAGTTCAAATGATTAATCATTTATCTTTATGTATATGGTTTTATTATGAAAATAAACCTTGCACCTATTCTATCTCAAATGATATAAATGTTGGAATACACACAGCACTATAACTTTTTTTTTTCCTTTTCTGCCTTTAAAATCTATTCCGGGAAAACAGAAGAGTGTGCTTAATAGTTTCCTTCCTGAAAATAACCGAGCAGTATCTTTTCTTTGTTCTCAGAAGAAGAAAAAAATTATCCTTCAAATGTGGGTTCTAACGTGAATGTGGGGATACTGGAATGGGAAAAGAGGAAACCTTCACCGACTCCTTTTCCACTCGAAATTGCTCCCTTCTGAAATACAGCTTGACTGCTCGCAGTGTCATTTCTGTTTTGCTATCACGGTGCGGATGTATATATCAGACATGACAATTCAGAGCAAGGAGCTATCATTCACAAGCAGCTTATTTCTGCAGGAGAAGCAGGATTTACCTTATCTGTAAAAGGAGGAAGAGGAGCCCCAATTCTTTCACAAAACTATCATTTAAAGGCATCTTAGGAACTGGGGATGGCTGTTAAACTTGTTAAATCTCTTCAAAGCTGTGGAATCGCAATCAACTGTGTTTGCTGTTCATTGACGGTGGGTTAAAAAAATAAGAAAATGCCTACTTTGACTCTGCTGGCATCTCCCTCTCTCTTTCTTTCTCTCCCTCCCTCCCTCTCTCTCTCAAACACAGAAAGAGAAAGAATTCATAAAAAAGTAATACAAATTGGAGTTATTTAAATTTATTATTTAATAAATAAATGTTTACATAATTGTAAATATATTTTTTTTAAATGCCTATCTGAGGCAGTTCTAGAGGCCTTGAAAATTTGAAGAGTGCTCTTGGGTGGCCTTGCAGTCGCCAAAAAGAGAGGAAACACAGCCCGTTCTCACACAATTTTGGGGGGTTCCAGAGAATATGTGAGAACAAGGTCTTCCTGCACAGTTTTCAGAGGATAAAGAGGTTTGGCCTATCACCTGTGACACATATGTCATAGATTCTCCCTCACAAATCCTGCCCATTCTATTCCATGACATGATTCAAAATGCTGAATTGGTCCTATTGGTCTGTTAGAGCAGTATTTTAAAATCATCCTTAATGTCATACAGACCCACAAATTATTGTAATGCTTCATTGGCTTAACCTATCGTAAACACCTACAAATCAATGTTTGAGGAACTGAGGCATCATTTTCGGGACTATAAAGCTTACTAAATTCCGGAACTTGCTTCTAAATAAATCGACATAGGATTGAACAATGAATTCTACATTCAACTACTTTGCTCCTACTCAATAAACATATTCGTGATGACACTCATGAAAGCTTCAGAAAGGCTATAAGCTTGAACTAACTACAGTGCAATTTTCTTTCTTAGCCCCAATGGATAAGGATTTCTAAAAGCATGTTTTCCTTGTTTTACCTTAATGCCATATTTATACATTATAACCTGATTCTTAGCATTAAATGCAGGGTTATACATTGGATTTTGTTCTGTACAATATTTTCAATGCCTGATTAACTTCCGTAGATTTGCATTATATCACAGTACTACACTATATTTAACAGATCCTGTTTTCTATGTCAATGAAGAATCCGGCATATTAATATGCTTATTTCTATTTAACTTAAAATTAACACTATACCTGAATATGGATAACCATATGAAAAAGGAAACAAATTACTCAATTACTTCCTTTAAAAATGAATCACAAATTACACAACTTTTAATACCTATTTCTGCTTGTGTCTCCTAGCTTAGAATTATGCTATCTTTATTACTATGTGAAAATATTTATGCAAACATTTTAATGCAAATAATTTGCAGAATGTGGGCTGTATGAATCAAGATTGCAATTTAGCATTAAGGCCTGTGAGCTAGTTTATGAGATATGTCAGTTTGCATCAAAATGTGACTCTGTGAATCACTTACTAATATTTATACCATCATGAAGACAACTCTACTTTCTTTTTATTTTTCACAAGATGTATATAACTGTTTTCAAATGATTTACAGCATGTGTAGATGTGTGTGCTTCTTAGAAAATAAAAAAAAAAATTAAAGGCATAACATTTCCTGAATATCAGATTTTTTTTTTTTTATAATCAAAACCAATATGTGGGAAATAAAGCTATCCAGAAAGAGATGTCACTGGATTC